ATACAATAGCCTGATATGGACCCAATGCAAGCCTGAGTGTTACACTGTGCTCAACAATATACTTTGGTATTAAGTATACTGCTTACAGTCTTATACCAGTGACACTCATTCTTATAAACATTATTAATAAGATATCAGCATAAGAGATATCTGCTAAAGTGTCTACTCTCCTGAATGTACCTATAAATATTGATGAGTTCATTCCTACTCCTGCTAGCCTGGGTCTCACTATGGGTGATCTGAAGTTCATCACTATTGTAAAGCACATCTAAACTATATCAATAATCTTAAAAAAACTGAATCATTATATCTATTTAATATCTACTTCCAACAAAACTCCACCTGAATACAAGTTTATGAAGCACCTAGTGAACCTTCTTACCACTGAGGATGACAGAAGTCATCTGACTAACAAAGTGACTGCATTATCCAACATAATTCCCTTTGTCTAATCTTTGAATATCACTTATTACACAAAATACCTACCATCATTCTATATTTACATAACCTATATTCCAACATATGCTAAGTCCATAAAGATATTTCAATAAATTGTTGATAGATGTAAATATTAGCCATAGCCCCCTACTAACTACTTATAGTTCTTAGTAACAACAATGCTATCTCCTTCAAAGTACATGTTTCTGATGTTTGGAGAGCTCTTGCATCCTTCAAGAACACTAAAGAGAACTTCATTTTATACAGATTTATTGTAAGATGTTGTTGTCAAAAAAATTGCCACATAATTTTCTTTTTGGGACATTAAATTAGCTCAAAGAATGTGTAATTAGATAACAAAGGCCAATGAGCTCTTAGAGACATCCTAACATAATATACTGATATGGTTTCACCAAATCCTCACACTAAAAGAAAATTAAGAAATGTAATGCATTGCTAGGCCAAGTAGAGTTTTCTAGTGAAACTTTGCCATTTTTGGTTTTGCTGCTTAGCCATCTTATTATGCTGCTGGAGTTGGACATGAAAGAGATCTAAAAAATGAAGAATGAGAAAAATATATGTGAATTCATTAGACTTATCTAAACCAATAGCGGATGATAAAATTTAACACAATCTCTCTTTTCTTTGCTTATAAGGATAATATTCTTATTATTTGCATCTATGGTTTAGATAAGTCTATCATAACTGCAATTATAAAACTGAACACATCAAAGAAGAACACCATAAAATAAAATCTCATTCTAAGTTTAGTTTATAGAATAGAAGAGTTGTTATTCATTAAATTCTCTTTTGTAAGACTTCAAATAATATCTAAGCCACCAAGTTTATCATCAAGTTTATTATCCTCACTCCTGTTTTTATTTAATCAGTTAGAAATACTTTGAAGACAACTAATTTTCAGGGTAACACTGAGAAGAAAAACATCTTCTCTTAGCAGCTTATAGAAATAAAAAAATGTGTTTTTTCTAAAGCACCATGACTAGACTTTTAAGAACTAAAGGAGAAATTTCTGCTTAGTTGAGACTAAACTTAATAGGATGGAATTACATGACTTAGAAATATACATGATAAAGGTAGTAGAACCACCAGGAAAAGAGAAAGTTAAGAATATACTTAAGTCTGGAAAAGAAAACTTAATAATATAAGGCTGTATCTAGTAGAATAAATTATAAATTCTTTGTGAAATAGAAGAGAGGGTGAATACAAAGCAGCATATTTATATTTCAAAGAAGTGTCTGCTAAAAATTATACAGAACTATAGATTGATGAAAAAAATACTATCTTCTAACAAGTAAATATATCTCCTAGTTGGCTAACAATAGTCCAAAGATCATGATAATACTATTTTATCATGACCAGAATAGTCACTAGATCTTAACTTTATGGAAATTACTTGAAAGATTGCTTACAACATATCAAAATCCATTATAGGGGTTATTTCAGCTATAAAACAGAGTTATACTATAGAGGGGAAAGATTGCTAAGAAGGAATATCAGAAATTGATAGACAATATGCTTAGAAGAGTGACAGTAGTGATTAGAGTAAAATGAGGTTACACAAAGTGCTAGATTTATATAATAGTATTAGTTAAATATAAAGTCAAAGGAGTATCTGTATAAGTCATATAATCATATTTTTCTATATATAGGCTGATTCTCATAATGTGTATCTCAAACTCTAGCCATAATATAGAGATTTCAAACATATCTATATGTTATTATGATATACTTAGGCTCTGGCTCTGGCTTGCTATTATCCAATTACTTAAAATCAAGCAAACATTTGGATACTTTTTTGAGTCACTATATATTGATGAGTTTACTTCCATTCATGATAGTCCTAACATTCATTCAGATAATACTATAGTTCTGTGCAAGATATTTAAACTAGCAAATGTTGCTCACATCTTAGCAAGTGACTTGATGCTTATTATAATAAATTGTTAGGTAACTGCTAATGGTGTGATTGCTATTGGCAAGTAATGCTGCTGGTGTCATTCCTTACTTCTAAAGAACAATGATAGGAGGTTCAAATTACTAGACTCATATAGCATTGTATATTTCTGAAGTCCTCCTTGTATAGAAGTGTATATCAAGAGACTTTATGAAGTGCCAGAATAAAATTTGTTAATTGAACTACACAATAACATGCAGCAGAAGATGAAATTATTCTTCTCAACTTGGCAAACTTCTAACCCTAGTTCTACATGTTGAAGTCAAATGAATAAAATCATAGTATGAGTACAAGGAGTAGAAGCTGACTAAGATTTTAGGACCCTGTAAAGGATACTGGTTTCAGTGGAAGATATGAGTACCCCCAATCATACTGGACACTTTATATTATTTGTTAATATGCCTTCATTTGGCTCCTGTCTCACTTTCACTTTCTACAACTGACAATAGGCATCATGGCCTGCACATCTTTATTGTTGCATTCTCATCTAGAAAAAAAGAAATAACCCTTTAGCATTCTGTTTAAGTCTTTATCTCTGGTCTTTAATCTCTTGAGCCTCCATCTCTCATATTAGTTTTTTCTATCTCTGTCATATTTCATATTCCAGATCTACATCCAATGATATTCTCATGCTTCATTCAGACCTTCAGACCTCCTGTCTATATCTCCAGACCTTCAGTCTCCATATCTTAGCAAGATCAGTCTCTGTTTCCTATTGGATCTCTAGAAGCCCCTATCTCCAGACTTTGGATCATATCTGTAATGTTTCCCCATTTAGGTATCCCTGCTTTTCTGGCTTTGAGTTATCTCTGTTTCTGTCTTGCTTATTGATCCTTGTATGAGTAGATGACTTTCCACAGCATTTGGAATCCTAGATATTGTTTCAAATCTTATTTGTCGGAGCTTCAGCTCACAGTACATCAACATCTAGAAACATGTTCTAAATCATAGGCCAAATGTATCTAGATTTGAATACACATTCTAAACTCAAACATGGACAACGATGATGCTGATCTCTATCAACTATATCACATGCTTGAACTGGTGGAGGATGAGATAGACGACGAAGATGAATTCTGGAGACATAGGATAGCTGTACTTGGTGCAGTCATTTTTTCAGGAGCTGAAGAATCACAACATGAACACCTTGCACGCTAACAAGCAAGAAGAACATACCTCATTCAAGGTGATCTACTTCCTAACCCCTGTGCCAATACACTCTGGCAAGCTTTGTACTTAGCTCATAATGACCGAGCTTTCATCACAACAATGGGGGTTGATGTATTGGCATTTGATCACCTCCTTTCAGCAGGCTTCGCAACCATTTGGGACACCACACCTATTCCCTACAATGACATCCCAACTACTGCTGTTCCTCGAACTCATCGCCGTTCACTTGACTCTGCTGGGGCTTTAGGCCTCATCTTTCATTGGCTCAATTCCACCATGCATGAAGTCAGCCTGATGCAAATTTTTGCGTTAATCCCAACCACGGTCTCCCGCTATCTGAATTTCTCACTTATGATACTTCTTCGTACTCTCAAATGCATTCCCGAAGGCATTATCCAATGGCCTGCAGGTGAAGACTTTCAAGAATTAAATTATCTTGTCACAGCACATCATCTATTGTTGACTGGTGCTTTTGGAACACTCGACGAACTCAATCTACCAGTGCAGACTTCAAGTGACCAAGAGATTGAGAATGCTACTTACAATGGTTGGTTGCATGATCATTTTGTTAGCTCAGTCATTGCATTTGCAGCTGATGGTCAGTCCTCTTCATTATTCTGAGTTTGTCTCCACTCATCCAATAACACAGGAAATATAATTCAATGTCGACTCAATGCTCCAGGAAGCTGGCATGATTCACATGTTGCACAGCCCATTTATGAGAAACTTCGTATGGAGACACCATCAGGATATTACCTCATGGCAGACACTGCCTTCCCTCATGGAACTGACCAGATTGCTAATTGGATTAAAGCCCCAATTAAGGCAGGTCAGCGCCTCCCAGCAAATGCAAATGAGAGGGAAAACCTGCTAGCCTTCAACTGACAGCTCTTATCATTTTGCCAGACTGCTGAATGGGGCATGCGCACACTTCAAGGTTTATTTGGATGTCTTCATATCCCTCTTGATATCAACCATGCTGAGCAGTGAAGAGAACTGCTCGAGGCATGTGTCTATCTGAACAATTTTTGTGCTCAAAAGGTTGGGATCAGTCAAATTTGTTCAGTATACATGCCCATCTGGGTTCAAAACGAGCAGGAGGAGGTATGGGACCATTTTGAAAGTATGTTGTTCTCTGAACAGCGTCAAAATGACAGAGTTGCACGATTCCATCATCTGTGACAAGTTAATTTTGTAGACCAATACAACATTTGTAGCTAATCTATCTCCTTTGAATTTGAGCTATTCTTGATGGCCTCAACATTGAATGAACCATCAGATTCCTACCACGACTAGGAGATATAACAATGGATGATGGTGTGAATGAGACATCAAGCCGTGTGGAGGATATACCAGGGGTGGCTGAAGGACGAGGTGTAGCAGATGCGCGAGGCGTCATTGGCAGGTGATGTGTTGCTCAAGGAATAATAGCACCAGTGTAATGGCCTGCACGCGAGTCTTCAACAACATCATGTCGCAAGGCAATATCATGGTCATCATAATTGAAGTCATCTCCAGCATCGTCAGGTGTGACCCAGATAGTGGAGTGGCCTTTATCCCTATAGATTGTCTCATGATGAACATGCTCTTGCTGCTGGTGTCCAGTGCGAGTCATAAACTTGGCCATTTCAAGCTGCATCTCGAGATGGTCAGCATGATGTTTACTGTTTGAACAATCTTGTTCGACTTGTACAAGCTGGCCATGAAGCTTATTAATAGTTGCATGTGCATCACGCAACTGAGTGGTCAAAGATAAGACCTGCATAGACTGAATGGCACGTGCAGAGCGCTCTTCATCTTGGACAGCCTGAAGGCAAGGATCGAGTGATACAGAAATGGTTGTGAGAAGGTCAACTCCTGCACTGCGTGATGAACGAGGAGGATGAGAAATAGTAGGGGATGTTGCACAGCGAGCAGTGGGGCCAAGACAAGGCTCGTGGACCTCAAGCTTGATCTGGGTTGGTTTCATTTTTGGAAGTACTACTGAGGCCATTGTATCTTTGTTGTCATCCGAGATTTCGACTACTTCATCAGCAAGTTCTTTGTCATTAAGATCACAGGTGCCAGCTTTTTCGTTGATCAAGCTGTCAATATAGGGAGGACATTCTGCATCTTCCGTCGGCTTAGTGGTTCGAATGAACTTTGAATGATAAATCAGATGAACAGTCAAATAATGTCCAAAGAAAGACTTACTTGCTTGAATTTGAGTTCAAAAGATTTTGACGAGCAAGCTGGACGGTCATTTTAATGTGCCCACTGTGCAAAAGCTGCTTCAACAGAATTCCAACTCTTTGCACTCACAGGTAGACACGATTCACAGGCATCAAGGAGGGCATCAATGTCGTCTTCATTATAATTGGGTGCTCCTTGTTGACGGCCACGTTTCTTGGATGAGTCAGATGCAGTAGGAGGTGCAGATGGGGCCTTTCGCTTTCGATTGACTAGTGGGGCACTGTCCATGACACGTGCCTTGCCTTTGGCTTTGGCAGTTGGGATAGTGGTGTTCATGTGACGGCTCCCTGCAACCCTCTGGGCTGGCTTCGCAACATCACTAAGGAAAGTGGACAGAGGTGGAAATTTGTCCTTGTCATCCTCGTGTTTGTAGTCAATTAATGAGGGATTGATTTGCTGCATCCACCCTGCAGGAGTGGGCTTCAACAAAGGAGGGAGAGGGGGTGGATATGTGAATTGATTCTGTATTGCAGCAAATCAGCTTGTTTCAAAGAGATTGAGACTTGGAGATGTACCTGACCTGAACCCAGGTGGGTCATGTGAGATTCAAAGCCACCAAAGGTAGCACTAAAGCCTGGAAGCTATCGAGTGAAGAACAAGATGAGTGCATTGATTGAAATCAACAGAAATGAGCACGCACCTGGTTATCATTGGGATGGTCTGGACCCATATTCGAAGGTTGTGTAAAAACATTGTCTCTAGGAGTGAGTTGAGGTGGTGGGTGATAGATACGCATAGTGTGAGGATAGTTACTAGAGTCAGAGAAGGTCAGATGTGCAACAAACTTTATAGTCATCAAGAGAATGAGACTGGAAGCAGTGCCCTGGATTATATGATTCATCAACAAAAATTTACCATTCATATGCAACAGGAACTTACCTGAGTGACTTTTGGGCAGTAGATATAGCAGTCGATGTACATTCTGCCCTGAAAATGAGTTAAAAATGAGTTGTTGTCAATGTGCATATAATGATCTATGGAAGTCTTAGTCATACCAACATCGTCACGGTGTTTGAAAGCAATTTAGAATGTGTTTAGAACACAATTTGAATCTAGAAAGGGGGTCCTGCCCCCCCTTCTAGATATGAATCTAGAACTGGGTCAGTTTGACATGCGGACTTACAAAAGACTGTCATTTGACAGCGGCACTTTGGCATGAGACATTTAGAACAATGTTCTAAACGTTGCAGGAAGTCATCCAGTTTCATCTCTGAGTTCATTTTCCTATGATCTGTCACACTTACTAATATATTTCCACATGCTCATACATAGCCTTACCCCTCTGCTTACTGATCCATTTGGACTTGCCTCCAGTATATAAACTTCTGTAGAAACTTCTATACTTCCTTAGTCTGAAAATCATATTAGTCCTTGCACTAGATCTCACACTAAGTCCTCATACTAGTTCTTGTTCCTCTGTCCTCACTCCTTCAGAAGTTTCTCCCACTTGGCTAGAAGGTCCTTTCAAAGTTTCCTGCACTTATCTGGAAGTTTTTTAGACTTTATTAGACTTTCTTCGGACTTCATTCTGAAATTAAGAGCATATACTTGGATAAGGTGCAGTGCACAAGCTGAAGCTAAGCCCCTCAGAATCAGTCCTACCCTTTATGCATGATCTTAATAATTTCTTTTCCAAGTCCCCAATTGTTCAGAGCTCTCACTATTATATTCTATAACTCTCTGATTGCAATAAAATGTGACTGAGTCCCCTGAGTATGGAACTGAGGAACTCTGCTTACCTTGAGACCTATCCTATGTAAGTGTAGGCTGATTCATCATGGTTTCACTTGTTTGACCAAGTTGAATTAGTTTGTGATACCAGTCAAATCATTTGTGACTCAGCTTTTGAGTCATAGGCTTAGATATATGAGATGCCTCTTTATTTAGGTATATATAAGGCTTACTGACAAAAGGTGAAGAAGTTTTAGCTACCCAAGTGAGATCATGTTAGTTACTGAAGTAGGTTCATATTTGTCATGTTTGTATATACTTTTGCAAAATAAACATCCTTTGGATAATTTTTTGGTAGCTATAACAGTTCATTGAGAACTACTCTGAGTGAATTGGCAGTTGCCCATAGTCTTCAGGTAGCCTCTAACTTGTCTATGGAAGATTTGTAATAGGCTATATCTTAATATGTTGGCAAGAGATTCTGTGAAGAGAAATCACTTGCACACTATCAAGTCTCTCAGAATCACTCAGTTATCTGTCCTCATTCTCAGCTAGTTAATGTTTTACACTCTGTTTGACTTAAGGTTTGATTCAGCTCTCAAATTTCAGACAGTGGCTCAGAATAATGACAGACAAGGTGCATTTGTTGAAGCAATCTGATGAATTTACCAACTTCATATGTGGTGCAGTACTTCAAAGACATGGAAGATAGCTAAGATATCAGATAAGCTGTTCAGATGACATAGAAGGCCAGGAATAATAAATAATTAACAGGTTGATGCAGGACTGGTCTTAACAAAGAAATAAGGACATTTTGATTACAGATACAAATTTAATAATGATTAGGCTACTAAGAAACAATGTTAATTGGCTAAGTTAGGGTTTAGTGCATATACCACTATTTATGATGATAGAAGACCGATTATAGCAGACTCTACTGCAAGTAGCTTTTTGAGTTATTGACTAAGATTTCTCATTAGATCTCATTCTTAAGATATTTGACTTGCACACTGGAAAGATAGGAGTTGCTTATGTAATAGTAGAAGACTACAGCTCATTATTTGACCAAAAGACTTCTTTTAGATATATTATACCTACTATGCCAGCTTATGTAGATTCCTCAATAAATATAAATAATGATGGTGACAAAGTATGAAAAGATAAAAGTAAGTCTTCTCATGCAGATTCCTAAAATCAAAAGAACTGAATAAACTTTGCAGGATTATCTAAAATCATCAGCATTGAGCAGGTAACAGAGGCAGAACTTTCTTAATTTATGTTGAGGATTTAGCACTTCTCAAGGCAGCTATTACCATCAGGACATCCCTTTAAGTGGATCCTCATTCACCCTAACTCATACTCAATGCTCACTTTCTTAAGAGCCAGACTATTTCTACTAATAAGAGAGTCCTTGATGCACCTAGAGGGTAGGCCTATTCATAGGCTCCTGAATTTGAATGAAGGAACAATGCATGATTCAGACAAGACTATGATTACTTTCATCAATACCTTACCACATTTGCTGCAAATTAGAAGTCTCAACTAGTCTACATAGTCTCTCCTCCAGAGATTATAGTTGTACAGTTTAAAACATGATTGAAATGCAAGCAGGAATACCTTATGTTACTTTAGTTAATAGCAATAATGCTAAGGCTGTAACGGTTAATTGTTTTTATACACTGTACCTCCTTGACTAGTATCCAGAGGAGAAGCCCATTTGGATGCTCATCAAGAAGCTTCAAACTCAGACATGAGATAGAGCAACAAGTACTAGTAAAGACTCTAAGGTTTCTCCTGTATATTTCTTCCCAAAACTGAAGTCAAATGATTGCTCTCAGAAGGTTAAAGAAGAATCTTTTGAGGAGTTATATAGTCTTACATCTACTGTTATGAAGGGAAATAACTGTGGGATTCTCTGCCCAGCCCTTCAGATATCTACCCTGGAGGCAAAAGAACAGATTTCTGATATTCTTATAACTCTTCATAATCTATATTAACTTGTTGTCCTCTTGAGTATTTTAAAAAAAGAGTAGGAAGTTCTCAAACATGTTATGAGAGAAGATACTGTGTTTTCCTCTAGTAGACTTGAGCCTGGAGCAGTTAGCTGCCAGATGAATGTCTCTGAGTGTTCAAATAATGGAGAACTAATAAAGGCCATAGGAGACCTCTAGGGTTCCTAGCATGTGGACTCTAGAGATGACTTATTGACATTTACTCTTCTAACTATATTACTGCGTGTACTGCCCAGTATAATTTTATGAACTCATATTCTTTTGTACTAATCTTGGGACTCTTGGTAGGTAGTAATCCTAGGGCCTTTGCATTAGGCTGATTTGGTCTATATATAGCCTTTGGAGATACTAGTGGTGTTTCTTGTATTTAAGGAGGACTAATCTTATTCACGATTTGCTTCTGAAATTCCAAGCAATCCTGTAAGGAAGTTACACTGGCATTGATAACTATGATAGAAGAAGTATTGCCAATGAGGTCATTGCTAACTGGAACCTTGCTAGTTAGGTCAATTGTGTTGTTTATATGAGCTATACCTAAAGTTCACGAGATGTTTTATTCTAGAAGTTTTTACTAACATTTATCCAAAAGGTTCCTGTGGAGGCATCATCCAGTGGGCTTTTGCTCCTGGTTCACTAGATTTTTACAGGCTTTTATCTGGAATCAGATATAATAACTGAGTAGCATTAGCAGAGAACAGCAATGATATTGTAGAAGCTGAGAACAGCATATCTCAAATGAGACTTTCTCCTTTTACACAATCATCAGATTTGGAACTAGTTGTGTAACTATTTATTGATAAGCTATGATCTGAACTATTATTGTCAGAAGATACTGCATCAATATCAGTGAATTGCGGACTATGAAAGAAAAAGAGAAGGCACTGATGAAAGCAACTCTAGTGTACACACAGTTGAATGTTGTGATGATTGTCAGCTAGATCCTAACAATATACTAGCTAATCATAACTAAAAACAACATCACTGCATGCATGATTGACCACAACAAATAAGAAGCTAATTTGAGTCTTTTATTCCATTCACATAATTGCACACTTTATGACCTCTTTGAGAAAGCAAGAGGTAAAAATAACCTTCTTCATCATGCTGGATACTGCAGGCAAGTATAACGTATTTCCAGATCAGGAACTAAGAGGAGAAGAGAGGCTGAAGGTAAAGCTAGAGCTTCAGACATAGGTGAAAAAGGTCAGAAAGTGTAGGAAGGAGAGATACAGAAAGGGGAGGTGTAGGGAGGGAAGGTGTAGAATAGAGATCTAGAGGTGGGACAGACAGGGAAAGCAAGATAAGGATGAAGAAGGACAAATAAGAAGTGTTGGAGAGGTACCCAGCCATATGCACCTAAGTTGGACAGACAATGACACCCTCAAATTGTCAGAGGAGACACTATTAAAGCAATGGTAGCAGAACTAGCTGCTACCCACTGTAGCACTCAAGCTTATGCTAGGCTTGTATTCAGTTGTTTCACAATTCATGTCAAATGCCCATTACATGATAATCATTTTCTGACATAACCCAACACTTTAACTAGCGGACCTAATGTTTCAATCACATCGGACCCAATATTTTCCAATGCACTTGTCTTCTTCATGTCCCATCCTGTCTTGCTAGCCCCACTAGGTGCATAGTTGATTATTTCACACATTACTCACATTGCAGCTAGTGCTATTACATGTTTTCTCATAGTCCACAGTGCCTCATGTTTGTTTACATGTACTTCAAACCTGAAATATTCCACTGCTACTTTTGCCTACAGGTCTCCAGATTTCTACGTACTTACATATATATTGGACTGACTTCAAGCATTATTCATCATCCAAGTAGTAGGGAGCTGTTTTCCTGATGCTTTGTGGTTAAACCTGATATTCCGTAGTTCTTAGTTGATATTGCAAATATTACCACTCTTTCTATCCGAAATACCCATCATTATTGATAATCTGCATACTGCTTGCTTTCCTAACATTCACTATCACTATTTCCCATAATCAGCTGAAACCAAACCTGCTAACCCAAAAACATCAGACCCGACACTTCGACATTGGACTTATGATTATACCTTCAGACATTGTTTCCCGCACTCAGACTTTTGACCATTTATCTTTTCACTAACTTTGGACCAATCCCAAATAGCTAACCCCTTGGGTCAAATGCACTTGTCTCACAAGTATAGCAGACTAGGCTATGCAAGATCACAATACATATATTTTGCTGGGTGCTCACTTTGTGTAGTGTCCAGCAATTGTTGTATTATTACACTACCCCTTATTAGAATCTTTTAATCCCAATGTAGGAATACAATAATTGCTGGACACTATACAAAGTAAGTACCTAGCAAAATATAATGTTGTGGTCTTGCACAGCCTAGTCTACTATACTTGTGAGACAAGTGCATTTGATCCAAGGGGTTGGCTGTTTGGAAGTAGAATAATTAGTTATATGAAAAGGAATATAGTCTAAAGACAAAAATGTCAGGTCCAATACTTTCAGGTCGGGTTACATCAGGTTATATCAGGTTGTGTTAGGAATATGTTGGAAGGGTAGAGAATGTCAGGAATAGCAAATGTCGGGTTACTATCAATGTTTCAGAGTGTTTCAGATAAAGAAAGGATGATATTTTGGAATTCAGCTAAGAACTACTAATATTGGATGACCTTCTCTTATTCAAAGGTAGAAAGGTGAGTAAATAGGTAGGAGGTATGTGAAATATATAGTATCTATGTAGAATCTCAGAAGGCTATAGATGAAAGTAGTAGCAATAATTTTTGAGTCTGATGTCCTATGTAATAAGACATGTGGTACTGCAGACAAGTGCATGGGAAAATATTGGGTCTGATGCAGCCTAAACATCAGGTTCATTAGGTAAGTATTGGGTTACATCAGGTTAGTGGATAAACATCAGATTGAGCAGGTAAGTGTCAGAAAACATCAGGAAGTGATTTGTGTGCGATAGGTGTTCAACATGCATTGGAAATTAGCTGAATACGAGCTCAGTGCAAGGCTAAGTGCTACAACATGCTGATATATTTTCAAGTTTAGAGTATCTCTCAAGCAAAGCAGTACAAGAATAAAGATTAGACATATTATGATGCATTAAAGGACATTTTGCCGTCAAAGGGAAGAGAGGATATCGCTCACCATGCTACCATGTGGCCCACAGCAGCAGTCAAAGACCAAGGGAGCAGTACCACCCCCATAACTAGTATAGCTATCCTGCCAAACTATGTAAGTACTAGTTCTAGTGAATTTGGAATCACTGACTTGGAGTCTGGCAGAATTTGGAGAAAGCACTTGATACTATTGAGCACACCAACCCAAACCTCCCACTGGTACCAGATACACCAATCTCTTGCGTTGAACTGATCGGCTGTAGTTTATGCCACGCACCTCTGATAGATATAACTAGCAAAGTTAATGTTAGCCTTGACTCTACATACGCATCATGCAGCACTCTTTCCAAGCTTTCCCCACTGGTCAGATGTCATCTTACTCATAGCGCCTGACAGTGATACTCAATGTCCTATATGCAGTGCGTTTTTCTCATAATAATGCCAGTTGATGCTTGGTCTTGCCACAGGACAGAATGCATTTCATGGACATTGGAAGACACTGCTATGTCACATGAGGACTTGCTGCCTTCTTCGGTGTTTTACAGCAGCACATTTTTTTTCTTAGAAAGCCCATTGGCGAGTCACAAATTGACTGGCAACTTCATTGATCCATCCAATGGGAATGGTTCTCGACCTCAACTAACCCCATCAATGCACTTTCACAGATGGAACAAAGTTTGCTTGCGGTCTGGCAAGCTTTAACTGCATCTCGACACAAACACTTTTGTTTATTGGTGGGTATTTCACTCCTTATATGCGCATATGCTCACATGTTCTTCCCAACTTCTTTGGTTGCATTACCTCACCATACACAAATCCTCCAAATGCCAGCTCACTTCTCCTCTATTGCAATGTTCATCTTAAGTATAAGGGTTTGTCGCTACGTCGTCGACTGGTTTCAACTCTGAGGTAGGCTAGTATTTTTATTTTTAAACCACTCACTCATTCGTGTCACGTACATGTCATGATGTCTATCATCACTGGTGCTTGCCGCTGTGCTGCCTGCAGCACTACTGAGCCTGTTGGATCCAACAGGGCTCGAGGCCTGATATTCAACTTTGTTAACTAACTATCATTCAGAAGATGAGATGATTACAGAAGCGATTACTTCCTTGAAGGCAACATTAACTGGCAAGATGGATGAAAATATGTCATTTTTAGTGGCAATTTCAGCAACAAACACTCTTTTTGTGGACTGGATGACTGGCATCGCCATGGACACCAAAGCGGCTGCACAAAACGCAAATATGATGGTGCAAGAGGCAAAAAAGGCTGCAGAGGAAAACAAGGATGAAGTGCGGTCTCAGATACACGAACTTAAGGTCCAAATTCAGGAAGTGAATGATCAGATTAATGCGGGCAAGAGTATCTTGGGTAGGATCAAGGATATTTTACAGGGTATATGGCATAACTAGAGGAAAGGGCCAGACTTCGTCGGTAGGGACCTTGTTTTACATAATCCAATAACTTTTTGACTCAGATGGGCAGTGCACAGGGTGCATGAGGATGACTGGTTTGGTGTCCGGGTACTTTGGCAGCACCAGGTGCTACCCATGCACGAGCAGTGGCTGACATCTTTCCAAATTTCTGGTACTATCACCTGATCTGCAATGCAACTCAAAGCTCACAACTCTACATATATTTCATTTAGAACAACTGTATAACAAGTATTAGCATATGTTTAATAAGCCTGCCAAATTAAATATTCAAAATTGATACTATGAAACCTTCCCAAGATGAAACATTGTGCAAGTATACCCAAAATGAGTGATTTTTGGACACTAAAATCAAGATCCACCCAGATCTCATGAACCTATCAACATAGAAGCTTCAACACACTGGCATATAAAATATACCATTCTGAATCTACTCTAGGTGTTTCTATGTCAACATAACAATACCACAACATGTTATTCACATGAGTGCAGCATGACAGTCAGGATAAATCAGGAAATCACACTCTCAGTTTGATTGAGTCTCTGCTTTGTTTGCATTCAGTGCTATTGAATGCTTTACTACAAGTGCTGTTGGACTTTAAATACTCTTGTATATTGGCCAAGGTGCTGCATGTGACATAGTGTGATGAAATTGTACATTTCTATTGAGTTTTTGACACCCCAACTTCCAGTGCTGTTGCTGCAACAAGCTTACAATAAAATAAAATAATTCTTGTTGGGCCTAATGCACAGAGACCTAAGGTATGCACTAAAGTAGGTCCAATACAAATGTGTTGTTGTTGTGATGTTATTCAGTGATAAGTGGAAATTGTGCATTTCCTGTCTAATAATAGTATATACCAGTTCTTGGTTCTCTGAATTTCCTAGAGAACTGTCTTAAGGTTATGATACAAAACTCAGGGTAAATGTTCTAGAACACAAATCTCAGTCTATTGAACTCTGTAAGTACTAAAATATATATACCTAGAACACAACTAATAATATGTTAGTACAGTAATTATTCAGATCGAACCAATACTCACATCTTAGTCTATTGAACTGAGATGTTCACTTGATGCATTGTGTCTTATATACTATGTGCTGCTAATAGTAATGTACTGAGTCCATATGCACTTGTGTATGATTACTAATGTGTCCATTGTAAAGAGTAGATCCTGTGTGGTCAACCATGGTGCTCCCGCTTCACTGTTGTCATCAGCAAATTTGACCATATGTCGGGAATGCTGGCGGCCACCCAACTGGCACTTCCAAGTCCTTGAGGAACTGGGACATGCATGAATGCTCTCTGTTTGATTGGGATGCCAGACTGGAATCCGGAAATCAGGATATCTTCAGCAGTACATACCCTCGTCTGTGCTGATCCAGTTATGGGCGCCTTCTGCACCTTTGGAGAGCTCAATAACACATGTGTTTTACATTCACTTTATTTTGTCCTGTACGAGGACATGTCAAAAACTGTCTCCGATCATGTGACACAACATGGACCTGAGCTCACCCTCTTACAATGGCTCCCACCACTGCCCATCCATGGGGAGGACCCATGTAGTCCACACAGCACCAAAATTGAACCTACAGGTACAGTAAATCTGGCAACCATGATCCACTCGCAGTCCATGCGTAAAATGCCAGCAGAGAGCAATATGGATGTTGCCCTGTTCATTGATCTGGGCACTTCTCTCTCTGGTACCAACCCCGGGAGTGTGTGCCACATATTTTTTCCCTTTTTTGGTGGTCCCGATGATCGACTGGCGCTTGAGTTCATGATGCAGTTATGTACTAATCCCGGGATTAGTGTGACATTAGTTCGGATGTTGAACGGTGGTGCTGCATGTGTTGCGGCCCAATGGCCATCAATCGTATGCCCCGAACTGGAAGACAGTGATGAAACACGGGACACATGATACCATGGAATGCCTATTCAATCAGTATGTTGACTGCATGTGCTTCTCATCTTTTTTGCTGATGCAAGTCTTGTAGACTGTTGTTATGCCAAGTGTGTTGTATGGACAAATACGCTTCGCATCTGAGACAGCTAGTGATGTTCCAGCCCAGCTTAGGCTCAAAGCCACAGCTTATGCTTGGCTTTGAAGGGCTTAGCTCACAAAAATTCAGAGCCTAGGCCATGAGCCCAAGCCAGCCCAAAGCCGGGGCTTGGGCCCAACCAGGCCACGGCTTTTGGAAGCCAACAGATGCTCATTAGTGTAGGCTAGTAGTAACAAGCAACAGCGTGAATACGACATATCTAAATGTCCATCTCAACATCCGACACGTCCTCGGCATCATCACCCAAAAGCATCATGTCCCAAGCTTCTTCTCCATCCACAACATCACCAGTCTCTGCGTCCACTTCCGCTTCTTCATCATTGTCATCCAGGTAATCCAACTCAACAAGAGATGATGGTTGAGGCTCCCGGAACAGAAGATCATGTTGTAGCGCACATTTCACACACTGTAGTGCTTCAACAATGTCAGCCTTAAGCTGGTTGCGCCGTTTGGTGATGGTAATGCCACCTTGCGAGAATGCCCGCTCACTCGAGACCAACGATGACATTATGGACAGATAATCCTGTGTGAGTGAGGCCCAAACGGGGTACCTTTGTGCATTGATCTTAAGCAAGATTATCATTAGCGTGAAATTTTTGAGTAGTGAAAAAAATACATACACCCCACCATTGAATGGTGGACATGCCAGATGGTGGAGCCACTGTGTGCGAGGAATGATAGCTAGTTGAGAAGGGGTGAAAGGGGGTAGAAAGGGTGAAGTGGGGTAAAACTCAAATAGACCTCTGGACGCGAGTATATGATTTTGGCCCAAGGGGATTGCTACTGAGAACAATTCCTCTATGTAAAAAGTGGAGGGAAATCACTGAAACTAATAAGGGTGGTTGAGAATGGATGGAATGCGAAGGCTAGCACAATGCGATGCGAGCACGAGCGAGCCGCCGTTGACGCAGCGCAAAGCGAGGTTGAGCAGCCAAAGATATGTTAACGCGCAGTAATGCGTGGCCGTACAGAAAAGATATGTGGGTGCCACAAAGCGTTATGGCGAAGCGGCGAAGACGGCGGATTTGTAAGTAGCGCAACGGCTACTTGAAGCAAGGAACTGATGGAATAACGTGGCCGGTAGATAGATACGCACGGCGGTTGATGCAAAGTTTAGAATTTAGATTCGGACGGTAATACGTGCAAGTGGATGATAGATTCTATGTGGGAGCCAGAAAGATACATGAAATTCGTAAGTACCAGTATATATGAGAACGCGCTGAAGCACTATTCGGAGCCAAGTAGGTAGCAGTTGTAGGTAATAAGGGTCCATGATGAAAGTAATAGAGATATAAATGAATTAGCGTCGGAAATATGGTCAGTCTCTTTCAAAACAAGTGAAATACACACCAATAGACCAGCGGAGGACATAGATAGGACAGGATAAGGACACACAATGGAGCCAAGTAAAGGCTGTTATGGTCCGATACATGTGCGTGAGCTGCGGCCGTCGGCCGATAGTGGAAAAGATGCGTGCTGCGTTAGCGTTAGCACGCACAACGCGAGGACCTATGGGACGACACAAAAATAGCCTTTACAAGGCCACAAGGACTCTAAGTCCTACACCGCTTCAACTGTCTCAAGGTAGGCCAAGAATTCAGCCCTCCATGGTCTTGTTGGCTCACCAATTGAAGTAGGTACTGGGTTGGTTGACGAATCATCCTCAGAGTCACTAAGGACTTCGCAAATTAACTTTTTGAGGCTGTCAGCTCTGCTTTGCTTAGTTGCGAGCTGCAATGTTGATGACCTCGCTCAGTTCAACTCAAGATAATGGGCTTTAAACTAGTAGTAGCACATTCAGATTAACTTGACACTGACAAAAAAATATGACTTACCACTGTCTCCGCAGTAGAAAGCACGTCATCATGCAGATCCTCTGGCCAATGCTTCTTGAAATATGACATTTTCCTTGTGGGGTTGAGTCCTGAAGTGCAAATGTCAGACTCGCAGTTGTTTGTGAAAAAATAAACAACGTACACATTGACAATACATATGCAGCAGAGTGCATTGTCTTCTCGTAATACTCGTCCACTTTTGCTGCGGCATGTTTGAGTGTGGGAGTGAACTGCACATACTTTGGCCTTTCAGCACGCGATGACCAAGCCTTATGGAGAGTTTCGAGAGCCGGAATTGCCAAGTGTAAGGTTGAACCTCGTTCTGAAGAGAAAGCCTGTTGGGCCACATCAGTGTACTGTAAAACCTAGATAAGTAGTGACCTTCAAATAAATAGAAATTAATGTACTGAGAGAAGATCAGCAAACTGCCCGACATGCATCCATTCAACTTCTGACAGCTGCAGAAAGTTAATCTTTGCACGTCTAGCTAAATCACGCTCTTGACGACCCATCTCATATACAAAAGTGTCGACATGTTCCTTATTCATCTCCGCGTGGTTGAGCATAATATAAGTCGAGGACCACTGAACCTTCATGTCAATCAACAGCTGCGTCGGCTGGGACACGCCTCCCTTGGTTTGAACATTCCAGTACAGCTCCTTTCGCTTTGCTGACGAACATTCCTTGACGCAAATGCTATGAACAAGGCCGATTTCATCTTGATTGGATGGCTCATGAGCTTTTGGGTCGTGCGGGTTGTAATGAGGGGACTTGGTGTATGAGCTGATCAAGGTCTGTGTCGCAATATTGATAACATGAGCTAGGCAGCTATTGAGATTGTCACATGAGTGATTTAATGAAATAAGAAATGATTATAAACACGTACTTTATTTTCCACTGGCGCCAGGGAAACTCCTTGTCGTACTTAGCCTCATATAGCCTCACAAATTCCTGTAGGGTGGTGCCATTGTTTGCGGTGTTGTCGCAAGTGACATGTCCAAGCTAGAGTGATTCATAAGGCTACTAGATTTACTCACAATAAACCTGACTTACCTTGTGTGTGACACCAACATTATCGAGGATTTTAAACAAAGCTCCACCGAGACGCTTGCCTGTGTGGGCATTATTGACTTGAGTGAATCCGAGCAGTGCACTTTTGAGTTCCCATTGCATGGTAATCTTCTCTTCGATCCAATGTCCTGTGACAGCAAAGTAACCGTCAGTATTTTCGGCCTGCCATGCGTCACAAGTAGTATTGATGGCGCCCTTAACAGTCCCGCCCTACATTGGTCCACATTAGTTGAGTAGATAGTGCACAATATGATCAACTTTACTTACATTGAGTTTGCTCCTGAGCCCCATAAGATGAGTTTTAAATGTTCTCATTATCTCCGCATGAGTTGCCTTCCTGCCTGGAATTTTGATGCTGTTGGTTGTGCGAGCGGTGACATCGATCATGTCTTTGAACTTTGGATGCTCAAGTGCTTGAATTGGCTAGATAAAGAGACGTTCATTAGTTCAATTCAATAGGAAGAGTAATATAGTACCTGGTCTGTGGCCACGAGCCACTCGATTGCAGCCTGTTTGAACAACTTGTCCAAATATGAAACGACTCGTTCAGCAAGCTTCCGTTCCGTCAGATGCACATTAATGTTTTGCTGTGCCGCATTGTCCTTGCAGGCCTTGATGTTGCCAGGAAGGATTGACTCGAATGAATGTTCTTTGGCCCATTTTCGATATTTGCCAGAGAACTTTGCCTCAGCATGACGATGGAGGGTAGATATTTCGTTAACAAGAATACATGCTTTCATATTGAGCTTGCATCAGCATGTGACTATGACTACAAGTGAGCAGACTTACGGGCATGTTTTGCACTTCCTGTGCTTTTTCACCTTCCCATTGGCCCCTGCATGATCAAAGGTAGCACCAAAGAACACATCAATGTCAGCAGTTTTGGCTTCTCGCGTCGGCACTGGTTCCGTGAGAGATTGAACATCAATGTCGATTAGAATACCATCAGTGTCAACCAATTCTGGTTCAGGTGGAACAGCAGCTGATTTGCGCTGCTTTCGAGGCTTGGGATTAGTACGCACATTTTCATGCTTGTCATCACTAGATTCCCTGCTGTCAGAGTCTCCAGGGTGAACCCTTTTGCGGGTGTTGACAGCAGACGGCGCTGATGGTATGGGAGAGGTGGGTGGAGATTGTGTGATTTCGGTAGTGGATGAAGTGGAGGTATGTTCAGCAGCATGTTTGGCAGCCTCCGCAGCGTGGAACTCATTAATTGCCTTGGTTTGGGATGGCAGTGCTGCCTGCTCAGCATGCTGAAGAAGGGTGGCTGTAGGTTTCGTTTTGTGCACAGGATGTGCAACACGGTGCTCAGCATCTGTGTTTGTCATGGGTGGGTAGCAGGTAGGGATGTTAGAGGGACACATACCAACATAAATCGATTGAAAGATAGTACTGGGTGTGCAATCACGCAGACACTTGCGAAGGCGAAGCACAAAAGGCTTTAAATTCACTAAAAATATCAATTTGCGCAACTGAAACCTGGTAGAGTGAGTTATGTCAAACTTGCGAAGCACAGGACATAGTGCTGGCAGCTCACCATGGCTTTTCCGTAGCAACAGACAAGAGATAAGGCCTTGAAGGAGGATGAATTGCTGGATATGTTGGACAGTGTAGGACCATCTGAGTTGAAGCTGATAAAGGTGATGGAAGTCAGAAGCTTAGAAAGACAAAAATAGAGTCAGGAAATGTACCTCTGGTGAGTGCCACTGAACATGCCAAAGCCGCGGCTTAGGCCACCAGCTCAGGCTTTTCGAAACTCAAGCCCAGGCCCAAGCCTTCCTCAGGCCATGACTTAGGCCTGGGCTGGGCCCGGCGTATTTGGGCCCAGCTTGGGCCGGCCCAGGGCCTCAAGCCAAGCCATGCACATCACTACACCCGCATGTTATACCCACTTACATGGTATCTACTACAGTTTGTGACTCGCTTTTGTCAATATCAGTATAGCGGCTCTTTCATAGCCTGCTGTTGCCTCCTTCAGAGTATTTTTGAAAGCACTAAGAAGCCCAGCCAAATCTGACATGTTTCCATTAATCAAAACATACCAACATATTGATTAAAACATAAGAAATGTGCAAGATATTTGAAATAACATAAGTACAAGACAAAATATATGTGACAAAAATAACATAGGCACAAAGGATAAAATAACATAATGAACATCAGAGCATCAGGGACCCTCAATGAATTCCTCTTCATTGATAATAACAAGCTGGAGGCCCTGGAAACATACACACACATCAGTGAACCGGTGAAGGTTTTAGAAAGGTATATATGACGATATATAGTACATAATCACAAGAACCAGCATAATTCTGCTATCGAGCATCACATTGTTATATTTGACCTTGTAGAGGAAAGGACATTTCCTGATTGTGTTACGAAGGATTATGATTCGGAAAAGGTCCTGGTGTCACTCACACTCAAACTTGGAGGAATTTGTGATGTGCTTCCACTATTAACACTGTTACGGTTCTTAGGCTTACCCTTCACCTCTTCACCTCTTCACCACTTCACTTGTCACATTTCACCTTTTCACTTATTCACAGAACTTCACAGAACATTCTACCTAATTCCCACGCCACATTATCATACGACTCTTACTACGATTATTCCCATTGGACGATCACCATTCAGACTCCTATTACATATTGGAGCTCCGCTTCAACATCATGCTTATATACCTGTAGATACCATGTATGTTTCCCTAACTTGACTTTAGCAATCTACCTTGTAAACCTACGGCTAGTAGTAAAGGGGGTTCATTGTTAAAGCGTAACAAACACCACCTTCTTGAAATGGTTGACTGTCATCTAGTGTATGCCAATCTTCCATGTAAGAACGAGCGCCTGTATCTTCTAGGTGATGCAAATGTGCTCATCGAGCAAGTGGGCCCAAATTTGTGTCCTGCTTCAGCTAGTATCAACTCCTTATTGGAATGGTTGATTTTCCTCAGGTGTGTGTCAATTTTTCATGCAAGAATGAAAGCTGGTATCTTCCAGACGACGTGAATGTATTTATCGAGCAAGCAAGCTGGAAATACAGACCACAATGGCGAAACTAAACATGAAAGTGAGCACCGTCCCAAAAACAACCATGTGTTAACTGATCAGCGACAATGCATGAATTTTCTGTAAATATAACGGTCAAGCTGGGTGAACCATAACCGTCATGTTGGAAGTGATTTCTGTAACTTGAAAGTTAAGCAGGAAAGTGAGCACCTTCCGAAGAACAACAATGCATTCATGAAGTGAGCGACAATAAATAGGTATCCCGCTTTGAATTTTGACGCTATCTGTTTGAAATGCTTGGTGTTCGTAAATCATAGGACAACTGTCCGTGTAACACTGAAAAAAGTGCCTTCCAGAGGGTGACAATATGTTCATCACACAAGCAACAATTAACTCATATTCTCCTTGAAATTTTGAGCCACCGTCTTTAGACATCAAATTTTGGTTAGTCTTTTCTTAGATTATCTAATCACCGTCTGCTTTGTGCACCAGCTGAGGTGTGTTCACAGAGCGGGCGATAATCAATTTATGTCCTCCTTCGACTCTCCACATGACCTTCCATGAGTTTCCAATGACTGACAGCTTTAAGTCCACTTGTCCTGCATCCCAAGAATCTGTAGCTCTGCACCAATGTTGCAACTTCATGATTCACCATCTTAGCTCAGGGCTTGATAACAGTGGGTCATGGCTTGCCTTGATATCTCACTTACCATTTGATAGACATCTTAGTATATATTACATATGGATCACTGCAATTGGGTATCTCTGCACCGTGCTGCAGGATTTTTGCACGTGTGTATTCGTGACCCCGGTAACATAATTCCTCCGATGAACAACAAAGTCACCGTTTGGCGCAGTTATGTGTTTGTTACAGGCTGTTGGCACAAAGCTAAAAAATATAGAGACCGTGCAGCCTGCGTTCTTTCATCTAGATGCATCTTATCAAACTCAACCTGAAAGATCCGTGCACCAGGATTTAAATGATGGCTTGGGGATTGTTCCCATGCGTGACAGCCCGTTTGCACGAAACTGAACAGTTATAGGGACAGCGCAGCCTGCGCTCTATCATCTAGATGCAGCTTATCCAACTCAGACTGAGGGATCCACGCACCAGGACTTGAATGATAGCCCAGGGATTACTCGCATGCAATATTTACACATGGCAGAGATCACTCTAATTATTCAGTTGCACATAACATTAATTTTATCAACATCATTAAACCATCACATTGATTAGCAAACAACAGATCTAATATGAAACACAGTAATATCTAGGGTGAATCAAACGCAGCGTCATCACGTTGTGCTTTCTGCCCACCCCTAGTTGTAGTATTAGACCTAGTAAAGTGGCAACTACCAGCTTTCAAATTGTCATGATTCACGGCAATTACCAGTTGCACACTTTGACCTAATCTATGGCTCTTGCCACCCTGCCGCCCACTGCTGGTTCATGCCAGTCAAAAATATTATAATGGGTATTAATGGGTATTCACATTGAAAATCATATTTAAATGTAGGTTCGACATTAAAATTTTATTCATGATGACTAATTAAACAAATATGATATGCCCCTAGATACCTACCCCTCGTCGTCATCAAAATTAACCTCATCCCCAGCAAAATATTCAGCCAACTCATCCGTAGCAGCTGTGATGTCTGCGGCAGCTCCATTGGTCCAGAGAAAAGTGAAACGAGACAGTAGTGCATGCTGAACTGCAGCCTGCCTGTGAGCATATGCGATGGCGCCAGCCACGATCTGTGTGTCCTTGTGTGACAGGTCAGTGATAGATTGCCACTGTTCTGCACGCCATGCGAGAAATTGTCGTGTTCGCCGCATTTCCTCCTTGAGGAGTAACACCTCTTCACTCCACCGTTGCGCACGGGCACAAGACTTAGCCCATTCTACACGCAACACTACAGTAAAGGTCAGAATAGAGAGTCGCTACATGTATTAATGCACTCACCATCATTCAGACCTGCATCACTTTCATGATCGCGAACGCCCGAAACGGACCAAATCCACGACGTCGTCTGATACCCCTGCCCTAATCCGCACGATGTGTCTCTCCTTCCGCGCATTCCTGTAGTACTCCTCACACCCGACACTGTGTCGACAGGTGCCACGATGTCCTTTGCCTCTAGGGATTGAAATTCCCTGTCCAACTTGCTGATCCCAACCAGTTCTAGCGATGCTGACCGAGCGACACGGTATTTTTCTGCGGCAGCATTGATTTTGCTGTTCAACCGAGTGAGAGAGGAATTTGCGCGAGTGTTGGCTTGTTGTCTGCGTAAATCGAGATTGCAGTGCTTGACAAAATGGGATTTAGTATGTAGTTGCCTGCACAACTTATCGAGTGAATCGCGACACTGTCCCTTGCGCAACTCAGCCTCGATGTGAGCAATATTGTTGGTACATAGTAAGTCTCGATCACTTGGAGGGAGTGTTGACGGCAGCCAGAGCGATTCATCCTCGACTTCCTCAGATGAGTTCATGTCTTGCTCTTCAATCCAGCCTTCGACGCCTACCATATATACCCGCTGTATGACGCGGAAGCGGGCTAGCTGTTGTTGTAGCGTGATCCGACGTTGGTTAAGTTCAGTGTGCCCATTCGCACTGAGAGATCTTGTGAGATCATATTTGATTCGTTGCCTGGAAATGATCAGAAGAGTGTCTCAGAATATTGCAGAAGTAGAACTTACTGTGCATCTTCCAGAACCAGGCCCATATTGATGAAAGAACTAGGAGTAACTTCGTGCGGAAGTTGACGCCCGTTACTGATAGAAATCTTCTCATCGTCCGTAAGATTAGCACATATTTGTGCTTCTGAAAGGCCTGTTGAACCATAGTCAGCTTCAACAAAAAATTCCAAAGTACAGATAGACCTTACTAATCTTGATGTGCACGTATGGATTCGGACTTGATTTGTCGCGTTCCCAAGCCTCGATCATTGCAGTCCATTCTCCTCGATGTGCATCGTCAATCACTAAATTAAAGTCACGCAAAAACGATTGGTGACGACCCTGTTCCTTGACAGCATTTAGCAGTTTTTTCCGTAGTGAGAGTCCTGTAAATTGAATGAGTTGTTGTATGGGCGGGAGCAGACAAAAAATCGTACCTAGTCCAGCATACTTGCGCCAGTTGTGATGTCCAAAATGGTCATCGAGGACATCGTGTTGATAACCGGTGCCCATTTCCTTCGTGCTGTTGGCAACACAATTCATCTCTGCCCAGTTGCGTTCGATTCCCTCGCCATCAGTCCGTCCTACGCCTGGCATGAGGTTCAAGGAATGCGGAATCGCACATTTTTCCTCATGCGCAGGGCAGTGAAACTTCGGGATTCCAAACATAAATGCCACGAGGGCGACAGCTGCTGGCATCCGAAGGTGTTCAGGGAGCTCATTCATTCTCTTCATGAGATTGAGCTTCCACTGGCAAGCGATGTCATAAGATATGACAACAGTGAGGAGGAGGAGAGGCATGATGGATGAGAAGAAGATGAAATCCATATTAGCATATCTAAGTTCATCGTTAGACAGTTGAATACACATAATTTAAACGAAGATACCTTTCGCCCTTTTGAAGGTCTCCAACTCCTTGAGGTCGAACAAGTTCATGGTGTGCACAAAGACATAAGCCGACACCAGTCAATTGCAACCCATTCGAGTACTTGGATTCAGCGTGTGCCAATGTCTTGAAACCCGAACAAGTGCTAATCTAATAGGTAGGTCTCCGGTAAGTTTTGTGCAATACGAGTGAAAATTTTAAAAAAACCTACATCGGCTTGGCTTGCATTCTTGAGTATGTGTTCTGTGTAAAATTTGTCAGGAACGAAGTATGCAAGACCTGTGTGTAGCCCAGGATCGGCAATGCTAGAAGCTCGATTCCTATTCTTGAGGCGGAAGTTGGCATCCATAGCGATAATCAAATAGTAAAGAAATCTATGAGGAAGGGGACATTTAATAAATGCAGCGGATTAAAAAAAAAGCCTACTTCATTGATCCCTCCACTTTGTCCCAGTCCTCCGGCAGGTTTATGCCAGGTTGCGGACAAGCAGGACACTTGATGGCTAATGCACCAGGCTCAGTATCGTAGATACCACCAGTTATATTACCACGGCCAGCTCGCTTCATTAGTTTGATATGGCGAAATTGACGAACCATTCTCATAAATTCTTTATACCGAGACTGTGACTGCAGTCAACATTTGCGAGGCATCGGCCATGTGATAACATACCTTAGGTACATTCAAACCCGTGTTGTCAGTGAGTCATTCGAGACTAGTGTAGAACTCGTAGCCAGATAATTTGCTTGACCATGCCAAAATGAGAAAGAACTCCAGAACCTGTCTTGTGCAGGCACTCTGAGGAAAATGTGGTGTGGCCGGATACCATTTGCAACGTAACAATTGCTGGCGATGAGAAACTCGTTGATGGCACCCACAGAAATCGATGTTTACTCGGTGGATTGCGTTGGTGTGAATCATGACAAAAGAAATATGCCCTCTTTGCGGACGCAAACATGGCATTCCTTCGTGTCCTAGTTGAACCCTAAGGCCCATGTCGGCCAAGGAACTATGCTCAAAATAAGTCCCATTCCATTTCTGCGCATCATCAAAAAACTGGTAATGCAACCAGAACTTCGAAAAACTCACATAAATTATATGTAAAGGATGACGTGCATGCTTTAATAAACAACAAGACTTGCACAAAATTTCTGGTCCATAGCAATCTTCACAGTGGTACAGGCGTTCTTGTACAATATTATTATTGATATCGCTGCATGAGCATGGTGTCGTTGTTAAGCTACCGCGGCCCTCCAGACGTAGCTCTTTGAGGAGATATTCTTCACAGAATCCGACACGCTCATTGACGCCCATCCATTCATGCAAAGGTGCATCCTATAAAGAGTTGAGTTTGCAAAGTAAAAGTCTGTTGGAATCTCACCGAGTTTGCATAGCGTTTTGCTGGTACCTTGACCACCATGACAGGTTGGGGCTCAATCTCGTCGTCGAATACAAAGTCATCGCCAAGGGTTGGCTCCCAATTGTCCATTTGCAGGGGCTCAAGTTGGTCTTCCAGCCCATCACCCGCCTTGAATTTTGTCGGGGAGCAAGGTATGGTGATTTGTCTGCGGCCACCGGCTGACACTGCTATCATCCTGGCATAGGCTGTTGTTGCATAGTCGTCTGAGTTGGATTCATCGCGGTACACCACATATTTTCTTTTCCTTGACATGAGTAAGGCTCGTTTCAGAAAAAATAATACTAGAGCTTACCAGTAGACACTCGCTCCCGCGAGCAAGTTCCCTCCTCCCTTGAGTTGTAGCACTTCAAGAAAGAAGCCTGTACAAAAGAGGGTATCCGACGATCAGTTTGGTAGATAGGTAAATATATCAGGACGTACCTGGTCGATTCATCGCCTGCTCGGCTCCTCGCGTATATTCACCCAAGTCACACTAAACCCTGTTAAAATAGTTTAAAGCCCATAATCAAATAGTTGAACTTGAACCAAACCAAATTCAAACCCTCAGACATGTCCACCGCTACTATGCCTCCACCCTCGCCTGAGATGTCTACCGCACATACGGCTCCACCCTCACCTGACAGCAATACTCTGCACAACGTCGGGGATGTCTTCCAGAGTGGACACACAGACATTGCACTTCAAAGTATCTGTGGTCCGTGTGGTAGTCGAGTAGCTCGAATTTGCATGCCTGCCTGCTGTGGTGAGATTGATCATCATTGACAGAATCCAGCACTCACCCACTTGTTAGTCAAGCTTGTAGCGATTGCCGTTATAGAGTTATTAGTTAGCGACCCGGCGAAGAATGAAATGTTCCGCACCATGCTCCGTGAAGTCATTGTGGAAGAAGCAGAGCAGGACTACCAGACACGACTTCAAGCATATGAGGCAGCCGTGGCCACAGTTTCGAGTAACGCCGCTCCCACCGAAGGCACTGACACCACGACGGTCATCAATTCCGAGTGATCATGTACGTCCAATCTTCTTAAATATGTTGAAACGATGGTTGAATATTCTGTTCTTCAAGTTCAGTGTTTAGTACTCGAAACGTGGAGTTAGTAGTAGTTACACTTTGCCATGTATCTCGCATTTACATAATGAATATTGTCTGTGACATTTTGTCAGTGCTCGTTCAACAGAAATTAAGATTTCTTAGGTGTCTCACCGACAGCCTCTGCCGGAGTAGTGTCCCAGCGAGAACGTCGCTTTTTCAGCGCAGATGCTTCCAAAGCTTCTTTCGACCATTTGTTTTTATCAGTTTTATTAGGGTCAACATTCTCATCCGCAGGCTCAGGAACGTCCCATCTCCGTTTGTGTTTGGTCCCAGAAGTAGCTTCACGAGAGTTCGTGAGCTCCCTTGCAGATTATAAACCTTCATTGTACGACAATGCTGGAGATTGGTATTGATTTGCAATGAGTTCCAACACATTGTGAATGTTCAATGCAATGAACAGACTTACTAGGCAGGTACTTGTTGTTTACATAATCTCATATGTTGAAGTGCAGTGAGATGGCATATGACATAGTATGTTTCATGTTCAAGCTCAGCGTTTGTGAAAACGAACGACACGAATTTTATTTACCTTCTTTATCTGAAATTGGACAGTGCTTCGGATCTGTAAGAGTGTGCGGTTGATCCGAGATCAACTCCAACATCATCATCATGATTGCCAGTGTACGTACTAGCAAATCCTCGACAGTGATCTCAGTCTCACTGCATTGAAGTTAGCAGTTGTACCAGCAGCAAACCATTAAGATAACAGAATACAGTGACCTGGTATGTAGCTCGTTACTATTAATTCATTGATGTGCCTATTGTGTTGATGGATGTACTATGATCGGACTTGCGCGCTGACTCGGACTCCAAGTTTACCATAGTAGTTATGGTCCTACCACCAAATCAATATCACTGAAACACGGATTAATCTAGCATCCTGCTATCAAATCATCAAGTTTACAGAATACACAGTCACATAGTATGTAAGTCTTTAATTGATTTGCGCATTCGCAATTGTGTTGGTGCGCTGAGCTTAGACTTGCCTGGTAAGTTATGGTCCTACCATCGAATCACGATGACTGAAACATAGGTCTATGTAGCTCAATTAGCTTCTTCACCGTGTATTGAACAACATGGACTTGAGACCTTGAAGCGGGCATCTTTGGTGAGTGATATGATTCACTGGCATTATTTCCCTTGATTGACCTTGCATTTACATTCAGTTCATGAATACTACTATCTACATCGCCCCTCATCGCAGATCATCGATTTATGGTAATAAAATACCTTATATAAAGGTGCTCTTTTCGTTTCGTTCCACCCACGATCTTTCCTCATGGTTCGCCCCACTATTCACCACACTGTTGGAGCCAAACAGCAGGCCGCGCGCGAGAAACGCAGGAGACATTATGAAAAGTAAGTTTGATCTTTATTGTTGCCTCTCCTCCTGCAACTGAAGTGTTTAGACACCGAGACATCATTTTATTGAGACGTCGTCTCTGCTGCACAAACAGCACACCCTCCGTCACAGCTGAGTCTAATCCAAATGACCTGTTGGATGACGAGGTTGACTTCGAGGCAATGTGTGTTTTCTTTTCAACAGTAATTAAATTGCATCCTTAACGATCGATCGACTATAGCGTTACTTTATCTGACTGTTTGAGGCTCGTACACGATGCGAAGAATAAAGTCCTGCAAATCGTTCCTTCTGTGGTACCCACAGTATACGTCGAGGATGTCCTTCGAAAATATGCGATGTCATTGCGCACCAGTGTCGCCGGGGATATTGAGATATTCGGGGATGCAGTCAAGCACGTTGAGCCCTATTTGATCTGGGCACAGCAGGGGCAGGATAAGATTTTTGACATGTGTGGCGTATGTGATGAATGGCGCGCTGCTGACGAGGTTTCTCGCTTCATCGGGCATCTGGTAGCTATGTTAGAGGATCTTTACAGACTAGCTGTTTGGGGTGACCTCGACGAAGCCTACTTACTTGGGGAAACCATGTACCAGAAAGTCTTGGGACTGGAGGCTCCTGGAGTCTAACTCGGACATACTGCTTTTAGAATACATTATACCATTGTTGCCGTGATCTACTAGCGAGTGCAGGAGAAAGTCAGATTCATTAAGTGCGTGTTGTATTGACTTGATGTAAGATACAAAAGTAGTCCAACGTAACATGTATTCAAGCGAGCAAAAAATTCGATGTGTAGCCTAGCGATTCATCAATCTGTGAGTTGGTACTATTACTGCCGATTACGTGTCCTCTTCGATGATGGTGTGTTGGCCTGAGTATCAGAACGGCCCCGTTTCTTGTTCCCACCGGAAACCATAGACTTCGACGCAGAACGACTTGCTATGAGTCGGTCCAAAACCCACATGACGTCGTCTACAGCCTCCTGCCAGCGTGAGTCTTTTCCATCAGTGTTGTCTGCCCACCACTTCAATGTAGCCACGACTGAGAGCATGCCGTTTGCACCTGGTTTATTCAGGCGGTCCCAACTGCCGTCATCTGTATGAGGGAGAATTGCACATGTCGTAAGTGTTGGCGCCTGACAGCTTCTCCACTCCGGTTGAAGCGCTAGCCACCAAGACCACCATTGTGTGATGAATGAGGCGAGATTAGGTATGGTTGGTTTCCCTTTACGTCCACGGGAAATCCACCAGTGGACTTCGACTGGACGATGTTCGCATCCCAAGGCGGCTTTCTCATTCGTGAAGCTTGATGCATCCTCAAGGCGCACCAGCTTGTCAAACAACTGTATCAGCTGAGGAGAAGTTGGGGTGGGGTACATCAACTGCCGGAGCGGATTGCTGAACCATGGTGGGCTGGATGTCAGTGTAGATAAACTGAGTGATATGTTGCCACCAGGAGAGGCTGTATGTAAACGTGAGTGACTTATAGCACACATGAGAAGCGCCAATTACATACCGTCTGTAACCCGATTTGAGTTAACCACGTGTTTGTCAAGAGTCGTGTTAAGAGGGTTGTCATGATTATCCTCGGCCCCTTCCATGTCTCGTTCGGCAGAAGGTGTCTCATCCATGTCGTGATTATCGATAGGCTTAGGGAGTTGGTTAGCAGCCATGACAGGGTCGTCTCTGATATGTGGATCAATGAGATTGTCGTCAAAAGGTGCAGCAGGCGGCTCAATTATGGCGGCAGATGTGATTCCTAAGGAGATATTAGTGTAGTACAACAGATAGAGCTGGAAGGACAATCAGTGGTTATCTTACCATTGATAACGGAGCTGTCTTCATTGAGTTGGTCAATTTCCTCTGTGTTATCCGGCACTTCAGACACACGAGACGACACTTTGGACAAACGATCCGGTACTTTGGACAAACGATCCGGTACTTCAGATGCAGGAGACGGCACGTTGACCAGGCGATCCTTCTTCCTTGCTTCGAGGTGTTGGAGAGCTAATTTCTGGTGGTGTGGATTAAAGATTGTGACACCATGATTTCCCTTGGGTGGTGAAAATGGAAGTACCCATCTGGAACCCTGACGTTCATCTTCACTATCGGTGGAGCTTGATGAAGTTGAAGACGAGGAAGATGAAGACAAGCCGGAGGATGGGGAAGATGATTCCGAAGACGATTCGTCCGCCTCAGAAGCCTCAGAAGGCTTGCGTTGAGAAGCACGTCGCTGTTTTGTACCTTGCTGCTTTGATTTCTTCTTGGGTCTATATTTGGCTGTTGCCAATTCGGTTGCTTCGCGTTCTTCTTCGGCGTCAGATTGGTCGCCTTCCTGCGAAATAGAGAACAAGCCATCTAAATCGTCCTGGAGGCGACGGGAATCGCAGTCCTGCTTGGCTGATCACGGTGTTCATTATAAAGTTATAAAGTTAAGTGATAGAAATTAAGAATGTACTATATGCATGTGATAGGTATTCTTGAAATGATTTCGTGACCATTTTGAACTTGGTCTTATCTCGAGTTTGCCAATTGCGTGGTGCGAGACCTAAGTCAATGCCCTCATGCATACTGTAAGCGTGATGTTAGTTTTGTATCGGAACGACATTGAAAAACACACCTAATGACGGTAATTTTCCCTTGCTTCCGAGGTTCAGGTCCACCGACTAAAAGGGAGACATGCATGCCAAGGATTTCGGCCATACCAGCGAGAACCGGCCCAGCAAACGTTGCGAGGTTATCCAGAGCCCTGAATTAGTTATTAATACAGATACAAATGAAAGATTTTGAACGCTTACGCTTGTCTATTGATGGGAGATGTGGAAGGAGGAGCTGCAAGGCGATCATTCCATTCTTTCACTGCAGCTTCACCTTCGGCTTGTGCTGTATCTTTCCAATGCTTCTGATCTTCTTTGGACAGTTTCTTGAAATGTTTGCGAGTGATCCTATCACGAAAGGTCGCCATCTTCTTGCTAGGTAGCCCAGCCTTACGCCACTTTTTGAGAAAGTGGGACTTGATTTCAGTCTCGAAGTGATCTTTTGACCATCGCTGGTGGGCTTGCAAGGCCTTCGGCTTCTTTTTTCATACTCCAGAGAGCTGGCTGAGAAGTCGAGTCCATTCGTTGTTCTCTGGCTTGCCGCGGCATACGATCAACTTGTTTGGGGACTTAGCACGATATTCTAGCCAGCTCTTGATCGCCTACTTGAGTGTTGAGAGATGTATCAATAAATACATGTAAAAACGCCTACCTTCTGCATCGCAAGAACTTTTTGCGATTTTTGCGTCAGTTCGATTGGGGAAAGTGACTCATCTGACTCCATTTGCAAAGGATTGTTTTCCAAAGGCTCGTCCGATATCTTCATTTTCCAGTGATAATGTTTGAAATATTCTTCCACGACCTCGTATACATAGTCGGTTGCTTGTGATTTGCCTCGATTGACGCGTTCGTGGTAAGTGGCCAGATGGCTGTTGAGAAACGCTAGGCGTGAATTTTTGGCCCAGTGACGAAACAGTTTGTCGACGTAGGCGTTGGGATCATCATTATTGGTCCCAGGAGCTGGGGTGGGGGGAGTCGGATCTGGGTTGGGCAATGGGTTGGGGGACAACACCACAGGTGTGTTGTCCAGCGCCGGACTGGTTGTTCTATGGGTAATATAGTGAGTCCCAACTATCAAAAGTAAAAAACAGCTCACTCCATCGTCACGGTTGTGCAATGTCGAATACAGTGAAGAATGAAAGTGTGGTCAGCGTCCAGGTTCTAGTACGTACATGCAGCAAACTGATCAGATATGATATATTTGTAATGTGTATATATAATATATATCTGTATTATATGAATATTCCAGGGGATATTGGGGGTGCATATTTCAATGGGCGATTGCATGCCTACAAGCAAGGCCTTAGCCACGAGTGGTACATGCCAGCGTTGTAGGTCAAATTGTGCAGCTGGTAATTGCCATCATAAGTGTCTACACCAAAACTGGCAATGGCCATATATATTAGGTCTAATACTACAACTAAGGCTGCTCTGCCTTGCGAGAGCGTTGACAGACATATTGGCCTTCATTGCATTGCTAAGTTCACCTCAGCGATTCCTCCCAAAAACTTTTCTGAAAATGGAATTCTAGCAAGGCTTGGTTTGGAGGGAAAATTACGCACCTAGTCCACCATTTGAGAAGTTGCTGTACCCTGCGCTGCGCTTCTCGACCAGGGGCCCTTTCGAAAAAGTCAACGATGGTCTGCCAGAATTGTTGGTAGTCGAAGTCGCCATCCATGGACCACCAGGAGGTAACTGAAGAAAGTGCGAATCGCGCCTGCGAGTATATAGTGAAGATATATCATAAAATAGACTGAACAATACAACTTACTTGACATGTGATATATGCGATCGAGCGAGGAGTGACTTTCTCCAAATGAATGATTTGTGCTACGTGTTTTTTGACCTTGATTTCAGATAAAGACTTCTTAGCCCGTCGGTTGTTGCTGATGACATCCGTGCCGTCACTGTCACCTTTGACGTCTTTTGCTGAGGAAGGAGACATGAACACAGCCTTGTAGGCCTGAAACACCAGTCAGTTTGCTGTCAGGCTGCTCCGGTACGACAAACCTGAATGAGAATCTTGCCCTTGAAAAGGCCCTCCTCAAGATCGTCCAGATTGGAAGTGTACTTATCATACAAGTAAGTGGGAAAGGATAGATCTGTGACGATATACCCATCTGAGCGATTTCGGATGCCTGCCCTTACTCTGGTGAACTATGAGCATTGTCTCTCAGGCTCGGGATATCAAAGCCACTACTTACTCTGGGTTATTCCAGTCAAGCTCTGCCAGACAGAGCAGCCTGCCACACACATCATGGGTGAATCCACAGGAATGCTTATTGTCTTGGTCAACGGGGGAATCCGGCTTAAATTCACGGTTGATCCATTCCGAAACGAGAGTCTTCAGTTTCGAAGTGTCATCTCCTCGAGCGCCATCAGCCCCCTGTCGAAGCTAGACAAAGACTCAGCCGTGACATAACCATTAATATCATTAAACAAACCATCTTTTAACATGTGCATGTACTCCTCGTACTCCATCTCTGAACCCTTCTTGTAGAACAATGGCAGCGTTTTGGTAAGGGTAGTATAACCTATTTGAAGTTGATCCTGTCTACGTAACCACGTTAATGAGTAATATACCCGATCCAAGAGCGAAATACTTACTTGATGGTAGTCTCCTGGTCTTCGATCTCATATCTTCTGTCGTTTTCGGCGACGAGGTCCTCAATACTATTGAACAGGGTGACAACACGCCTGATTGCTCTTCCTTTAGCAACATACCAGATTGTTTGCCTAACAGATGGTGAGCAATGCAACTGAATACTGCGTGCGATAGCAGCCACACCTTTGCTTGACTGTGTGGCCTGACTCCAGGGCCTCCAGCTTCTCCTCCAATTGAGCGATTTTCTGTCTCTGCAGAGCTTGCACATGTGCCGCTACTGCTTGAGATTGTTGCGGCTGAGTGTCGCCTCGGTCCTGCTGATTCTCAGCGTGCGGGGTGCTGCCTTCGCCGTCGACATACGATGTGTCATCCTTGTCCTGCTGGCCCTCGACATGCAACATAACAGCAGGAACTCGAATAGGTTAGCGAATGACTGAAACAGTCCCTGAGGGATGAAGATAAAGTGAGAGCGAGGAATAAAACTAACCCGAGCCAGCTCACATTTTATATGTTAGCCAAGGCCAGTCCTAGTTGCCTAATAAGAATACTGGGAACTAGTAAATCACGCTAGCACAAGCGATTAAGTCGCTTGAACAATTTGATACCTGTTTAGGAAAATGGTTAACGTTAGCAAAATAAAGTTGGATGAAAAGTTGCTAACAGCGTGGCAAATATGTACAGTGCTTGCACTGCAACTGGAGCGACCTCAAGAGACTGAGCATTACGCGGCGCTCTGAGATCAATAGAGTCGGCCTTGGCAGCAAAAGCATTATCTGCACGTTGAGGAAGAGATGATAATGATGTAGTGGATGCAGTCAGACCAAGTTGTGCAGACAGAACGGTGAACTGAATATCACCTGTGGTGTTCTCTCCAGACTCAGACTTTTCAATCTTATGATGTTTCGCCTCTTGGTCTTGGCGTTGCTCAGCTGAGATATGGTAAGTTTCTAAGGCGTGGACGGATCACATCATAGATACTCACTCTCTTGTCGCTTACAGAAAATCAATAGCCTGTTCCAAATCAAAAGGGAAGGGTGTATTGTTCACATTCAACTCAGATTCCAGATACTTGTGCAGAATGGCGATATCGAGGAAAATGAACGGTTTTATTCCGGTGGAGGAGGCTTTTTAATATCTGATTTCAGTGCTGTACATTGAGCGGCATAGTGACCTTCTTGGCCACATATTCGGCACCCAGAACCTTTGTCCTGCACAAACACATCTTCCCGAAGCACTCGGAAATATGGTTCATGGGTTGCAAGGGCGAGCATGATGAAATCAGCATCCTGAACATACGGTCAATAACATAGAACATGATAGCAGGAAATCAACCCACCAAGCCATAAATTACATGTCGAGTATTAGGCTCATGACCAGGATTTGTGCACTGTCTGCATATGAAGTCCATAATCTTATGCTCTCCTTCTCCAGGCACACTTGCATCCGAGATAATGACTTGCAGCTATACCAGAAATGAGTCAGGAGGATCCCTAGGAAACGTTCACTACGTACATCTCTCCACCCTGGATCAGTATTCATTCTCCACAACCCAGTATTGTAACGGTGCTGTTAAAAGGTTCATAAACGGCGTACCGGGTGTGATAGTGTTAGAGTCCCAAGATTTCTTGTTTTTCTCATCATCAGTAATAATTTTACCCATAGCTGCAATGATGAAATTGGTCAGAAATACAGCATAGATTGGCTCTGAGAACGATGTACCTTCCCACTCAGCGACAGCAAGTTTATGAGCTTCCACCTTGTCTTTTGCTACTTGAGCAGTCCTGAACCATCTACCTCGCTGTTCATTCATCTTGGCACGAGGTGCAATGCCATCTAATTCCACTCTGCAGTAAGTTCGTGGTATGAGACAACATAAATGTAAAGCGCACCAATGGCCATGAAAAGAAGTTTGCGCGGCTGCACCATGTTAACCACTCTGTTAGTGTATTTGAAGATTTCAAGCATCATTTCCTCCGCCGTTTCTGGAGCCAGCTGCGGAAGACAAGTCAGGGAGTAAAGCAAATTTATAGAACGAAGTATACGTACTTTGCCCTTGGGATGAGTACAAGGATGAACCTTTGTGCATACGAATGGTCCGCATGAAAAACATATTTACTACTATCACTCACGATACCGTTCATATCCAGGTATAAGTTGTCGAATTTCTCGCCATTGGGGTTAGGTTGTGTGATGTCAACAGGAAGTTTGATAGGATCTCCAACTGCATCGAGAATTTCCTCCTCCTCAGCATCAATGACAGATGATACTGGTAGTTGTTAGCCAAGCAAATACCAGTTAAGCACCGGTTTCTCACCAATCTTCGGATATTTCTTGCTCAACCAATGGAACAGTGCGGGAATGCCCTATAAACAAGGTCAATGAAAGCCCGATTCACATTTTTTTGGATTCGTGTTCACACAGCCTTACACCATGGAGGTTGAAATCACAATGAAGAGTAGTCGGTCATGCTGAAGACGTGCCTTGGAAAAGCCACATCAAGCCATAAGAAAAAACGTCCAGTGCACCGTGGTCCCTCCATGCCATCAACAGCGAAAGCATCAAGTATCAAGCTCAAGGGTCAGTCCGCTGTGTTGAAGACATGACTCAAAGACTTCGCTCTTTGTTAAGACGTCACTGATGAAGAATGCATTTTGTAGGGATGGGATCTGACGTGTCGCTTGTGTGGAGAGTAACTGACCCATAGCAGGGGTTAGGTGTGTGACAGCAACTTTGCTGTCATCCATTCATTCTGCAAGACAGCCGGGTGTGCCGATGTCTTCTGCGGTGGGTACATGAAGCTCTGCACCCAAGAAGAGGTGCGTGAAAACTGTAACATTATCCCCATTGACAGTAGGGAGGTCGTGTGACGAAGATGTTGTGATTGGAAGTTAAGCTAGTTGTTCACATAAAATTATCTTGTGGCTGATTATGATAGAAAGCGGTCAATTTGATTATATACAGGTACAAAAATCAAACATCAGTGAGTATTATGGTTAGCTTTGTATATATCTATCAATCTATCATGAGTGCGCAGCTTGTACTGCTGCCACTGCGTCGATAATTCTGGGTTGGGTAGAATGAAGTCTCGAATGTATTTCTGTAGCAATGTATGCTTAGCTTTGAAATTAGTTACCCCAAAATCAATGGTCACTGCAAACTGCCCGCCCGCTAGCTCCATTAGAACACACTCCACGGTCGCTGTAGCTGTGCAATACAAGCTGTCAAGTTCTGTGATGAAAGGCACATAGCCGAGTTTCAGAATCACATTGAGAAGAATGGTTTCTATCACAGGATGTTCAAATGCGAACAATTTGTCGTGTTGGAGGTCAGATGAATTCCCGAATATGTACTTTAAGGGGAATGAAGGGTCATCAATGAGGTCTTTTATCCCATCAATCTGATACTGTGGTTCGGACTCTTCCGACCAGATTGAGGGGCGCAGTTTGTACCCGAATTGAACAATGGCACAGGCGGCTTTCTTGCAGGCTGATGTGATATCAGCAGATGGTGGCACTGTGAAGGTCTTATAGAACACAGGTAGGTTTTCTTTTGCCCATCTGTTCCCATGCTCTGGTGGAAGTATCAGACACCGTCAATTTTAAGGTACTGCGGCTTACTTTTATCATGTACCTCTGCTGTTGAAACCAGTGCTTGAAGAGCTGCCTCCTTTCTTTCTTGTTCGGTCAAGAAGGGACAATGTACGAGTGTGGATCGAATGAGCACTACACGTGCCTCTTCAAAAATTCTTCGGTGGATTTGGATCTTGTCGCTGTATTGTAAAGGCACAATGGCAGATGTCCGTGGGAGGACCATAGGTGGGGCAACACCCAAAGAGCCCTGATAAGTCATCAGTAATTGACGATTTGTAAATCATGATTGCTCACCTTAGTGCTACTGAGGCCCCTCAGCTTTGATTGGGCATGCGGATAGGGCCAAAATTTAATCTCAATCGGTTTTTCTGGCGGTTGGTGACTGTGTGATCCAGATGGACCAGGAACGGGAGGTGGAGGCTCACCAACAGTGAACGAATCTCCAAGAGGTAGTGGCCCGTCGAGGTGCAGCAGTGGCTCTCCAATTTGAAGAGGCTGAATATCTTCTGCTTCTGGTGTCAAAGTAGATATCCCGTCAACGGACACGATGGGAGGAGGAAATGCGGAAAGGTACTGAGGAGGATACAAATGTGGTGGCCTGGAGTCCACGTAAGGAGGAGCAGAAGAGTTGTAAATCGGATGATACCCTGCCTGTGAATTACTAGGGGCGAAATGAAACGGGTCATGGAGGAGTGACGCTGACAGATTGACGACGTTGAGGTTTGGAAGTGAGTTCGAAGATTGAGAGTCTGCGAGGAAAATCTGATGGCTCGCTTGCGCATTCACAACGTCGCCACGGTAGTAGAAGTCCGAGTCATGATGGGAAAACGAAACAGCCTGAGTGTCATTGGATAAGGACTGCTGGTAGCCCAAGTCAGCCTGAGAGCTAGCAGCGAGGGGATAGGTGAAATGGCTGCTCTGGTGGACATTATCATTAGACGTGTCAATAAAAGTGTCAAGGGGCTGTTCATCGTATGAGCCTGAGTGCATTGGAATCTAGTGGCAGTTTCAATGCAACGACAGGTGGCAGCATATAAGTTTTATTGCAGCTGCTAGGCCGAACCATGAGGTACGGGTGCTATTTGGGAGATTCCTGATTTGGCTTTCAGCATCGGCACGATTTAATAATAGATTCAATTCACCTTGAAATTACACTGCGGTAGCCAGCCCAGAGGGTTTGGGGCGACTTTTAAATTACCTTCTACCACTATTGATAATGGGGTTGCTGCATTGAAAAATTGAGGTAAGAGTCGTAATAAGATGTGTTGGGCCGCTAACAACTCGAAATTCCATGGCGACGCGCATCGGACCGAACAAGAACCCCCTTTGCAAGGTTCATCGATTAGCGAACATCGTCACTTGAAGGCTCAAAGATTCTAAGTTTCGAGTCGGAGTAGCTTGATATTCGTCCAAGCTATCATCCATCCTATGGGATGCGGCATACTGTATTGAACATAATATACGCCAAATAGGCAACTAAGGTAAAATCATGTTATCTTTAACAAGGTGTTGACTCGGAAGATTCAAACAAGTGACTGACGGCATATGTGAGGCTCTGATCTACAGCATTAATGTTACCGTGATAAATTGTGACTGAGCACACACTTACCTGCCAAATCCAACATCAAGACTCGCAGACGACCAGTAGCACCACTTGAACAGTATGATAGTCATGAAAACTCAGGGATGGGCTGGCTTGGCCATCTGGTTTGGGGCAATTGTAAGTTTGAGTTGGTTTGAAATCTGCTGCAACAGGTTAATGCAAGTACTAATGTGATGAAACGCGTAAGAACTTCCCTAATGTTACAATAACATGTAACCGGAACCCCTCATATGGAGGTCATCTTGACCTTAGCCCCTATCCCACCATGTGCACCGTCTTGGAAGACTTACCGACTCAACGGAGACACGTAGAGACACCTAGAAACGGCCTGGATGCCGTTAGATGACCTAGACCAGCCTAGGCAACATCTAGACGGACCTAGATGGTCCTCGACCCGGATCATGGAGAAGCTCTGCTTCATGGTCAGAAGAGAAGCCGCATGCCGCAGCATGCGCAGTTAGACTACAAGGCATGTTTAGCCTTGAGGACTAATAGAAGAGGCATAGAACGCCTCATGTATAGATAATCACCCGCATGGCATCTGATAACATGCCCGTGTATGGATACACTCATACTTACCTACCAAACGTAGTATCGGTCTGTGCACACGGACGACAGTATATAGAGCAGACAGGATCATGTATTTCTGTACTTGATTCTACTAGGTTTTCTCCAGAACTTCCTCTGAAAGACAGCCCCAGTCCTTCAGTCTTAGTCGCACCTAAAGGCAAGCCGACGCTACCTTTAGTCATATAGATCCGTTAGCCCAACAGTTTGACGAGCCGCCGCGCTTACCAAGCTTGTCGGAGGATACCTTAGCATTCCGCTAAGCTGCGAACCTGTCTCTCCAGTAGCGAGCCCGCTATCAGATTAGGCAATCCGCCTAGGGAGAGCTCGACCTATCCTAGTCGTAACACCTAATATACAAATGGCTTTGAGCAAGCCCCACAAGATTGATGATCTCCGCTCCAAGTCTATGAAATCATGATGTGCACAGGGCTGTACATATTCAATTATCCGAGTCACCATGACGTTGGTGTCAGAGAGGAGCAGGGAAAAAGAAGACAACGCACATAAAATAGCAGACACATTGGCAAGACCCTTGTTCCCAAGCTCAGCTCGAAGCCGATTGCTAGCCGATTTCCAGGTGTGCATGTTGTCATATACTAGTACTCCCGGGCCTCGAGTCGTACGGCAGCATTGAAGCTATTCAATAATCTGACGATGCTTGACCCTCGCCAACTCATTCCGGTTATCTGTGTGGTGATCGTACATGCAGTGAATTTTCCAGAAGAGTCCACACATATAATTGCATAAGTGAATCCCCAAGTGATGCCTGCCGCAAAGGTTCATCAATGCGAGTTATGATTGGCAGGACTGACCATTGTCAAGCAATTCAAGGTTAGTATTTAAGCCAGAGAGTGCGAAGTACTGTGAAGATATTAGTCTCATACACGTGGCAATTCAAATACCATATCAGAGGCAAAACATGATTGTCACCATATATTTGAGCTTCTCCGTTAGTGCGATAGCAAGACCGCTTTCGTGGGGAACAACAAATCCTGCCAGGAATCCCCCTACATCCTAGATAAGTATTGAACATCTGGAATAGGTGACATCACTCACCAAAGAGTTGCATTGGCGATGACCACGGCTAGTGCCAGCAGACTCCAGCCAACTGTGTCTTCAACGTGGGTCCTGATATCCCATGTATCTGACTGATGTAAGACTGTCATCGTATGAACACATTTTACCTCCTCACTTATCCCACATGCCAATGAGGGCACAGCAAGACAGTGCTTCTGCAATCGTGTGTTTACACTTACTGTAAACGTTAGCTTCCTGACAGTGTCAAAGACGTTTTGAGTAGACTGTCCAGCATATTGAAAACGGGCATGGCATCCCTGCATACCCACTGCCACAGGGAGTTATTCCATTCCTGCTGGGACATTCTGTTAGATGAAGATTTTTTGTCTGCATACCAGCACGGCATTGTTTTGAGATGTGCTGACAGGGTTTTTCGGAGGGTCTTTCCCTGAATTTTCACATATTCCACGGATTATCCAGAAAAGTATGTTACTTCATGGACCTTATCAAAACATTGAATCACTCGTAAATTTACAGGGTTTTAATCACGACTATCAAAGACATGGGCTTGTGTCCGTGCCCTTGTTGTCTGACACCCAAAAACCTGTTTAATTTTCTTGGGCTTTTGAGGGACATGAGAAGTCGTGTCGCCAATCTTCGTGAGTATGTGATGGCAAAGATACTCAAAGCTTGTGCTTTTATCTACATGAATGGAAATACAGTAGACGGTGTCAAGGTAGAGCACACCCTTGGAGAAGGCTCTTGGGTACCTACCCTGGTAGGTGAGATTACTTTCATCACATTTTCTTATCAGCTCACGTAGTCTACTCGCAGAATAAATTCGCCCAGAAACTCAGACCGCTCGGTCTCGACTCATTCCGCATGCTTGTAGTCGACTTCATGCATGAGTGCGAACTGGGCACCTGGAAGGCGTTGTTTATACACCTCCTCAGGCTCCTTCACGCCCTTCCTCGCAGTAGTGAGCTTGTTGCAGCTCTTGACAGCAGGTACGAGGACCTCATAAGCTATATTGTTGTTTGCTAACAGGTGTCCACTCCCTTGCAGGTTTTGACAGGTCCCGACCTTTGGCAACGGCGTAATTCGCAAGTTCTCAAACAACACATCTGAGATGAAACGATTAGCAGTGCGTGATTTTGAGGACATTTTACAGGTTTTTCTTTGTTACTAGTTGTTGACATTTGATCTGCTGACAGCTCTTTTTTTACCAGTGTGCGATCCCTGTCTTTGATGGGCTGTTCCCTGCTGAACATAATGTGCTCGTACAATCTCTGCTGTATTGATTTGCAGAATGGCATGTGCTGGCGAAGCTTAGGATGCACTCGGAGTCCTCATTACACTTTCTCGAAGAAACTTTCAAGAAACTGTCTCACATATTGCGGAAATTTCGAGATGACACTTGTGCGGTCTTCAACACTTTAAAGTTACCCAAAGAAAGAACAGCTCGTCGAAGAGCTGCTCAACATTCTGAAGCGAACGGCGTCATTCCGGAATCAAACGGGCCAAGGGCGAAGAAGTTCAGCATGGGCACTTATAAATTTCACACCATGGGGGATTATGTTAAAACCATTATGCTCTTCGGGACCATGGATTCCTTCACCACTCAAATCATATGTATGGTCTACACTACATTATGCACTGAAATTAAGTTGTATCAGGGGGAACTTGCTCACCGAGCACTGAAGGCCTTTTATCTGCTCACTAGCAAATTAGATACACCAGCACAGCTGGCCAAACATGAATGCAGATGCCACATATTACGGCGAGTGGCAGAAGTTGGAGGAATCTCATCCTCTAGCAGCCAACCACCATCCAATGCCCCCCCATCAGCATCCTACGACAATCATCACTATATCACGATCACTCGGAACAACCCAGTTGATATTTTTGCATTTCTCAGAGAGAATAACGGTGATCCTGCCCTTAAGGTAACAGTCATATCTTACTTTGGCGGCACTTGATCATTTATCATAGTAACGGTCAGGATTTTGTTCCCAGACTGAGGGATCACATCATCTATAGGTTGCAGGAGCTAGATGTTAGCTATTGCGACCACACGTTCACAGATGAAGAACGAAATTCTGTCATTATTCCCAATAACACGATCTATTCCATACAGACTATGCAGGTGCGCTATACAACCTACGACTTGAGGCACGAGTACGACACGATCAACCCAAGAACTCACACGGATGTTATGGTGCTTTCAGGAGAGACAACTCCCAGCCATCCCTACTGGTATGCCCGAGTATTGGGTATCTACCATATGGAGGTATGGCTCACCAATGCGGGTCAACCAGTGAAGCGGCATCTCAAGGTACTCTGGGTAAGATGGCTGGCAGTCATACAGAGTTATAGATCTGGCAGTAAATATGCTTGTCTTCTGAAGATTGGCTTTGTGGAGGAGTCCGACTGCGATGTCTTTGGTTTCCTGGATCCTGGGCAGGTAATTTGAGGGGCACATCTGATCCCTGCATTTGTCGCAGGACGTGGCATAATGTTAAGACCGTACACAAAGGGTAGGACTGATTCCGAGGGGCTTGGCTTCAGCTCGTGCGCTGTGCCCCTTACCCGAGTATGTGCCCTTAATTTCAGAATGATGTCCGAAGGACGTCCGAAGCGCGGGAAAGTTCGGAAGGACTTTCCGGACGAGTGCGGGAAACTTCCGGAGGAACTTCCGGAAATTACGATGAGGTTTCGTCCTGATACGGATACATGTAATGGCTACTTAGGACAAGTCCTAAGTAGAAGCAAACAGAGGAAAGGCTGCAAGGACAAAGTCCGAAGCAGAATAGGTCCGGAGGACCGCGGGAAAGTTTCGGACGAACGTCCGGAAACTTCGGAGGATCGGATGAGCGGATAAGCGGAGCTCTGGCCTAGGGAATTTCTCCCTAGGCCTGAGATGGATATTGACTAAGTCGATAGACTAGAACTGATATGAGGACTTAGAGTGAGATCTAGTGCGAGGACTAATATGATATTCAGACTGAGGAACTACAGGACATATACAAGAGTTTATATACTAAGGAAATAACGGAAAATCAGTAAGCAAGCGTCCGAGGCTATGTATGAAGCATAAGCAAAGTTATCAAGTGCGAGTCGGAAATGAAGCATAGGTTAACGGATCAGTAAGCGTACCGGTAGTTAGTATAACCGAGAAACCGAGGACAAGGAATACCGAATAGAGGAATAGGCTGTGTTAACATTATATGCACAGGAATGAATTAGGAAGCTTATCGTATATTGGATCGGATCGGACCGGATCGGACCGGACTGGACGTCCGGATGAGATGCGTGGATATATGTGCAGGGATCCGGATGGATAGAGGACTGGAGACATGGATAGGGCGTCCGAAGGTCCGGATGAGGCGTGGGAATATTGTCGGATGTAGGTCCAGAATACGGGATATGACACATAAGCTCCCTGCGCCATGGAAAATTACTGGCATGTCCTGGGGAACAGCTGGATGACTGGGAGGAATATTATGTTGGGATGTAAGCACAGATCTTCCAGTGGTATATTAACACTCACATTTTGAGCCAGATTCACCGATCATGATATGTTCATGCGGTATAATCACTTAGGTGTTAGACATTCTGCAACACTGCAGAAGATCATCAGAGGTTGCCTGGGCTTGGTATTGGTGGCATTGACCGATTCTATAGACAATGTAATTGAAGGTAATGAGGGCGACACGGGCTGTGAAGAGGCAGGTAATGGTGATGGCCACAAATACAAATATGACCTGGACTCGGAGGACGAAGAAGAATGTGATGAGGAGGAGCTTAGTAGTGATGAAGAACTGGATAAAGGAGCTATAGAGAATGGTGACACCGTGACGGTGACAGGTGTGATGAGGATGGTGACGACGATTACGATTATGTCTCTTTCTAAAGCTCCTTCCAAATCTTGTACCTGTACTCCAATGCCTTAAGTCTTCACGAGATAGAAACTGTACTATAAGCTCAATTTTCTTTACTGTTGCCAGTGCATTATTGTGAGTGCGGTATACCATGCCCATCTGAGTCTAATAAAGTACCATTAGTAGCGGCATGTCACACTTTCACCAGCGCTGTTGTACATGCGGCCGCAGTTGCTACTCCTACCTTTCTTCTCAATTGGCACGCACATCCAACCTCACTCAGGCTGATATTAGTTCCAACAGCCAATCAACATTATGTACTGACCCTTTCGAATTCATTCAATCAGGGAATATCATTTCCTTTATAACTTGTCAGGGGGGGTTCTTATTCGGTAGGTGGTGCAATTTTTTGTTTACCATTGTTTATCTTCCTGTGTGCAGGATGACTCCAGTCTGCTGGCCCTGTGTCCCATGATAGTGACGGCTACTCAGGCTTTCTACCCTTAGTAAGTGAAACCCATCCTTATTATTCATGGTTGTATTTGTAAATTCTTCATTGTGCTATCATACTGATGGACTGTCATGGTGGTGACCGCTTTGTGAGATTTTATAGTTTATCTACCATCTCCGAGTCATGATTGACCAATTTTATTTTGCTTGCTAGATCAGTGGAGAAAGATTTGCACTTTCTTCAATTACCTCTTGACCACCCGGAACTGCCACTGTCAAAGTGGCAGGTCCAAAGGGGCACCACTTGATTGGGAGAACTGCCGCGACGCAGAGGTCCTTCAACTTGAGCTTTCACGGGCTCTTGATTGCAAAGAGCATGATCATACGACTACCCAGGCAATATCTTCAGTACATCCTTAAGTTTCAATGCACTCCTGATAGCTAATCATGGTCACTATTTGGCTCATATAGATGGTGACAAATGGATGACACTCTTATTCATGCAGCATCACCATAACCTGCACCCGATCTGAGGCTTCTGCATCGTTGGGAGCAGGATTGCAAGCAACTGTGGTAAGTTTCATCACTTTATGGTGCTGTTGTCTTGGCTGATGGGTCATTATAGCACCTTGATACCTTCTCTGGGGGTTGGGGGCGACATTCAGTTTCATGCAGACTGATTGTATCGGCTAAACCGTGACTGTGTTTGCTATTATGATCATTCTCCAGGTATGCAATTCGTCTTGCGTGCGACACCCTATGTTTAACAGTTTCCCATGATAGGTGTTGGCAAAGTCAATTAACTGTGGGTGTAAACGGTCTTGTTACCATGTCTCCTCACATCCCTCACGTGATCTGCATAGTTATATTGAAACAAAAGGCGAGGGTGTTGTGGTCCGTCCATGGATCTGGATATCTCATTGGAACCGATTACGGGTTACTTGGCAGAGTATATTTACATTGGGGTGGGAGCAATATTCAATAACTTACAATCTCGCTCACTTACAATCTCGCTCATCTACTTTCCAGACACTTTGACTCAGGCGTGAGGAAGATATTGTCATACAACTGGTCTTCAAGCATGCTCTCCGAATTCAAATGAAAGCTGAGCTTCCTGATTACAATAAATCTGGGGAGTCTATGATGCCATCTACACCAGATAATGCACATGTGGCTGGATCTACTGATTAGACATGCGCCTATGAAACTCTTGGCTGGAAGGGTGCCTGTCTATATTGAGTCTGGCCGTTTACCAAGCACCTCTGTCGGCCTATTATACTTTTCTTGCATCTTCTCTCGGGGTACATTGGAGATTTGAAAGGTTTCAGAATAGAAAATGCACAAGGTTAGCTCTATTTTCTCTCATCAGTTGATCCTTTATCTCAATTCAGGCTAAATCATTAGCATTGTACAACCCTGACTCCGAGTTATTGTCGATGGGCAGTTGTTGAACAGAGCCTGAACTAGATGGACGCTCCACAAGTAGGCGAGCCCGCGAGCCAACAACACGTTGAGCTAGGGCTTTGTAAGCGCACATCTCAAATATGTCTACTGTCTCTAAACCTTTTCTCGATATTTCCAAAAACAAACAAGTCTTCAAACGTGACGCCGAAAAGATCGCAGGGTCCATGTCATCACATTCCCTTGCAAATCGACTCTCCACCAGTTTCAAGTACCAAGGCAGCAATGGAGGGACCATGAAAATCGAGTTTATACGTATACAGGTTATATGATGTGTAGTTGCTAACTCATATAACATGTTTAACATTCAGCAGAACGAAGATTGGGATATCTATGGCAAATCGATATGAATGTGTGAGTTTTGTAGTTCAACAATCATCGCATGGAGTCTCACCGGATGCCCTGGCTCACATCTTGCACAACGCTCTGAACCTCTCCTTCAACGTCTCCCAACATCCGAGTCCCAGCGGGACCTCCGCATCACCACCCACAACCTCTACTTCCAGTTGACTCGGAGTCCTTCCCCTTCACCCCCGCCCCAAATGTGCTTGTGGTCCATGTGGTGAGTCAGGATGCTGGATATATCGCGCATATCGCTAACATCTATTTAGCAATGATCAACGAGCAGATAGCAGTGGCACTCACTGCATACACTTGAGTTGTATTGCACCGTGTCAATCGGATCGACAAATTGATCTTGACCATTGTATTGTACTGGTAGGATGAGTGTTTCGCGAGTGAAGCTTTGAAGTTCGGTCTTTTTGGACAGTACTAAGTACTGTCACAGTTGTGACCATGTGACATTCTGTTACAATCAATTGCGCTTACCATCGTCTTGCGTGCATTTCGTATCGATTACATTGATCACACAGAGAAAGTTCGAAGTTCCGGTAAGTACAGTTCAATCATATCTTGCTCAAAATTCTCATTCTGTTGTGATTTAGCGTGTTTCTTGAAAGTGTTTTTGTCGACGTACACTGGCAGGGCATCGTTATACGTACACACGAACTTCAACTACATTGTATGTGCTCCTGTTCTTATTGTTCATTAACAACTTATCCACTATCTATTAGTGTGTCCATGCCTGGTAGAGACCATACTTGCATCTGCCAAACAATTACGACAAGGCTATTGACCTATACTCTACGGTGATTGACCTGAATTCTACATTCAATACCTTAGCAAATCGCAGTAAGGCAAAGTTGGGGGAAATGCTATGGGAGGATGCGCTCCTCGACATGCAAAAGGTGCGATGACATCTACGATTTCATACCCCATGTTGACTTCGGCGATGCATAGGTCACTGGACTCAATCCGTCGTCTCATATTGGATACCAGTTGACACACACAGTGCTGCATGGCGCGCAATGCTACGATGAAGCCATCGAAGCCTTCACAATCATGTTGTCGAAGTTGGATGATGCTCCTGAAGCTTAGATATGAGGTAAGCCATAGAACATTCCTGCATCGTCTCGAAACACTTATCTCGTTCTGTAGATCTGCGTCAGCAGTACGTCTGTCCATCAGAAGCATTCGAAGAGCAGTTTGGATTGAACTCAACAATACTCCCTTCATCTGCTCAACACCTCTACGGGCCTTTTGTGCGACCGAGCAGCATAGCTGAACCCCTTCAAAACAAATCCAGAGTACAAGGAGTTTTTGTCATTCACAACGAACCGCTTGGATCTCCAAATGGAACGCATCAAGGAAGTGGTGGTGACCAGGATCATACCTTATCGCCAAGAAGTGTAGCCAACTCGACAACTCGCGTTTCTGGGATGGTTCATTCCTGGGCATCAACACAAACGCTGCTACGCTGGGCGGGTTGGATGGTTCGAAGGGCCCAAAGTTCAAGGGTACAGGATGGCGAAAAGATGCATTTTGAACCCGGTGATTGGGGCGATGGAAGTTTCGACGGGAGTGAGAGTGCACTTCTGAAGACCCTCTTAGGGGATGCTCGGGCTGCCTACTAAGTTGCATTAGTTGCACGATGAATTGGCACCTGCCAAGTATATACGACTGGTTTGTTTGTGATACTGATTGTGAATAATTCTTATGTTTTAGCCTTCAATTGCTTACTATATATTGTATCCTCGCTTTTGTTCTGGGTCTCTTGCCTTTATTTCAGTCCAATATTTTGAGTGTTTCAACTAGTGTTTTTTGACCATGCGTACGGTATACCGTGATGCCCCTTGTACGAATCTCCTCATGGAGATGACATCATAAGCTTTGATTACTTCAATTCATGTTATGAATGGGATACGCATAGCTTTGGCATCGGCAAACTGTGAAAAATAGCCTTGTAATTTACAACTTGAATTGGGAAGTGTGAGAATGTTCAACCAGGTTTACTGAGGTACCCTGCCATCTCTTCCCAGCTGTAATGGCCCAACAACAATACATTATTGCAAACTCTCCTGTGAGTACATATTTGATGAACATTGCCAAACCCACTTTCCGTGATATAGTCTTAAATACCCTTCTAACTGAAAGCTTGAATGAGGGAAATGACAATGCTCGACAAGGCGAATACACCTACACTATCATCCCTTACCGGCCATGGTGTTACAAAGCCGTGACCTTGTCTCAGAATACTAAAAGTCGTCTAGGTTCGCAGACTTACATAGCTATATAGCAATGTTACAAAAATTTTATACTATAGATGCCCTAACCGTGGTTCAGGACCGGACCTGGCCATCACTACGCACAAGGCATGCACGTGACAACGCGACACGGATCAGCGGAGTATTGGTTAGGAATTCAAACCACTATATAGTTTTGTTTCACTCGTTTCTCTCCCCTCAGTCCGTTATCCACGACTGAGGGTATGTCTCTTATTCTTCGCATGTTACCTAGACACTAACTCAACTAGTGCTGCCGAAGTCCGGTTCGGTCCGGTTCTTGGGCCTCCAAATGCGAACCCTGAACCGGACCATCGGTCAGGTTCAGGCAATGAGGGCGAACGTCGAACTGGACCCTTCCGAACGCGTTCGGAAGCGTTCGGTTCGAGTTCAGAACGCGTTCGAACGTCCGAACGCTATGTATAAATTCAAAAAAAATGAAGGAAATACATGAAAAATTCGACATAAATGAGTACAGTAACTACACGATATCCATGTCAGGGTATTCACGAGCAGCGGCGAACTCAGCTTGAGCCGTTGCAGATATGTGGCCTTGACGGTATCCGTTCTTCAACAACTGAAGTGCCTCAAACGTTGTCGGCAACAGACAGTTTCGCCGTGTGGTCCCAGTGATGCCGCCGCTCGAAAACGCTCGTTCGGATGCAACAGCAGAGCCTTGAATGGCTAAGTAATCCTTAGCAATGCGCGAGATAGTAGGATATTGAATTGAGTGATGCTAAGGAATATTTATGTCAACTTGTAAGGAATAGGGATTCAAAAAAAAACACTCACGCCCCACCAAGCTACTACGTTCTCGATATCCTCTAGTGGGGAAGCCAGGTAGTCCTCGAGCTCTTGACGAGGCCTTCGGCTTGCAGTGTCACTTGCACCACGGGATTTGACAGCGTCACGCATCCAGCTGTGGCCATACGAGCCTTGGCGTGCAAGAGAGGAAGGAGCCACGACAGCAGGCTCTGCAGCCGGCAAGGAATGGTGATGATAGTACCTGTCGAAAACAATCTGCAGGCGTCTCATGCCCTTGTCGAAGTCGCAGGGCTCCCATTTGCTCTTCGCATACGCAGTCTTATAGTTGGGGTCCAGCGCTAGATACAATACATTAGATAGGGCTTTACATTAATCAAAACACGTACCGAGACAAATGAAATAGACGTCGGTTTCATCGATCTTATGGTACCACTTGCGAAGATTGTCGATGCCACAGTCAATGGTGGTTGCAAAGTCGGCAAACTTTGAAGACCCGGCCATATTTTGCCAGGTTTGTTGGAGGAATTCAAGTACCGGGATCGCACGCCATACAGTGGGTTCGCGAGTCGCAGAGAATGATTGCTGCGCATTTGCAGGCTCCTGGTAATGCAATAAGTTAATAAAAATTAAACTCATCAATGAAGAAGCACGCACCTGAAGCACGTCATGCATCAACTCTAAGTTCTTCCATTCCTCGGCCGAGAGCTTGAATGTGCCATAGGACTTGCCCTGCAGGTTGGGGACTTCGTCGCTATCATCTGCGAGCTGTATGAACCTATTCACACCCTGCTGATAGAGTTAGTAATTGTTTGTAGGGACAGTAGCGGTAAACTAACCTTACGCAACTTGAGGGTGCGCTCTAACATGCCAAACAGTGAGGCCCATCGAGTGCGAATCCATTTCAAAAGCTCGAGGTTGGGTTCATTGACCTCCGCGCAACACTTGTGGAAGAAAGTACGGGCTTGGGGAGATTTCCGTACCTAAATAAACAGTTAGTCAAAGCAAGGCTAATCAGACGAGGCACAAACTTACCTGCCCAACAAATGCAAGGGCTTTGCCCACAGTATCGGCGACATCGAAGTCAGTCGCTTCATCGTCGTCATCTTCATTGGTCTCGTTCCTGACGAGAACACTTGCAGGGGTAGGCGCAACCTCTTCAACGAAATGTTTTGCGGCCAGATGTAGGGCGTGCTCCATACAACTGAAAAGACATTAGCATATAATAGAAAGTGATATAAATATAACCCTTACCGTACACAGTGCTCTCCTGCAACCCATTCCTCACCAGAAGGGTCAATAGCGAGTGCAATGGTCTGAATTGCCGTGTCGTTATTGGTGGCGTTGTCGGCCGTGAACCATCCAACCTTGGTGTGAAAGTCGTAGTTATTGATAGTTTCAATTAAAATCCTTCCGATATTGCTACCGCTATGGTTGCCGTTGATGATTGTGAACGCGAGCTGCTCGCTCTTCAACTCCCACTCCTGAGGCTTACCATCTTGGGAGTCAATATAATGCGCAGTGACAGAAAGGAAAGGCACGCCAGGTTCAGACGTCCAGGAGTCGAACGTGATGGAAATTTTGCTGTCGACCTTCTTAAGCTTCTCTTTGACGCGTTGCACGGCAAGCTTGGCCCGCTCGAGTATTTCATCGCGAGTCTTCGTGCGATGGGGGATATCCTTATCCAACAGGGAGGGCCGAAGGTATTGAAGCAGGCGACGAAATGGACCCTTATCGACGAGTTGGAACGCCTAGTATAAGTATATTAAGTCACAATCACACGAAACAAAAGATTACAAACACGCACCTCATCCTCGGAGACAATGAGCTCGACAATATAGTCCATCAGGCCGGACTTCGTGAACTCAGGAACCTTAGGTGCAAGGGAGGCGTGTAATGTGTGTTGAACTCCGTCGGTTGATTTGGAGTTAAGAGGGATGGCACGACTGTGCATTGTGATTCCTCGGTCGTTGCAGCGGTCTCGGTAAAGGGGGAAGTGGCATTTTGGATTGCGTGCGATGTGCGTGCGGCGGGTTGAGATACTGCCTTTAAAAAAACACTGGCTGGATGGTACGTCATTGCCTCTGGACTTGATGTTAGTTCAGTGCGATTATTTTAACATTGAGACTTACCTGCATACCTCACACCACCAACCGTCCTCGCGTTCTTGGGTGTGAGGGTTCATACGGCCCTTCTCTTGTGTGAAGATCGTCTTTAAGTCTGCACTACGCTCATCTTTCTTCGTCGGCCTGCGATGCTCGCGGTCCTCATCCCCCAATGCCTTTGTCCTTTCGTAAGCTTCCTCTTTGTCTTCTTCCTCCTCCTCGTCTGAAAGTCCCTCTGCGGCAGGGGGTTCTTCATCATCGTCGTCGTCACCATGACGGTTCAGGTGGGAGCCGGTTTGAATTCGTTTGGGTGCAGGCCGCCCCTCAGGAGCTGCTGGTGCTGGTCGCTTTGCTGGAGCGCTGTTGACAGTGTCACGAATCTTCTCCGTCGGTTTGATGGCTCGTCCCGAGCGACGGGACACGAAGGCAGTAATCTTGCCATTGGATGTGGCAGGAGGTGGCGATGGGAGCATGGGGGAATCATCGTCAGGATCGTTGTACCACTTGATGTCCTTAGCATCTTTCAATTGGCCGTCAGGTCTAAGTGCGCACGACATTTGCACAGCAGGAAGGGTGGGTATTGGACCTAACGTAGATATTTAGACCGCAAACTGTAACATATAATTATACTAGCGCACCTTGAATATACCACTTCCACACATGGAAAGATGCATTCACCGTAGACTGACATTGAGCGCTGAAAGATGTGAATGAGAATCCTAAAGATATGTTCTTGACACAGTAAGATAGATTAGAATACAAATAATGATGTCTGGCTTACCGGAACATTACTGAGGAATGTTGCCACCACAAGGAATGTTGCCACCGCAAAGTAGAAGCCATTCAGGCTCTTGAATCTCCTGCGATTGGTATATTCAGGGCTGACATTGCCCATGGTCGCCAGGAGATCGTTTGTTGCCAGGATATGGTTCAATAGTGATGATGGTGTCGAGTGAATCAGGTACGGAAGCTCCCGTGGGGATCCTCCTCTGCAATTCGGTTCGGATGCGTTCGGACGCGTCCGAACGCGTTCATGATTTCTCGGTATCAGCCAAACCCTGAACCTATGTGAAGGTTCGGTCCGGCGGCTATCCCGAACCTGTGACCGGACCATAGGTCCGGTTCGGAAAGGTTCGGGTTCGAACCGAGGTTCCGAACTGGACTCCGGCAGCACTAAACTCGACTACTATAGCCTAATGTTTGTCTAGGTACATAGTAATTCAGTCCGTTATCCACGACTGAGGCCTAACGTTTGTCTAGTCCTTATATTCTATAAGTCCCACGGGTACAATATCGAGGACTCCTCAATTCACTGATGCGAGCCCCGCTTTCAATATAAAGTAACCCTCCAACCAGGATGGAGGTCTTCACGGCGAGGGGCCAAGAGGATACTCTGACACCTCTGGAGAGGGTAGGTCTCAGAGACCAGTTTCGCCCTACAAGAAAAGTGGGTCTAACAGACCGTGTGAACGGGAGGATAGTGCTGCCAAGGGTGCACCCGTACGGGTGCGGGTAGGCCTCTGAAGTTCTATCTACCCGTGGATTGGGTATGGGTGTCACCCGGGTCCACCCATGTCACACCCTAGCACTGCAAGGAAAGCAGAATTAGGGACGCTCAAAGTTGGGGGCGCTCAGGTCGCCCATGCCTACGACCCCCCTTGGCTTACAACACCATCTCGTTTTGTACATATCCGTATTATATAATACTGTGTAAGCTACGTTTTAGGTAGACCATAGGCGTGGGCGGTAGGCGTGAGCGCCCCCAACTTTGAGCGTCCCTATTCACGCAAAGTTTATGCAAAGTTCATGCGTCTGCATGCGCTGCGCTCACAAGAAAATACTCATCATCTGCTATCAACCAGATCTACATGATCTAGCACTTTGCGTAACACTCTCGCACGCTCTCACACGCTCCCGCACTGTCCGGTTTTCACTGGGCCTCACCCACAGGCGAATTTTGCCATTGTCGAAAAGCGCATTCGAGCTGTTACAACCATGCTACGAAACATGGGCCGTCATAATCTGCCGTCGGTGGATCCTAAACATGTCCCTTCCCTCTTGCGCCACTTTGCCAATATTATCACCCGCGATGACATTTTACCCCTCTTCTCCCTTGTCCGAGTTAAAGTTAGAAGAGGTGACTAAATCTCTCAAATCGTTTCAAGAAATTGTCAACAATAGGTGCGAACTTCAATGTTGTCCATATTCTCTACAGGCCGCTTATGGTTCTTAGAAATGGTGATGTATCCCTCAAGGAACACGTCTAAGATGTTTGGACGGCCTTGGCATCCTTCGAGGATGACCAAGACTCAGCCAACCTCTTTGCGTTATGCAGATTCATTGTCGGTCGTTCCTGTTCACGCGAATTTTTTTTGGACCAGAAGACATGGGACGTCCATGTGGCCCAAAAGTTGTGTGATTGGACGCCGGAGGCCAACGAACTCTCGGACACTCACTGGTTTGATGCACCCGCATGGTTTGGCCTGATTTCCATACCACCTGACAACTTCACTCGGAAAGGCCTGAGGACGCGTAAGCAAGGTCCGGCAGACCAGCAGGTCATGCAGCTGGAATTCTCAAGCAAGACTGTGCAATTTTGGGCCTGGCTGCTTGGCCGCCTCATCATGCTACTCGAATCTGATGCCACAGAAGCCCAGAGGATGAAGGAGAAGGAGAACATGCTTGGATTCAAGGATGCAGTTGCCAGAGTCTCAGACCAATGTCTGATGTTGTTTCGATATATCTATTGGAAGGCCGACATTGTAAAGACCCTCTTGACAAAGACTACACTGGCCTCGACATTTGGCAAGCTGCCTCGCAATGTGGAAGGTGCATTGTTTTTTCAATATCTACATCGTAATCTGATATTATATATCCTTCAGGTAGTCAGAGCAAGTGGTTTCTCATTCATGTTGCCGCCAAACCAATTATTTGAACATAGATGTGTATGATTGGAACGAGTCCGATGACTTATCACCACAACCTAGCGAATCTGTTGGACAGCGCGTCTTACGGCACTTGAAGGCCATCGTTGCATGGCATACTGCCATAGGAACACTTTGTTCGCCCGAAAATTCCCAGTTTACTCGTGGCAAACTTACCTTTGGTTTGCTTGACGTTCCACATTGCGGCTTTGAAATTGCCACCTTGGATGATATCTACGAAGAATACTTCAAGAGGTATGACTCGGACTCGGAGGCTCACAAAGCTGTGGTCAAATCTTTTATGAAAACCTATCTTCCACAAGCCTTCCCCGGCACCATCCATGCGGAGTCTACATTGATGAGCCTTGTCTCATATTTCTCGGCTTCTAACCGTTACCATGCTGCTCACGACATCCCTCTTCCTGATGGTCATGTCATGGCTCTGCGTAACTTGCTCGAACCGGCAAGTCTTTGCTCTACATTTTCGAGTCGCATGATCTGACTCTTGGGCTTGGGATTTCTAGGCAACCATTAATGGTGCCATTGCATTGAACAAGAAGTGTTGTTTGTGTTGTTGGCGTTTTCGCTTCCAGCTCTCGATGGTCAATGGCGTGAGATGCAAGTTGCCAGGCTCAAACGGCGTGATATATCCGTGGAGTCCTCCTCGTGTCGGTGTCGATCTCAAGGTACTCCTTGAACTGGAGAATAGCTTTTGGACAGATCTACATACTCGAGTCCTTGAAATTCGCTATTCTGCACGTAATTTCTGATTCAGCACCTCCTCGTTCACTCGACAATTCACCTCCAGTTTATCTTTTACAGTATTTCTAGTGTCTTGGCGTCCATCATATGTGTAGCTAATGAAAGCCAACTGCGTTGCCATGATATCATGATATGACGCCATCCTTTGAATTCAATTATTCTCCGTCGCGCTGCCGCGACAGCAAAAATGAATCGAAAGGCTGTCCAATGGAACGCAATGATCACGAGTGAGAATTCGAAGAGACTAGCTCGTTTTGCGCAGAATCTTGACACTGAAAAATGTTGTGAAAACTCACAAGTTTCAAATTTAACTGTGACGACGAGGTTACCACCAAGGTTGCACCGCCACGAACCTCGTTTCGGTATTCGCCTTCTTGGTTACTACCCCAACTGTAGCTTTCATGACAGAGCGTGCTGATACCCTCCATGTATCAAGAGCAGAAGTCTGGTACCTCAAGGAAATCGCGTTTGGAAGCACGGAAACAAAGCGAAGATTAAAGATCATAACACAGAATTTTAATGGGTACGTGACTTGTAATATTGTGGTGCTGCGGGCCTGCGGCATGTGCATTAGGGTCCACATACTTATTATTATTGCTCGACAGACCATGTTCATTCATTGCTATTTGTGAGTGTTGCTGCTCTAACGCAGGATCGATGCTGAGGTAGCGCGTTGTGATGTACAGGCAATATCCTGATACTGCGAGGGCAGATTGAGATCCTGCCGTATGAGCGGGGAACAGTGTCGTATGAGTTTCTTGCGCAGCTCGTAGGAGAGTATCTCCTCATGAGCTGTCCGGATATTGATGTCTCTGCTGCGCTCTCGATTATGCCCAGCACCACCAGTGCGCATCATTTCTTTCCAATTTGTATAGTAGTCAATGAAGCTAATATGGTGTTAGAGGGCCTCGACCTGAACCCTGTCTTCACAGGCGCTACGTCATTTCGACCTGCAGGGGAAGGTGGGGAATTGAAGTTGTTCGAGCAGGCAGGGATAGAGCTCGTGCATGGGTGGCTTGTTGACCCTGACAGCGAGGAGTACAGGGTGTTGCAGCATGTGCGTGATTACGATACTGCTGTCACACTCATTGCGGATGCGGATCATATTACGAGGGGACGGTTGTTGAGTGGGGATGTGTGGGGTGAAGGAGAAGGAGGAGAAGTAGGGAGTAGCAGTCAAGTGGGGAGCGGCCCGAGTGGCTATGCGGGCCCGAGTAGTGCTAGCGATAATTACTCGGAGAAAGATAGAGAGAAGATCGAACATGGTATGATTTAATTTGCTATGCGAGATTATTACTGACGAGTTTTTTTTAGCGCTTGTGACACAAGCGTTCCTGGATAGTACCCAGTCTCAATTGACGTATCATGGGCTATTTCAACTTGCGTCTACATTACAGCCAGGGTCGCTTGTTGCATTGTTCCGAAATTCACACCTTTCCGTGTTGCATAAGCGAGAGGGGGAGGATTCGTCGCTTTACAGTTTGGTCACGGATCATGTGTTTTTGCAAGAGCCGTCGGTAGTATGGGAGCGCTTAGAAGATGTTGATGGGGTTGGGTCGACGTTCGTGGACTCGGATTTTGTTCGTTCGACACCTGTGGGGGGCGACTTCGCTGGACAAACGGCGGAAAGCGCATTGCATGCCCTAGAGATGGAAGGGAACCCAGAGTAAGATTTATGTGATTGTTTCCAAGATCAATTACTAAAAACCGAGTTACACAGTGTGATATTAGCACGACAACTACAAGCGGAAGAAGATGCGCGGTCGCATGAGATATATAAGCGGAGGCAGCAACAGCAGGAGATTCAACAGAAGGAAGAGGAGGAGCGGAAACGGAAGAACGAGGATAGTGCTAGTAGGAAAAGCAAGAAGACGAAAGACAAGTGCATTATAATGTAGAATGCTATACCCGATAATTTTATATGTATTGCCATGTCATATGTGCCATGTATCTACGTCGGCTTGCGTGTGAGCAAAACATAATTGCAACCAATAGATTGGATTGTAATCATCAAGAGAATGATCAAAATCATGATGTGGAATGGGAACAATGCCACAAGAACAACAATTACAAACAAGGAACGTCTCAGTCATCGTACGCCTCAACCACAAACCCCATCCTTACATCCCTTCCCCTTATCCCTCGAGCTCATCGCCGAACACAGCGAGCACGAACCAAGTATTCATCACTTGTTCCGATTAATCGCTTGTAACAACATTCACGATAACACTCGTCGTCGACTCGCACGCCATGCGCGAATCAAATCATGCTTTTCCCGCACAGAATAGGGCTTGTGTTTGCATCACCTCCCAATGCTACGATAGACGAGGTCAGTTCAGTTAAATTAACCATGATCTTTCAAGTCTAAGTTGATTTCAGGTCTTGATACATCTTCGCCACTTCCGCTATTCACCTCCTTACACCATCTTACATATCTAACTTCAACTTCAGCCCGAATACGTGAGATCATGACAATGGACGGCGCAATCGAGCGTCTTATGCGCATTCTTTATGATTACTGCTTGTGTCCTCCTCCGCCAGAAATCCCTGGTTACATCTACGGTCTTTCTCCTCCAAACTCACGCCCTTCAAAGCTTATCCCAACAATCAACCCTTTAAGTTATGACAAGCACGCCGCCTATCGATTTAGCTTGGCTCTTCAGAGTATCGTTAATATCGGTATAAGAGGCAGCGAGCCGATCCGCAGTCGCATCGTTCAGGCTGGCGCCCTCGAAGTAGTCGGTTGTATCCTCGAGTCATGGTTAGCTCATAAAGGGTTTGCCATCGGTCCCAGTTCAAGCGCATCCGGTTTGCCTCGTGAATCTCGCGAGCATCGCCTCGCCCGTCGGGCCGCACTCCAGGAACAAAGACAGCGAGAAGAAGCAACTCAGCTCCACCGCGCACTCCAACGTCAAATCGCCGCCGATGCCGCTAACCGCACAGACTTCATTACATCCCGTATCGATTCAATTCAAGATGTCTGTCTTTGTGTTATATGTCATCTCCTCACTGATCCTCTTTCAGGATGCAACAATGGCGGATATCGGTACCGAACCTTCCTATTCGAATATTTCTGTGCATCTGGGCCAAACACCTGCCCCCGTCCAAGTACAAGTAGCTACACGCGAACGACCTTATTATACCCGTCACTCCTCATCATCATCTCATGAGGCAGATACTTCTGCCGAAACATCTATTAATCCCACACCTCAAGGTACAGATACACCGACTATAACTGTCCTGGTCAATGCTCGTGAACGCAGCGGTACCATAATTGCTCGCCGTGTTTGGGACGATCCCGCAATCGCACCTGCCACAATGCGTGCAAGGGCTCATCGTGTCCGCCCTACTACCGCGTCACCTGATGAATCGACCGACAACTCAAGACCTGAAACAGAAACCGAGGATGATGGTGACGCAGACGTCGATATGTCGCAAGATACTGATGACAGTGCAGCTCCCCCTGTCTCAGCACCCCGTGTACGGCAGCCTTCACGATCTATAACGCTCACTCAGCGTCCACGCCGTGCTGTGGGTATAGTCTCAGATGCAGTCCCAGGACCTGCACCTCTTCAAGTGAATGCGGACGCACATATAATCATTCACCATGAACAGGGTGGAGATGGAATGGCAGTGGGTGTAGAAGACGGTATTGTATCATTGGAGCCAAATGATGATTTTGCGATGGGGGCGCCTCCTGGTGCACCAGGGGCCATGGATGAGACGATTCCTGCGCGAGGTCTCCGTGGAGTTGATGTCCCTTTGGCTGATCGAAGAGTTCGCACTGCCCCAGATGCAACGCCCCGTGCCACGGCTGTTCCCCTCCCCGCGGCCCCTATTTTGCCGAATGTTCCGCATAGCGAAGAACCTGCCCGCGAGGGCGCAGCTGCGAATCGTGGCGAGCACCCTACTCCAACTGCCACCATGCACACAGTGCGCACTCCGAGCCATCACCACCAGCACCGCGATCCCGACCAGGGTCCGTTCAGGGACGAAGACGTGCTTTTTAGTCTCCAGCTCCTCGCTTATCTTAGCAAGTATCCGCATGTGCGGCAGGCATTTTATAAGCAACGCCCATCATTCCATCCTGCGGCTGCTAATTCTAGCCCTCGTCCTCAACAGCAACCTGTTGCTGGACCCAGTGGGATGCGGAATACTCCTGCTCCTGTCAGTGCCCCTTCACCTACGCCACCAGCGAAAGAACAACATGGGTTCTTTCGCGCACTTGCATCCGCTACTGCACGGGGTAAGGAGAAGGAGAAAGCGCCGCTTACTACTCCGGTGCAACCCCAACGTATGACAAATGTATTTTCTCTCGTAGAGCGGTTTACTTTCCGCCCCAGCTTGACGGAGAACGAGCTGCCCCAACCGCCACCAAAGCTTCCTCCAGAAATATCCTACTGGGCAGGTGTGATCATGCGAAATGCATGTCGGAAGGATGATAGTCGGGGCGGAATACGGCAATGTGCAAACAGTGAGTGATTTATTATTTCCTACCAGTGAGTCGATGTTGAGTGAGTATAGTGCTGTGTGGGCGCTGGGAGACCTATCCGCGAGAGTTTGCAAAATGCAGACGATGCCGAAAAGCAAAATATTGTGGCAAAGAATGTCAGAGCACAGCATGGAGCGAAGGACACCGATTCTGGTGTAGTGTGAAGGAGGGAGATGAAGCTGAGGAACCTACGGAGCATCAACACGGTACGGATCATGGTCATGGGGAGGGTGATGGAGAGACGCCTGCATCTGTTGCTGCTGCTGAAGCTGCCCAGGCGCGTGCGGAAAGAAGAGCAGAGAGAGAACGACAACTGCGGGAGCGCGAACGGATTGTAGGAACGATTGCTGCCAATCATATCGTTCAGCAACATATGTTGCACCCGCCCGTGAATCCTCCACCTGTTGCGGCCCAATTGACTGTCCGACCCCGCGGTGCTGTTCTTCCTCCTACCAATCAGCCCCAGCCTGTTATTCCTCAACCGCGACGAGGGAGTCCATCAGGATCTGGATTTGGAATGATACCAAACCGAAGGAGGGCAGAGACTGTCTCTGGAGCTATGGATACGGGCGTGCTTAGGGAAACGAGGATGATGCTTGTGCATAATGGGTGGCAGCCGCCTCTGAGGAGACGTGGTGGGGAGGTCCGGGAGGATGGGGGGCGTGGGCAGGAGACGTGGGATTTGACGCCTCCTGGTGGTGATGATATGGTTCTGGGGTGAAGGGCACGATGCTCGGCTCACAGATGCTTGCACGTGTGCATTTACGTGTCTAACTACCCCCCTTCTACGCATGCGCACCCTACAACGCGCAACCCTGCCTACAACGCGCATTACCCCCTTATATAACTGCCTGTCTTTCTTTCATTCATTAGTGCATACATATATACATAGTACATACATACCTGCATTACGAGCTACTACCCACGTACGACTATCCAGTAATCGTCGGGATCAACTTGAATGTTTAACAAGGTACTCCGAATCTGAAACTATTATATTATTTTGTTTGGCATCATAACATGTAGTAGGGTTACATCTCATCACATTAATAATGAACTTTTTCGGTTGGTGTTCGAGCTAGGTGTGTTTGAGGTATGCTCGAGAAAATTTTGTTTCTGGCGTTTTCGGCGAAGTTCCAAGACGCGTCGCGTCCATGAGACCACGTGGCTGGTGAGAAGATGTTTGCCTGGACCAAATAAAACGGCCAAAAAATCGGGAAAGTTCTGTGTGCATAACTTTTCCTTCAGCTTTGCCCACCCGCTTCGTCTCCAGCTTTCTATTCAAACCATGGTGAGTGACCGCGATATATTAGATACGAGTCTATGTGGATACTGACGGTGGACGTGTTCCAGGCTGCTCAGGCAACGTTCAAGACCATTAAGGCTGTCATTCCTCTACTCGACCGTGTGTTGGTGCAGCGATTCAAGCCCGAAACTGTACGTATCGAAAGTCATGACGTGTTTTATACATAATGTTGACGCTACTTTTGCGGTGTCGTGCGGTGCGGTGGAGTAGAAAACAGCTTCTGGGATCTTCCTGCCTTCCTCATCGACCACTACGCCCTTACCTGAAGCGACCGTGATTGCCGTGGGGCCTGGAGCACCTAATAAGAATGGGAACGTCGTTCCTACTCAGGTTAAGGCTGGCGACCGGGTGCTGCTCCCTGGCTGGGGAGGAAATTCGATCAAAGTAGGCGAAGAGGTCAGTTTATCTTGATATGGATGGGTGGTGCTTTTGCTGATTGAGTTTTGCAGGAGTACTTTTTGTTCAAGGATTCGGAGATCCTCGCAAAGATCAAGGAGTGATAGGACGGCACGGCCACGACGTTTGCTCCGAGTTAAGCAACATTTTATATACGTTAATTTTTTAAAAAGGCTTTGTTTTTACGCACTATTGCCATATATCTGCACGTATCCCCGCTCAATCTGAGTAGTCTGAGTCTAACGTGAAATGCGTTAAAGGTGCGTTTCGCGGTGATGGATGTGATAGGTGGGGTTCGGGGATTTTCCTGTAGGGCCGACAGGCACCCTTAAAGCATGTCCTCTCATGAACTTTCAGTAAGGTTCCGTGCTCACACATGTGGTACCAGCGTGCTGACGAATGCCATGTAATTATGTGTGGGACTAGTGGCATCGCCGGCCGCGGGTCATAGCATTTTGGTTACCAGATATACTAGACTAGGCTATAGCTGTCCGACGATTTCCTCAGTGCCTCGACTGAGACCAGAATAGCCGTTTATGATTAATGTTTGCGTGATGCTTTTTAGTAGTGGAATGCGCTCGTGCCGGACGCTCCTTGCCGAATCAGGGTTTCACTTAGCCTTTGCGATAAACACGCTTAGTAGTAGTACTTTGCGGCAATGCGACCTATAAAACCCAGATGTCACCCGCTGGATACCAACGTTAGACTCTTGCATTCCTCTCCCTCCCCTGCACCGTTCAATTTAACAGGGAATCACGAAAAGTAATGTCCAAGGAGTTAAACCTCGCCACTCCTTCCGGCAAGGAACTTGGCCGTTCGATGAGTAACCTCGAGACCGCGAAGGGCAATGGCCCTCAGCGCAGTCTTTTGCGCTCCGTTTTTATTGTCATCACTTGTACCGCCGCAATGGTTGTTAATGTGAGTGTCATTAATACCTTTGCTCGCTGACCTTTTGTGACATCTTTCTTGACTGTAGATATCTAATACCACCTCCGTCTCTATCTCGCTCCCTACAATTGAGAAGAGCCTCGATATCCAGGAAGAACAGCTTCAGTGGCTCGTATCCGCATATTCTCTCAGTTCTGTGCGTTGTCGCTTCCATTTTGTCTGTCGTAAGGTGGCTCACCTCGTGTTAGGGTTGTCTTCTATTATTCTTTGGCAGATTGGCGGATCTTTATGGAAGAAAAAAGGCCTTTATGCTCGGTACCGTTTGTCAGGTTGCCTTTTCTCTCGGTTGTGGCTTTGCACAAGGTAGGCGCGCCTTTCCGATCGTTCGCGTGCTCCGTTCACTCATAACGTAATCACAGATGGTGTGACTCTCGCCGTGTTGCGTGGCTTCCAAGGCGTTGGAGGCGCTGCTACAATACCATCCGCAGTAAGTTCTTCTGAAATACTTTTCATGGAAAAGTACTCACTCACTTTCTCAGCTCGGTATCCTAGCCCATGCCTTCCCACCATCAAGAGCACGTTCGATAGCATTCGCTACCTTCGCAGCGGGTGCTCCTGTTGGTGGCGCATTTGGCATGCTCATCGGCGGTGTCCTGACTCAACTTACCTCGTACGTCATCATCAGTATTGCTGATACATGCTGTAGTTCTCACGCTGCCACCCAGAACGCACTGGCGCTCTATATTTTATATGGCCGCAGCAACTTCAGCTCTCATTGGAGTTTCCGGTCTTATTTCATTCGATGCTGACGTTCCCTCATCGGAAGTCGTCAAACGTGTCGACTGGGTCGGCGCTTCGCTTGTCACTATCGGTTTGGTTTTGATCGTTTTCGTACTCGGTGAAGGAGAGATCGCTTCGGATGGCTGGAAAACTCCATGTAAGAATCTCACAATACCACCCGGATCATAGGCTAAAATAATCAACAGATATCATCGCGCTCTTAGTGATCGGGGTGATCTTAGTCGGACTATTCTTAGTTTGGGAGTGGAAGCTGGAACAAATCATCGAGGAAGATCCATCAAGAGCGGCATCCATGTGGACACCGCCACCACTTATGAAGCTCTCACTTTGGACTAGGGCGAGGGGCCGGATGGCCGTTGTTCTCTGCATCGCGTTCTTAAATTGGAGTGCTTTCATTGGATGGAGCTTCTGGGTCCAGGTATGTTCATGTTCCGCCGCCTTAGGGGAAGGACATTGCTGACTCCGCTCTAGCTGTATTATCAGAACTACCTGTTATTGTCGCCGGTCAAGACTATGATCCGTTTCATTCCCATGTTTATTGTCGGCTGTTTATGCAACTTTTTCGTGGCAATGGTCGTTTCCAAATTGCCCCTGGTTATCTTTGTAGGCAAGTGTCTATGTGTGGAATGTTAACATGTGAAATTGACTTGTAGTCCAGTCAGCGGATCGCTCTTGACGGCAACTGCCACCATCCTATTTGCCCTTATCGACCCGACCGTAACATATTGGGCGTTCTGTTTCCCATCCACGGTTCTCATTGTGTTCGGCGCCGACTTTGTGTACTCCGCCGGGACAATCTTCATTGCCAAAACCTCGCTCCCACATGAACACAGCGTAGCTGCAGCTCTGTTTCAAACTATGACACAGGTAAGTCGTGTGAAAGAACTAACGGTGTTCTATGGTAGACTAACGTGTTTTTGATTAGATTGGCACGGCCTTCGGTCTAACTATATCCACGATCGTGTTCAATAGTGCGGTTGATAAGGAGTCTGCCAAACTCGGCGTTACTGTTAACGCTAGCGGCACTAACGCGCCCATGTCTGCACAACTCGTGGGGTACAAGGATGCGCAGTGGACCTCTACATCATTCGCCTTGATGGGTTAGTACCGAAAAATAGACTTATTTTAAGAACGTATTGTTGACGGTTACCTGTCATTATAGGTGCGCTACTGGCAGCGCTTTTCCTCTGGAGTGTTGGTATCGTTGGACACCAAAGGGTCATCAGACACGTTGATTCCGATGAGACTATGGCTATGAAGCACGAGCCTGACGGCGCTGAGATATCCCCTATGCCCAACTAAGCCAGACTTCGATATCCAATACCTATCAGGAACGACCAACGGTACCCATGCCATCACGAACTCGCACATGCACCCCTTTAGATTTATTCATTCAACCGCACCTCATCATGGGAACGCACGATTCCAAATTCAACATTTATACCATGAATCGTCTCGACGATAGTTATCGTACCCGCGTACGCTGTCGTTTTGATTCTTTGGCATTGCATGTCTTTGTTTCTGTCGTGTACGTTTCAGAACCTGCAGGCACTCACAAAACCAAATCTCAACATTGTTATCATTAATGGTCTCCCTATGTTATAATCATTACTGTACCCGCACACTCCTCTCGTTTTGGACTTCTGGCATTGCATGTTTTTGTTGCTGTCATTTCTCCTACCTGTAGAACATTAGCATCTGTTGGTACTGTGGCGATGTCACGATAGTAATTTATTCATCCTCATTTGGCTGAAAGGTTGAGGAACGGTTGTTCCTTCTTTCACATAACGTCTGATTTGACTTGCGCTATGGATCGCGCACGGCGCACGTAGTGCGGTGGGCAGAACTGAGTATCTTAGTCCTGCCGAGTGGGATAACTCTAATGGTAAAATTGTCCATCAACGACGGTCCTAGTGGAGATATCAGATATCAGCGACACTTACATGCTAGTCCTCGCTATCATGATACTAACCTCACCTGGAGTACTATTCCTCGTTCAGCGTTTCAACCCGCTCCGCATCCAATTTCTCCGCTCCAAGAAGCCCACCGACATCAAATGCCCGTTTTATTCCAAATAAGCGTCCGAGCCTGTCGGCGAAGCACGGCTGATGGTTAGGCAGATCGTTGTCACGATCTCAAAGCTGTATTTTGGCACTAGAGCGAGAGTTGTCGAGATGTGAGCGCGGTACCGGCGCATGCATGCGTATCCAGTAATAGCAGAACTGTTGGGAACTTTTTCGAGGTACTGGAAATGATCGTACCAAGGATGGCGCTAGCTAGTGGGCGGCGGCCGCTACTTAGGATGGACCATATCCGATAAAGCTTAACTTGAAAGCCTGAGGATCAGCGCAGCCGGTTACTTGTAAGAGCGATTTGCAACTCCGGCAGTGTGCTATTTTAGACTAGTTCTCCTGCCAACCTTGGAGTTTTGCCATAACATGACATTATGGCGTTTGTCGTGGGTTTTTTTCTTATCGATGGCATCGGTCGCCGAAACTTGAGTCATCTGAGTGGCCTTGCCAGGCCTATACTTTGAAGTAGCCTGAATTGCACGGTAGAACTAAATACTAGGTCCTATTAATTTACGGGTGATCAGTTCTTCAAGTGAATTGAATAATGATTAGGGCAGGCTACGGGCTGAATGGAATTAGCCTTATCACTCTCCGTGACATAATACTGACATTCCGAAATGTCAAAGTCGCCAGAGTCTCCAATCTGTCAAAATTTCTTGTCAAGGTTGGCTGAGGGACCTCTGGTATTTAAGCATTGCTATCAAATACAGATCACGTTTTCGCGAGTCTTTCAAATCACCTGGAGTTCCACCAATTCTGCCATTCGCGTTCTATCGTTAGCCAGGTACGGTTTGATCATTGAACCAGCTGGCAAAAACTACCGGGTTCTGCCAACACTACCAGCACATACGATGCATATATTAGGTCGCGACCAATTATCGATTATGAATATCGAATTGTTCTCCCTCGCACCCTGCACTGTTTACAAATTTCTAGGAAACGCGAGGAGTAATGTCCAAGCAGCTTACTACTCGTTCATCAGACTCCATTAGCTTGGAGGAGGCCAAGGACCGTGACGTACAGCGCAGTCTTTGGCGTTCCATCTTCATCATCGCGACATGCACCGCTGCAATGGTGGTCAATGTATGTCTTCATTGTAATCATAAGGATGGCTTGCTATTCATTGTCGATTATAGGTCTCTAATATCAGTTCTGTCTCCATCTCCCTCCCGAATATCGAAAGGGACCTCGATATCAAGGAAGAGCAGCTGCAGTGGCTTATCTCGGCCTATTCCCTCAGTTCGGTCCGTACTTGTTTCTCTTCATCTTCTTGCACTCGGGTTTACTTTCCTTTTAGGGTTGCTTTCTCTTGTTCTTTGGCAGGTTGGCGGATATCTATGGTCGGAAGAAGGCTTTCATGATCGGAACTCTCTCTCAAGTCGCATTTTCTCTCGGTTGTGGTTTTGCACAGAGTGAGTGCCACCTATATATCGGTCCGCTCCATCCGTTTATATTATTATCACAGGTGGTACTACCCTCGTTATTTTGCGTGCCTTTCAAGGCATTGGTGCTGCCGCTACGATACCGTCTTCAGTGAGCATTTTGTATATTTTGATCCGGAATCCTTATGCAGTTTATCAGCTCGGTATCCTGGCCCACGCATTCCCTCCGTCTAAAATGCGTTCAATAGCTTTTGCAGCATTTGCAGCAGGAGCTCCTGTCGGCGGTGCATTTGGCATGATCATCGGTGGTGTTCTCGTACAGATAACATCGTACGTCACAAGTTGTTCATGCGAGACGCTGATTTTTTGATGTTCTTATAAAGATCGCACTGGCGTTCCACATTCTATTTAGTTGCAGTAGTGTCTGCTCTAACGGGTATTTGCGGCATGATTTCATTCGACGCGGATGTTACTTCGACGGAAGCTGTCGACTGGATCGGTGCTTCCGTCGTTACGGTTGGTTTGGTCATGATCGTATTTGTGCTTGGTCAAGGAGAAGTTGCTTCTGAAGGCTGGAAAACTCCATGTAAGACTTCTTCTGTGTCATGTATTTCTAAATTGCATAATTATTGCCAGACATTGTTGCCCTTCTAACTGTTGGGATTATCATGGTTTCGCTGTTCCTTCTTTGGGAGCGATACTTGGAGAAAGGTATAGATGATCCATACAGAGCACAGTCCGCATGGAGACCACCGCCATTGATGAGTCTCTCGCTTTGGACACGAGCAAGGGGTCGGATGGCTGTCATCCTTGCCATTTCATTCCTTAATTCCTGTACTTTCACTAGCTGGAGCTTCTGGGTTCAGGTATGTCCATGTCCCGCTGCCTTGGGGGAACGAGGACGCTGACTACGTTCCGTTCAAGTTGTACTATCAGAACTACCTCTTGCTCACGCCTATGCAAACTATGCTCCGGTTCATTCCAATGTTTATTGTCGGCTGTTTGTGCAACTTTTTGGTTGCAATGTTTGTTGGAAAACTGTCTTTCGTGGTCTTTGCAGGTACGGCTTTGTGAGGAATATCATTACACGTGAAGCTGACTTGTCATCCAGTCGGCGGAACACTACTGACAGCATTCGCCCCCATTCTGCTTGCGCTGATTGACCCGACCGCAACGTATTGGGCGTTTTGCTTCCCGTCCACAATTCTTATCGTGGTCGGAGCTGATCTTGTGTACTCCGCTGGTATGATTTTCATCGCCAAGATCGCGCTCCCACATGAGCAAAGCGTTGCTGGAGCTCTGTTTCAAACTATGGCACAGGCAAGCATCATCAAACTGGCTGATAGTGTCCTGTTCTAAGGTCCATTTCTATGGGATAGCTTGGCGCTGCAGTCGGACTTGCAGTATCTACGATTGTGTTCAACATCGTGGTTAAAACCGAGTCTGCTGACCTTGGCGTTACCCTCAACTCTACTGGTACCAATGCGCCTCTTTCCGCACAGCTGAAGGGTTATAGGTCTGCGCAATGGACTTGCGCTTCGTTTGCGCTTATGGGTGAGTATTGCAGATTCGGCCTGGGTTGAGTGCTTTGTTGATGATTTGTATTGTCACGGTGAATAGCTGCGCTGCTGGCAGCGCTCTGCCTTCACGGCGTTGGGATTGTTGGACACAAGAAAACTCTCAAGCATGTTGACAGTGATCAGACAATAGCCGTGCGGTTTGAATCCAAGGATGGCTAGATCCGCCCCTCGTTGTGCTTCACATCCCCCAGTCCCCAAACACCAAAGATGACACATGGTGCCGTCCTGCCATCATCCCACCCTCTCTATTCAATCGTACACTCGTTCGGAATCAAACTACACTTCGACATTGGACTAATTCTTTTTTGCCGCGAAAGATCCATACTATTTACACTCGTTTCTAACACTCTGTCTTTATCCGTAAAGCACTATTCTTGGTTTTTCTTGATCTTGGCGTTGCTTTCTTGATTAATTTATTTGACGTGTAGTGGTTGCGTACAGATGCTTTTGCCTTACCACTGGTTGGTTGGTATGTACTCACAAGGTATCTACACGCCATCATCGCACATGGAATGGAATATAGTGTTCTTTGAGACTGTCTCGACTGCAGGCTCAACTACTGGCACTGCTCATGACCGTGAAATAAAGAGGGTGCGTGGTAATACTTGTAGTACTTCTGGACAAGCAGTGGGTAATGAACCGAGCACATGCCAGTGATCAGTAGTCACCGGCGTAGGGATGAGAAGAGAAACACGATGTCATAGTAATATGGACAAGCACCAACCGACGTCAACGCTGGTTTTGGCTACGCTCTCACTGTTATCCCCAGTCATCATGCTCTAGTGCCGTAGCAGTGGTCGAGAGATTTGGTAAAGAAGCTTTTGTAGAAGCACGGTATTTGAATTGCCGATTGTGCCGGCGGTACTCAATACTCATTAACATTTATTACCTCCATGCCATCGTGCCTACTCTTCTTGCATATGGTCATGCGACCATGGATTGCAAGGCAATTTCTGGTTCCCTATCAGAGGCGGCAAGTTTTTGCAAAACCGTGTCAAAGTAGCATGACGTATTTGTTGGCTGTACGGCCAAATAAAATTGTCATTTTTAGCACACAGATTACATTTTTAGGTCAAGTCGTGACCTCAAAATCAGCCACTATGACTACCACTATTCATTAATTGTCTCTACTACAACGTTATTGGAAACCATAGAAGTCTTCCGAGGTACGTTTAGATTTTTCTGACACAGGGGAAGTCGAGAGACTGCCAAGATCCGGTTAATCAATAATTACACATGAATTGCTTCCGCACGAGCTAACGGGGATTTTTCTTGACCCGAACAGCACTAGTCCTCGAGTTTAATCGTTCGATTGCGGCCCATGATGAATATCAGGTTATCCTCCCTCGAGCGCTGTACTATCATTTCCGGGAAACACGTCAAGTAATGTCCAAGGAGCTTACCCGTTCACCAATCCGTCAAGATTTCATTGGCCTCGAGAAGGCCAAGCAACATGACGTACAGCGCAGTCTTTGGCGCTCCATCTTCATCATCGCGACATGCACCGCTGCGATGGTGGTCAACGTATGTCTTCACTGTAATCATAATCTGCGATATTTTTTCATGATGGCTGGCTTGATAGGTCACTAATACCAGTTCTGTCTCCATCTCCCTCCCGACTATTGAAAGGGACCTGAATATCAAGGAAGAACAGCTGCAGTGGCTCGTATCGGCCTATTCCCTCAGTTCGGTGCATCATTGTTTCTCTTTATCTTTCTACATCCCGGCTTACTTCCTTCTTAGGGTTGCTTTCTCTTGTTCTTTGGCAGGTTGGCGGATATCTATGGTCGGAAGAAGGCTTTCATGATCGGTACTTGTTCTCAAGTCGCATTTTCTCTTGGTTGTGGCTTTGCACAGAGTGAGTGCCACCCATCTGTCCGTCAGCTCCAGCCATTTACACTGTCATCACAGGTGGTACTACCCTCGTCGTTTTGCGTGCCTTCCAAGGCACGGGTGCCGCTGCTACGATACCGTCTGCAGTGAGCATTTTGTATAATTCTTCCAACTCGAATTCTCATGCAGTTTGTCAGCTCGGTATCCTGGCCCACGCATTCCCTCCATCTAGAATGCGTTCAATAGCTTTCGCGACATTTGCAGCGGGCGCTCCTGTCGGCGGCGCATTTGGCATGATCATCGGCGGTGTCCTCACACAGATAACATCGTACGTTATGTTATTCATATCAGATGCTGAATTTTTGATATCCTCGTAAAGGACGCACTGGCGCTCTCCATTTTATTTGGTTGCAGCAATGTCTGCTCTCACGGGTATTTCCGGCATGATTTCATTCGATGCAGATGTTACTTCGGCGGAAGCTGTCGACTGGATCGGTGTTTCCCTCATCACCGTCGGTTTGGTTCTAATTTTATTTGTACTTGGTCAAGGAGAAGTTGCTCCTGAGGGCTGGAAAACTCCATGTAAGAAAGACTTCTTCTGTGTCATGTATTGCTGAATTGCATAATCATTGCCAGACATTATTACTCTTCTAATTGTCGGGATTATCATGGTTTTGCTGTTCCTTCTTTGGGAGCGATACTTGGAGCAAGGTATAGATGATCCATCCAGAGCACCGTCCGCATGGAGACCACCGCCGTTGATGAGTCTTTCGCTTTGGACGCGAGCAAAGGGCCGGATGGCTGTCGTCCTCGTCATTGCGTTCCTGAATTGGAGCGGTTTCATGAGCTGGAGCTTCTGGGTTCAGGTATGTCCATGTTTCTCTACCCGGAGGAATGGAAACGCTGACTCCGCTCCATTTAAGTTGTACTATCAGGACTACCTTTTGCTCTCACCTATAGATACCATGCTCCGGTTCATCCCAATGTTCGTCGTCGGCTGTTTGTGCAATGTCTTGGTTGCAATGTTTGTTGGCAAATTGCCTTTAATCGTCTTTGCAGGTACGGTTCTGTGCGAGGATCATCATAACATGTGGAGCTGATTTGTCGTCCAGTAAGCGGAACACTACTAACAGCATCTGCCGCCGTCCTGTTTGCGCTGATCGACCCAACTGTAACGTATTGGGCGTTTGGTTTCCCGTCCGCGGTTCTTGTCGTGTTCGGAGCCGATTTTGTGTACTCCTCTGGTACAATTTTCATCGCCAAAATCGCACTCCCACACGAGCGCAGCGTGGCTGGAGCTATGTTTCAAACTATGGCACAGGCAAGTAGCGTCAAACCAACTGATACTGTCCTGTTCTAAGCTCAATTTCTTTGGAATAGCTCGGCATTGCAGTCGGACTTGCCGTATCCACGCTTGTGTTCAACATCGTGGTTAAAAACGAGTCTGCTGACGTTGGTGTTACCCTCAACTCTGCTGGCACCAACGCGCCCCGTTCCGCACAGCTTAAAGGTTATAGGTCTGCGCAATGGACTTGCGCTTCATTTGCGCTTATGGGTGAGTACTGCAAATTCGGCCTGGGTTGAGAGTGCGTTGTTGATGATTTGTATTGTTGTGGTGAATAGCTGCGCTGCTGGCAGCGCTCTGCCTTCACGGAGTTGGGATTGTTGGAGACAAGAAAACCCTCCAGCATACTGCCAGTAATAAGACAATAGTCGTGCGGTCCAAGTCGGAGGACAACTAGTTACACCCATTTTCTAGCAACGACCACACATGATGCTATGCTGCCACGATCCCACCGCCTACGCTCTCCACTCAATTGAGGTACCCTCGTCCCCGAATTAAACTACAATTCAACATTGCAGTAATTATCTACCACCACGAATACTCTATGCTACCTACACTCTTCTCGCAGCACATTTTTCTGTCCTTACTCGTAAAGCATTATCACTGTCCAACATGCAATGACCGTATCCAAATTCTTTTCCCTCAACGTGTACTATATGACAAGCCATCAACACACGAATGTCTTCGTACTATCGCGTGCAGAATGGAATTCAGTGTTCTTTGAGACTCATGTGAATGAGCGATGCACCGCTCGCGATGGATTGATCGAGTTGAAACGCTTTGTGTGTGAGATTCTACCCCGGGCCTGCACACCTTCGACTGATCGTTTCTTGGAGTTTGGTCTCAGGACGACAATCAGATATGTCATAAGCCTATCTACAGCCTGGCAGTGACCCCGGCTGTGGCATTGTCGACGACGAATAGGCAACTCGAGTATGTGCCAGTGCCGTGATGTTTCATCCAATGGACACTGTCAGATTCCCTATGAAACGTGTTTCCGAGTCCTGACGCTGCGAGCCTCTTTTCGTTTCACCGGGTTCATCGTAGCATTCGGGATAATCGTGGCGCAGCCTGGTCATGGCACGTCATATGATCAGGAACTCGTGCTCTGAGAACACTGGTGGGTCACCGTGACGTCCCGACTCCTGACTCCTGATGTGACTCAGGCTGGCTGGCTGGGATCATGTTCGGAGCGCAGATGCCGATAAAGTTCACGCCCCAGGTCAAGCTTCAACGTGAAGAATATGGTCGACCAATCTCGGCGAACAATACATTTAGGGTGCAAGGCACTTGAAAAGGCACGTCCAATAACATTCGTCATCATTACAGAGTTGAAATTTGAAACGTTGAACCGTGCAATGAATACTACTTCCAACGGCTGCCTGATTAGGAAGACCTTATTGTCCCCCTACCCATCGGAATCGTCACACGATACAGTGGTATTCGCTGTTAGGCTTATAAGTCTATTGTCTACCTCGATGGAATCTCAATGGCGGGCGTGTGATAGGGCTCAGTCGGACAGTGATACTTGATGAAATTAGGACGGAGGATTTATACGGGATTTCGCCAAGTTTTTCTCAATGGTGAAATTGTTACAGTTGGAAGGTATATAAGGGCGTCGACAATTCGATCTTGGTCAACTCAACTCACCGTTCACTGGCAGTTCATCCAACTGCCATATCTCATACAAGCTTCGACTACTCGTACAAGTCGCACCCTATATCCCAAAAGAGAAATGGACTCATTCTCAAACATCTTCGCTATTCTGTCCGTTGACGGTGAGGAAAGGGGCCCTGCATCGTCAGCACCAGTGGAGGAGGAGTCACAGTCAAGCTCCGGAGGTTGTTACTGCGTTATTGCATGAACGCGATGCACACTGTTCCATTCATACACGAACGTAAGTGAAGATGATTATTTGATTCGGAGAACGATGGTAGTTACCGTTGTTGGTTGTAGCTCCAGACACTGTTCCTTGATAACCAGGACAATGTCACATGCTCTGTAGTGTTTAAGCAACGGCACAGGGTTTAACGAGTAATACCACCACTTCACTTTATTTATTACAAAACACTTCGTTCAGCATGTTTTCGATCTTCGTTCGCCATTTTTGTTGTGTTTTTTTCGGAGTTCTTCGGAGCTAGGTTGTTGGGTGTAGGTATAGGAAACACTTTTGAGACTGTCGGATATTCTGGGAAGTGCACATGTATAATTATCTGTAGCACCTGGAGAATGAACAATGTTTACCTATTATGACCCACTACTTTTAAACCTTTGCGCGCGCGTCAGGTTGAAGAAAAACCAAAAGAGGTAAAACAATTATTTTATCCCTATTGGCCATTGTCTGCGTATTCGTTGCTCATGGTGAAATTGAGTTCGACGTACTAGACTTGAAATATTCAAGGGCATCGTGCGAGGCAAACGCCATGAGCGTAATACCGCAGTCCGCAGATGTTTGTCATCTATTCGTCACGGCGATGTAATTTAGCAGGCCAAGGTGGGTACATGCCTCATTTCAACAACTGCGCAAGGCCTGATCGATCGATCGGTCATCTTGAATAAAAAAAATAGGACACTAAAAATTGAATCGGGAGCTGAACAATGCAGCTCGTTCCAACCCGTTACACTCGTCAATCCACACGACACACCATCGTGGTGCATGCACGATTAATTTTTTCATCAACTCCACCCTTTCCTGTACGATGGATTTATCTTTATCCGAGCACATAGCGAACATGTGCACAATTAAACACTCACGAGTTCGTCATCGTGATCACCATCTTCACGACAATTCACCTCGGAGATACTATATACCTCGGCATGAGGCAGTATTGCACCGGAAAATCACTTCAGGAGCTGCGGGGAGCAATGCGGTGCATGAAGACCATGGTGTGTTGCTGAGGGGAAGAAGTGTAAGGAGGAAGAGAGCATGAGAATGTAGATGAACTCCTTTCCTAGCACCAAAAAGGATCGGCCAGCTGGTAAACTGAGAAGAAACTTTGATTTGACAATCAATAAGCCAGATAACCACGAAAGAGTCATTTTGAGTCACATCTGTTTTCGTTTGGCTTGCAACAGCTGCCACGAGTAGAGTCCGGGAACTCCGGATGGTTCGATGCCCTGGTTAGCCCGTAGGAAATGATAAGTCCGATTGTCCGGGTGTATGTGACCCCCAGACTATCCGACAGGACTCGTCACAATAACCGAAACGACGAACGGAATTAGAAATCAGAACGACCATATCACCATCAACCCAGTGCTGAGCGTGATATTCGATTTCGAGAAATTTCGGATAATGTAATCTTCATCAGCTAAACCTGCGGTTGAATGATAGAAGGGGATCCAGAGCCTCATCATGATGGTCATGCACTACCGTAGGGACAGAGTAAAGAGGTTTCGAAGCCAGTTTGGGGAAGAGTTGAACAGGTTGGCGCACTTTAGCTTGGCCAGCCTCCCAAGAACCATGAACGTGTTGTCTAGAGTCGTTGCAGTATGTAACCCGCTCATGAGGGCTTGCTGCAATCCGACCCGTTTCAATCTCGGGGGCGCTGGGCGGAGATGAGGTCGGTAATATGAGAAGTCCTCCAGATCAATCGGAACAAGGAATGTAGTCGAGGATTGGCACTTGAAAAAAAGATGCCAATTGTTTGAGTTGAACTCAACACACCTGGCAACCGCATAAGCTACTCACTACATCTTTTCCATAAGACTATTGCCATGTCTTGTCGATGATCAAATGCTAATTTCCAGTTGTTTCGTGTTTTACGACCACGTGATGCGTCCGGGTTCTGCCAGCTGAACTGAGCTCCTCTTTTGTTCAAATGTTTTCGCTTGAAAGATCTTGTTCTGAGCCTCGACGACGCATCGCTGCAAAAGCCAGGCGAATAGGCAAATAAATCAAATTCTGGAGGCCACCAGCTGCGGCTATAGTACTGAACAAGAGGACGGACGCGTTTGACAGATGTAATCTCTTGAGATACCCGCTCTATGATGCGGTAGCGATCTTAAAACTGTTAGAAGAAACTGGTTGGGAGGAGAACAGGTCTATCTCGAATGACTTCGGAAGCAAGGAAAATATTGATTTTTTGCGATAGGGAATCGCACACAAGTCGATGGTGAGTATTTGAGTAGCAATTGTGGTCAAGAGGAACTCAAAGCGCCTCTCCAGATATGACAAGCGTGTCAACACACACCACGTTTTCACTGGCACCTTGAGACCGACACTATGATTCGAAGGACTCGGTTGCCAAAATGACGCTTATCGACATTCTTGCTCTGGAGTAGATGGTCTCGCCCGCAAGCAAAAGTGAAGCATGTCATCAGCGTGAATCTTGACCGAAGGGCACAAGTAGCCGTTAAAGTTGTATGTGTTCTCGTCAAATTAAACGTACGCTATGCAACCAATTTTATTCGATCAGATAGTCTCCGATCATTTTCCTGTCAGCACTCGCTCTCAGACTCTCGATTACGCTCTGTCTTCGCCACGCGCGCGATTCTCGTGACACTCGTACGACTTGCATCTGCACACGCGCCGCTCGTCTTAAACTGAGGTACTCACATTTCAGCCACACCTGAGTACACACTAACTTGAGGCACCAGGAAGATCGAGTGGCTCTTCTGGCCATACGGTTAGTATCTCATAAAATTTGCAAGACGTGTCTGAAGGCTCGCAGCCCAAACATTCATTGTGCAAGCGCGAACCTGCATAGCACATAGTCTAAACGTAAATTTGGAATTGTTTGGGCAAGGTATACTCCTTTCCCAGTCAGTATCGATCACTGACAGACTGGGATGTTTGCAAGATGTTCGTTTATGCATCATTTCGGCGATTAGCCCAACTTAGTGGCAGTGTTAATCAACACAAAAAATCGGTTACCATCAGAACATACATGAGTTATATAAATACCACGACGAAACTTTAAGCAGCCTCCCAGCAAAGCACCCAACAAGCATCTCCCGTACCCGTGTCATACAGTACTGCTAGTTGACACATGTACATGCTCCTGAAAGACAATCGAAGTCATGCTTGTTGTTGCATCAGAGTCGGCCACGATCTTGGCGTGGTATTCTCTAACGCTGAGAATGAGGCGCGGCCCCAGCACAAAGATATGCACGCCCAAGAAAATCTTAGAAACACCATTGAGTATCAGAGCTCCCGTAGAATGTGAATTCTGAAGAAATGATCAGTAGTTCATGTAGATGCCAGCGACGGAACAGCGCACCGAGAGCTTTGGAGAGATATAACCAAGCTGGAGGCAGGAGACACAGACAAAGCTAGCATGTGCGCAATTTGAGCAGAAAAACTTGAAGATAACTACATTCACATTACAAGCTCACCTTGCAAAATAAAACACGTGAGATTTTATCAGCACTCTGAAACAGTCCCTGATGGTCGATCCTGTCGATGGGGCGAGTCGTCGCAGGTCACGGAAGTGTTTTACAGCAATCCAGACTAAAAGACACAGTACGAGAACCTCCCAAAAGGAGATGGGCACCCAGATCATTGGGTTCATAAGCTGGTCTCCCCTCTCAGATCCGTAATCGCACATGTATGTGCCAGAGAATATCAGCTCCTCTGGTGTTTGTCCAATGAGCTGGGTTCAAGTCAAGAAGTAAAGCTTACCTGCTATTGTATACTTGAGTACTATTACCTCTATTACTCCATAGGTGATGACGACAGCCAGGAAGATAATAATAAGAAATATAAGCATCATTCTAGATCTCTGATACATGGCATGTAACCGAACAATCATGATGACTTGCATCATGTTTCAGTCGGGTTAATATCACTGAGAAATTGCAGCTGGGTAGCTCACCGCCCAACAAGGCAGCTACAACCGCAGTTATCCCCACTAATGCATAGTTCACAATATTGCCTGAAACAGTGAAACGCACAATTAGTGATCACCCTCATAGTAGGATCAATGTTCCGACTCACACCTATTGAATGATTGTGTTGAGCCACATTCAATGTTCAAAATCCCACTCACCCCTACAAATGAGCGTATTCATTGGATATGGATAGATAATTGTGGACTACTCACTGTATCTGTCAGCGAGACCGATGGCATATGTACTGTGTGCTGCATTGTCAGAATATTCTAACACGGTAGATATGAAACATACTCAGAACATTGGCACTAATTCCCAAAGATGAGCTATTAGCACAGTGCCAACTCATTGGCCTCGACACGTACACACAATATGGTATTCCAATATAACGTGTCTAGAACATTTTGGAGTCAGCACAACTTGCCAACCCACTATAGTATAACATGAGGTACGAACAACCAGATACATCACCGTCATAAGAGACCAACGTTGCCTCTGTCGCAAATTCAGTGTATTTTCTTGTTTTTCTTCTGATATGGAACTCTCTCACTCACCCAGATCAGTTCAATCTATGACCGTTCTTAGCGAGGTCCTGTTCCAGCGATAACATTGACCTACTTCTTGTCCAAGTGTTAGTACTGGAGTGATCATGGTAAGCATGTCAGCAGTTTCCGAGCACTATCCCGCTCACCCCAATCATATACCACTACGATGCCAGCGGCAACTGCAAAAATGCAAGTCAAAGATTAGATCGAGACATCACCAAACTGAGGACGAACCCGCCCAATAACTGAAAACAAGTGACCAAGTGACCAGCGGCCACCAACTGGAATCATTTGAGACTATAGTCATTTTCGAGGGGTAGGTCTGAGCGACTCGTGGGGGACCATGTATAACGATAGCATTCAGGTAAATATACCACCGCACCGCTTGCATCGCCAGTGATGTGATATGAACTTGAAGGAAAGAGTGAAACCCTCGACTTAATTTTGGAGCGTGGCTCTGCAAACCCGTATCACTGTCGCATGCAGGATATTCGTCCATCAGAAAAGTCCCAACAGTCGTTCGTGATGTCATCATGTCGGCAACTCAGAGTTTTCCACACATTTTCAAATGTTCTTGCTGTCCTGCGGTGCACATGTATCAGTTCAGGAGTTCCATAAGTGAAACCGTGTCGTCATTGATCAAGCGTCTAAGCATCATCAACAAGTGTTTGTATTCTCTTGACCTTGCTGGCCAAACTTGAGGTGTAACACCCCACTGATAACTTTTAACAAGGTAAGAAAAGAAACACAGGAATAAATATAACTCGCCTTATCATGGTCATCACTGTCCGCTCAATCATTGACTCGGCGTTCTTCAAGTTTGAATAAAGATATGGTACTAAGACCGAATCGGATACCAAGCGCACTATATCCGTGGGATGTATCGCACTGCCACATCCTGGGATAACTTGCAATTGGATATTGCGTAGTACGTATTGTTCCACCATATCAACTCGCATGAAAATGCCAGCAACCTATATGGCCCTACTAATAGTGGGGGCTGAAAATTTCCATCCAGTCACCTTCACACTAGCTATAGGGATTATAGCGCGAACCTTAAGCTGAAGATTCGCACCAAATGTTTGTGAGCATCAAACATTTTATTCAGGTTACGAAGAAATAAAAATGCAAAGACAATGATCACATTTTACTATGTCACGGTTTCTATTATATTCTGATCATGTGTTTCAAGACGCTTATTAACTCTTCCCCATGCCGCAGATGAGTTGTGTTCAAAGCGCTTGCACGACATTCGCTGAATGCGCCGGGCCGCATGATGCCCTCGCTTCAGCCTTCAAAGCTTCACGCCCCGCTCCCGCAGGGCACAGGTCCCACGCACATTCCAATTTGTACTCCATCATCTTTCCCCGTCACGAGCATTCGTAACACTTTCTAGCTAGCCACTACAACTCACAGTCCAGCAGACATAGGCGGTATGTCCTCATTTGATCGAAATCATGACAGTGGGTACTCGAAGAATCGCAAGAAGAAATGTACACTATTGGAGGCATCGTCTCATCCGCTTGACGATAGCAACTACAACATGGTCATTGGTACCCCACTGAAATTACCGTTCGTTTTCCAACCTTCATTTCCACGCCAGTATTTGGTCGTAGCCGCTCGTCACGCACCCATCCCATTCATCGCCCATATGTGCTCTATGCGTGTGCAGCCCTTAGCTCGCAAGGCGACGAATGTCTGCATTCTTCCTGACCTGGTTCCTCAGTAGACACATTCTTTCGGGCGTGGCTTGCTCACCTATGCAGATGGAGAAGAATGAAGTCAAGGTGGCTGCTCGACGGAGGCCTGCAATTTGCGACAAAGTGTGCGAGGCACAACTTGATTGATTGTTGCCCTCGCCAAAGCTAGTGCCTATTGGTTTCGTGTCTAGATTACGATGCTTGCACTGATGCACATTTAGTTTCAGCACACTGTACGCATTTAAATTCTCACCATCTAGCCAATATCCACCTATATTCAGATGTGCGTTGATTGAATAGACAGATCGCGGGGCAGACAGTATGCGCCGGAAATGAGATATCAACAACCGCCATACAGAACGAATTGTGAGGTCTAATGGACCAGGAACTTGAACAGGGGCTGTTATACGTCTTCCGTTGTAGTCAGTCAATTGTCAGACTTCGACTTATCTTGAATCCTAGCACCGCAGTGTCTCCTCCGAGTCGGTTGAAATGTTCGCTATGCTCCGGGTTGATACACCATCTGAGCAGCTCATTGTGGCACTTGTTCGTGGTCACACGAAGGCAAAAAATGAGGGGCTTGGTGAAGGTATGAAGAGGATCGAGATCGAGAGCTGCATGATTGATCTTGATCATGCTGAACACAAGTAGTTGTTAGTCTCGACTCTCCCGTGGTCAGACCAATCGAACGAAGACAGTCGCTTTGGATCCTTCTGTATCACTAGGGGAAGTTGTGGAAATCGTCCATGCTCATTATAGTATGTGCATATAGTTTTGGGCTCGGCAGTATACTAGTTGCAAATTAGCAAGGGTAGCTGCTAACGGGAAATAGATATAACTCTGCAAAACAAAATGCCCATTCTCTCCAGCTGGTGCTACAGATAAATATATGTGCGTTTACCAGAATATTCGAGTCTCGAATGTATCTCTTGTACCCGCATCTAAGATATCAAAGTAGTTCCGAAGAACTCAACGAAATAATAAAACGAAAATGGTGAGCAAAAGTCGAAACATGCTGAACGAAGTGTGTTTCCAATAAGTAAGTGGTATCGCCCATTAAGCCCTGCTGTAGCTTAAACACTACAGAGGATATGGCACTGTATTAGTTATCAGTGCCTGGAGCTGCAACCAACGATGGTAAGCTATCGTTCCGCAGATTAAATAAATGTCACCACTTACATTCATATATGAATGAGACAGTATACATCGCGTTCATGCAATGACGCAGTAACAACCCCCAGAGCTTGATTGCGACTCCTCCTCCACTGGTGTCGACGATGTACTACTACTCTTATCGTCGACCTTGGAAGCGGACAACATAGCGAGGATATTTGAGAATGAGTCCATTGCACTTTGGGAATGCAAAAATGACGAGGGTGTGACTTTACGAGTAGGTGTTGTATGAGAGATGGTAGCTGAATGAACTGCTGATGGACGAGAGGTAAAAGTTGGTTGAGCTCATAGAATGGAGACTTATATATACACTTCTACCATGACTTGACGGGGGAAAGAACTCCACAAAATTCCGCATATCCCTGCCTAATTGTCACTTTCAGACCGAGACGTACCAGTCACAGAAACCAAGTCTGCCACGCCCAGAGATGCATTGACACGTAAACAATAAAAAAGCTAGCAATAGCGGATACATGTGGGACTACATCAGGTGAGCCGCGACCTTTCCGATAGGTAGGACCGGGAGGGGTTTGACAATAAGGTCATCCTGATTAGGCAACCATAGTATTCGTTGCAAAGGTCCAACAGGGAACCCAATTGGCTTCAGACTGGGTGATGACGAATATTTTTCCGAGGTACATTTCATCAGCTCGCGATATTGACCCGGTCCAGCTGCGCAGCACGAGCCAGACGGAGAAGGGATCTGGAAGGTAAGAATGTCAATATGCTGCACAATAGATCGTTCAGTTGTCTATCTGCTTGATGGGGCCTGGGTATCCAATGGCCCGAACAGTGCATCATGTTGCTATTTGAATAATATCATTGCCAAGCAATTCAGGGAACTGACGAGAAGAGAGTACTTACATTTGGACCGCGATATAACGGTATAAAGGCTGGTCTTGATGGAAAAGTTGACATGTATTGCCATAGTGGGTGAGGTGTGGGCAGTACTTAGTAGACTTGTGTGAGAATTGGGGTGAGTATCGGGGAACCCGAAAAACCCGAAAACGTTGAGAGTTTCCAGTGGCTTTTAGCTCCCTTGATTTATTTATGCCCCAACAACATGCACTTGCGGAATGAGACTGCATATACTTACATGTAGCGGGTCCCGGTGAATCAATGATGATTAATTGATTATCCTAGTCACCATAATGTGTTTGTGTTTGTTTGACAACACCTATAGTACCGACGTATGCAAATTTAGTTCCTTTTATTACTTGTCAACGTCTTCCTCCGCAACATCAACATTTGTGATAGTCTCGAGGGGTCTGACTTTATTTGTTTCTACTCAGCCAGATACTCCCTGGTGGTAGGAAAGTCCATTCGTCAAAATGTGATTCGTTACCAGCTCAGTTCCGGAACCATGAATCATACGATGTTGTATAGTTGTTTTGTGTTGGTATGGCGTTCCATGCGTGTAATGGTCACTGACTTGCAGGTTGTACTGCATCTAGTATCGCAAATCCTTCCTGTGGTGTGACCTGTGACGAAGTTGGTTGCGAATATTTGATATTTGAGAGAGAACGTAGGGAAACACATGCCTGTGCCAACTGGACGTTGTGATGGTCTTGTAGTTTACTGATGTAGTTTCTCCTCCATGACTTGCTTTAGAACTCGCAGCGCCAGTTTGCCTCTCAACTGAACAGAAAGTCTTACACTATAACGTCTGCATCCAAACTTCTGTATCAATCGGTGTCAAATTTGAGAGTAAGTCCACTTGATGTTGCCCATACTAGCTCCTTCAAGTCAGTGACACACAATCATGTCGCTGAAATAAAGTCAACCCTCGTACCATTCAAATCCAACTTTCCCCAACAAAAGTGCAAATCAGCAGGCCTATCGAACTTGGAAAACACTCTCACCTTCTTCAGGATCGTTTCGACCCTTCACTTGATGAGTATTTCTGGATGAGAGGTGTCGCGTACATCTGTGAGACTGTCGGCCTCGAAGGTCTGACCGTTGAATACTGCTTTCAGCCAAGGACAAATGGCGCGCCTCCTCAGTTTCTAGATGCCGATGGAGAGGTGCTTGGTATCTGTGTGCGATGACGTTGAGGACGACATCCCTTTGCAGCAACAGGTGGATTGCTTGGCAAATCTTCTGGGTAGACTGCCGCAGTTGTGGGTCAATATCTATCCGCGTCATGATTGGGAGTGAGCATAGAGATATTTTGATATCCAGCTTCTGCCATCGAATACTTGATCTGCACATCACATAACTACCATACTGTTAAGTTGCTAACGTAGGCTCACCTGTCAGTACTGTCGGCAGACGGCTGCAATGTCAGTGTATACGTACTAGTAGTACAAGATTGGAATGTCGCCGCGGCGAACTTGTCAAAGTTCAAACACACGTATTGTGTCACGTGTGGACCGTACTGAGTGCGGCAAGTCAAACTTGTTTGGGCTCACCCATGACAGTACTAGTATCGGTTCACCATACCCACGTCTCTCGTGTTATCGTAGCAAGTCGCCTGATCTTCAAGGTTCGCACGATGGTCAAAATCTTGAGAACGTATCTGTCAAAGTCGTACGGTGTCTGTACAGACTGTACTGCATCAAGCACATTCCGGACTCAACTTGAAACTATGAATTCGCAATTATCTGAGACTCAGAGCGGATGCATGATAGCAGGTGAGAATCTCAGTTTACGCTGCTCCGTTCTGGCGTTACTGAGTAAGTGGTCCAAAATTAAGTCTTGCATGAGACTCGAGATGTCTGTTGTGACAGCACCACCCATGTAACTAGACTCGTGACCAGTCCGTCTATGAGGCACATTGTTGATAGACGGTTGCGGTATAACGCGGACCGCTAGTCTTATCAGGAGCCATTATAAGCTATTGGCTCCAATCATTATGAGGTTCCTTTCCTTTCAACTCAGTCTTCTCATCCCAAGTCCCATCACAAACCAAAAAGCGATTAACTGATGGCAACTGTCGCGAACTCTGTGGCTCACCCAACCTTGATTTCGGTACGCAACTGCGTCCTGTTCACCTGCGAAAGTTGACAACTGATCACTGCACCTCTAGGCTGATCCTTTTGTGTAGGTTTTAGGTTATGTATCCACGTCTTTATCTCATGATGTCGATTAACTGCAAGTCCTGCAAGAGAACAGAAGGTTTGTTCCACGTTTCACCGTAGTTGCAACATTTATTAACACTTTTCAGAACCTGCACAACCGCTGGCAGTGAGTTAGTACGCTGTTCGTTCTCAATTGATCACATGACCCTGTTCGCAGTCCCGATATTCCTGCCGTTGCCACAGTGAAGCCCGGACAGGTATGTCACGATGCCCTTGGATGTATGTATACACCTGTCTTATGTTCGATCATTTGCACAGGTGTTTAACGTCGAATGTGTTGACTGGACAGGAGCGCAAATCGGTAACAACGACAGTATGTATACGGGCTTTTGCCATCATAAGGATCTACTTTAAGGCCACTATTTCCGACAGCGAGCGATGATATCAGAGACGTAGACCTGACCAGCGTTCACAATTTGTCCGGTCCAATCGCTGTGGAGGGCGCTGAGCCTGGAGACTGTCTCGTAGTTGATATTCTTGATGGTATGTCGCACCTGATTGCTCTTCCGCGTCTCTTTTTTATTTGTTCGTAGTCAGACCGTTTGATAAAATGCCCTGGGGCTACACTGTAAGGACTCATAAAATCAATCATTTAGTCAAGCGCCTAAAGTGCAACAGGGTATTTTCGAACTCGAGAACGGCGGCGGATTGTTTGGTGAGCGAAAAAAATATGCCATATTTCGCATATTTCTAATCAAAATTTTACGTAGCTCGGGAATTCCAGAGCAGAGCTGCAAAGGCTATCTGGGATTTCAAAGGTTTGCGTCTTCCTACGATATGCGTGCAACGTTCTGATGACATGTCTCCAGGCGTCTATGCCACTTCAAGGCACATTCCTGGCGTACGTTTCGCTGGCGTGTCACATCCTGGGTTGATCGGCACAGCACCGTCCGCTGAGCTATTGGCAACCTGGAACAAGCGTGAAGGTGCCCTTATTGAAGCTCACGCTAATTCGGTTCCTCCCGTCGCCTACGGCCCATTGGCACCAGGCGCTTATGTCGGCCAAGACCTTCCTGATGACGTACGCGCGAAAATCTATCGCGAAGGCGCACGGACGATTCCTGGAAGAGAGCATGGCGGTAATTGCGACGTAAGCTTCCTTTAAATCATCATTTGTTATCTCGATTGTAGTAACTATCTACTTGATAGATCAAAAACTTGTCAAGGTAAAGGAAGCTCACTACAGGCTTCCGTTGTTTCTCACATCCTTTGGGTCAAGGGGTTCGCGCTGCTATTTCCCTGTATTCGTGAAGGGTGCAAACTTGTCTGTTGGCGATCTCCACTTCTCTCAAGGAGATGTGAGTATCTTCATCACGCAGTTCTGCTCATGCTAACATTCAAACAGGGCGAGGTAGGCTAGAATCCATCAGTGCGTAGGTGATCTAAACGAGCACTACTTAGCTGTCCTTCTGTGGCGCCATAGAGATGGTGTGGAGTTTCTGCAATCTTGTCCCGCTCTCACTAATGTGGCTTCCAGGCTGGAATAGTCACTTTCAGCACTAGCATCATAAAGGGCGGTGTTGAGAAGTTTGCTATGAAACAACCCATCTTCCTGGTATGTTCTTGTCTCAGGTGGCCACTCCCGGTGCTGACCGTCACAGCCCTCTCCTGTCGATCCACTATACTCCGCAAAAGTAGGTTCATAAGCACATCATCTGTTTTAGTTGCTAATCCAATTTTCCAGTTGATCTTCCAGGGGATCAGTGTAGACTACCGTATGCATGAGCACGTTGAATGCCACATCATTCATTATTGACGTTAATAATTGACAGACGGTGATGGTACCCAATACAACATGGATGCGTCAGTGTACTTTCCCTTGATACATTGATGCGTAGTTCATTAACTTTACTTAGCACGGTGGCCTACAAGCAGGCTGCTCTGAACGCTATCGCTTATCTTATGAAGATTGGTTACAGTAAGTCCCGCATCACAAAATGAACCATCTACTGATCAGCGAGTGACCGCAGCCCGTGAGCAAGCATGTAAGTCATGTTCTGTGAGGGGAAGAAAAATGCTCAATTTCATTTAGACCTTTTGTTGTCTGCTGCGCCGGTAGAAAGTCATATTGGTGCGATCGTGGTAAGTCAGATCCAATTTGAGTTCCTCGACAGTTTTATTCAATTTTATCTTAGGACTCTCCAAATGCCTGTGTGACTCTCGGTCTTCCCTTGGGAATCTTTGAACATGTGAGTTCGTTGTGATCATGTAGCCGATTTGACTACATGATGTGTAACAGGACATTTTACCCAAGGATGAAGGTTTGAAGAAGCTGGAATTTGGGCAATGTGCTGTGCGCAGCGATGGCGTGCTGTAAAATATGGCCAAGATCATGAATCCTGCATGAACCAATCAACAACGATGTATTCTAATTAATGTCTGTGTATACGCAAACATTTTGTACAATACTACACAGAAGGATTCTTACTCTTGCCCCGAATCAATAAAACCTGACATACACCCTTCTTCCTCTTCTTAGACTTAAATAGCAAGCTGCGTATTAGATAGGCCGAACTACGGTTCTGTGTAACTGAGACCGCAGGGGGTGGTCACATGCCACACTGCCTTCAACACCTGTGAACCGGGTTTCACACTACTGCACACCCACTCGAACAGTCCATCATTCTTTCCCGCGCGGTCCCCAGTGGTTGACCACCTCGCATAACACCCATCTCCTACCCGTACCGTTCCCGAGTCGATGTCAGCAAGGCCTCCGGGCTCTTGCAACGTGACTGTAATACGAGGGTCTGCAGAAAATGGAAGTGATGTGCGAACGATGACGTTGCTGACGGGGTCGCGGTGCGTGTTGTTGAGAGTGGCTGTGATAGTATACGTCTTAGTCGCCTTGCCGTTGAAGTCAGGTAGTGAGCCGATTGTGCGGTTGAACTGCGTGGCCATCGCGGGGTCAATACCAAGAGAGCATTGGATAGGCTGCGACTGATTGATGCTCTGCTCCGATACGCAAGGTTAATGGGTCTCGGAAACTAACATAGGAAATAACGTACCGTGATATCCATGTCAGAAACGTGTTTTCCATCCAGGTAAGTGTGAATAGTGCCCGGAGTTAGTGCATAGTTGCTTGTGTTCGAAATCTCGCACTAGAATGATAGATGTGAGGCAGGTACGATGACATAAACGAGACATTACTCACAGTCCAAAAGACATGGGAGTTAACGCTCGGTACTGTGACTCTGGTAAATGACGCTTTCAGTGGGATAGTTGCTATAAGAATGTGATGGGTCCCTCCCACTCCACGACTTGGAATGAACACCTTTGCGGTCGCTGTGTGAGCCACGGCCTTGTCGAGCTGCAATAAAGTCATTATCAGATTCGCTAGCAATATGAAACAGTCATGACGCACCTCTGCTAACACTATGCGTTCTCTTTGGTGCTGTAACTTGGATGACTGCGCTGAAGCGGACAAGGAAGTCGATGGCTGAGACTGCTGCAAGTTTGATGTTGGTTGCTTGGAGTTAAGGGTGTTCTCTGTGGCGTTACTCCCGCCACTACTTGGGTTCCGCGCACTGGATGAATATTGCGATGGTGGTGCGGTCGTTAAGGAAGATGCCTGTGATTGTGCTAGAAAATGGAAAAACGGTTGACCTGCCAGTGTACTTGATTGTGCTGGAGTAGATGTAAAGAAACCTTGAGTTGTGACAGTGGGTTGTCCCTGTAAGAATCCGAACACGTTTTCTGCTGCAGGTTCCTGTGTGGCCCCAGCTTGGTGAGGAGCACTTTGAGTGTTTCCAAATATGCTTCGTCTGTCTTGCTGTGTCGAGGACAGAATGCTCTCGAAGGGTGAAGCATGTCCTGTGGTATTCCAAAATGGAACATTTTTGGGCTTGACCGGTAAATCGCAAGGGTCAGGCTTCCAAAAGCCTCCTTGTTGCTTTAGCTCCATCTTCTTCAGTTCAGGTACCCCTACTGAATGAACATAGGGCTCTGCTGTTGTCACCGCGAGCTCCACATCGTCCCAATCCTCCCCGGTAGACTGAGAAATTTGGCATCGATAAGTTAGAACGACTGATGAAGAAGGGACACCATCAATGGTCGTGACATGTAGTTCGTATACTGGCTTCCATGTAGCGTTAACCTCTGAGGAGGACTCAGTGATAGATGAAAATGCGACAGCTTAATGATAAGACAACTCACTGTACTTCAGTTCCAGCTCAGCGACCGTAGCGGTGCGGCCAGAAACTGGTGCAAGAATAACAGTGGCTTTGGTCACCAAGGCGCAGGATTGGAGGAAAAGTCGCTGTACTTCTTCATCTATTTCCTTCTTGACGTCCTTGATCTGCTGGTCAAGTACCGCAATGACTTCGGATCGACTCTTGCCAATGTCTATGAACTCATCGAAAAGTGTAACGAGGTGTGCGGGTTCTGCCACACCCGCCAGAACATTTCCTTTGGCAAGAGAGTTCATATATGTCGACAGGAAGGCGAAGCTTTGTTGCCTTAGCTGACGCTCATCCTGTAGGCGCGTAAACTCGGCCTGCAGATCACGAAGGACATCACTACTAGTCTCGTGCCGATGACCAAACGGGTCGGATTTATAGTCGGACGGGCCATGGTAGTAATCTACGACCAGCAGATCATCTGAACCAGTGGTCACAGATGCCCAAATTCCACTCTGACGATGCAGTAGGGGAAGGTTTGAAATATTGATGGCCAGCGATCCATTCTAATTATGTAGTAGTAAGTGACTGAGTCTTAGAAGCTGCTGAGGTCAACCACTATGCACGTACTAGAGACTGGGTAAAGTTGAGGGGGAAAATGCGGGTAACCTCAGCTACGTCGGAGCTGAATATCCTCACGGACTTGATGGGAAAGTCAGTTGCAGAGAGATTTATCACATTCATCCTGAGTAAGAGCGCAGGGCAGGAAAGGTGCAGTACATGTGCAAGTGTTATAAGTCTCGAGCAAGCTTCGAGTCAGGTCACAGGTGACAAGTACTTCCAGACATAGTGGAATGGTCGTTGCAGCTGTGCAGGCCGTATTTAGGTAATAACCGGCTCCGCCTAGTATTGGGTGGCTCGGCTATGGTTGACTCAGCGCGGTACAAAGGAAACCACCAATGATCATCATCATATTACTTGTCAATGTTCAAAAATTTAATGGTTGCTATAGTAAGACCCCAATCAAAGCAGTTGAATGTATAGTTAGTATAGCAGCACAATATACCTCGAGCCATTCAAAGGACTCAATTTATTACACAGAGCAATTTGACATATCTGAGAACAATGGTTTTGCAGGGGTAGTTGAAACATCTGTGGAGACAAGCAAGAGCCCTGGGGTGAACTATGTAGATACAGAACTAAGAAAGTGTCGTACCGACCTTCTCATCTTTCAGACGCTTGCAGTCACTGATGATGTTCATAGGATATGGGAACTCACATTTTTCTTCACCTCTCAACACCTCTTTTCGACTTATTCTTCACTGGCAAGAATATATGGTATCTATCGTTGTCTTCTTTTGGAGCAGACGAAGAACAAGGCAGATAGGATCTTTGTCTCTTGTTCGCTTTCATTTGCGAGAACTCTCTTTGGAAGTTTGCTGACGCTGCTCAGGACACGGATTCCAACATAACAAGCCCAATTAATGATATGATATGATCACAATTCAAAGAAGTAAAACAAATAATTTAACTGAGGTCCTCGAGCGCTTCGAGGCGTATTATTTGCCTGTACACTACGCATGAGAAAGGTCCTTGAAAATGAAGAACCAACTCACCTGTCACGAACAGCCTCTTGCCATCTCTGCAACTTTGCAGTCTCATTCAGCTGAAAACCATATATCCTCGGTCGATATCTTTCTGCTTTCAATGCAACACTCGCAGTGCTGGCTGTCTCTCCGACACCCTCGGAAATTTCAGGTTCTTCCTTAACTCTCCTACTTTTTCTGCTGGAGTCGTTTTCAATACCACGGGAGGTTGGAGTAGGATCAACAGGACCAGATTTCGGCGGAAGAAGACTGGGGTATACGAGGAACAAGAGGTGAGGGAAGGACGTGCCAAAGTAAGCGCCATCAATGGAGCCATGGCGCGACGATTTGGGAGAGTAGACGTCTTCGCATCGACCGCAGTACAACTTCACTGACTTTTCGTAGGGTGTATCACTGAGGCCTACTGGTAGCAGTGGCTGGGATTGACAGAGTACTCGTGGGCACCGACCAAAATCCACTCGCTTGAATTTGTCGAGCTGAAAGGAGGTGAGGAAGCTTAGCGGTAAGAGCAGGCAGACGTTACCATTTTAGCCAGTCCGCGGGCAGTAACAATCCATCGAGCATGGATTAGACCATACAACAAACGGGCCTGGACATCGAGCGCACCACGTAGCTCGTCTTGTATATCGTCGTCTGGGAATCGATGGCTCTCAGTCACAACCTAACAATATGGCTTTCGAAATGTACCGAGATTATCCGTGATTAAATCGAGCGCTTGTGCATAGTTTGAAACTTCGTTGTTGAGGCCAGTGAGATTGAATCTATCTAGGATATAGTCCTCTTCGACTTCGCAGAAATATTCGTTGCCCTTGGATGAAAGAAACCAAGAGATCCACTTCAACCGTGTTTAGAACGTAACATATCCGTCGTGACTGCTTTCTCACCGAACTGGAAACCGATGAAACAGCACAGCTTCAGTTGTGCGACGGCTAGGCAATAAAGGACCCACTTAGAGTATTCAGAATCCGAGCCTGTGGAAATGTCGTCCACTGCGCGTCCAAGCATTGTATCAGCTATGCAGTCAAAAAAACTCCTTCACTGAGGAACTGACTGGCAATATACAATAGATGTCAGCGGAACCATGATGCGATTCGAATTTCCGAGAGGTGCAATACCACCAGCATCCACATAAGGAAGAAAATTCTCGCATCACTTGGACGTGGACGAGTTGCCTTGTGTAAATCTCTAACGGCCTGCCAATGGACTCGACTTTTTGAAACCTCGCAGAACCAACGCAGCTTCCTTCCAGAAATATACGGAGCTCATGCAAAAGGACATAGTGGTCGATATGCCCACAGATATGCGAAACCAAGAAGGCCATTTCTCGACATTTGACCTTGACTACACTCCGCCAAAGCCAGGGGGAATTACATCACTCACTGTTGATATCCCTGCTTTGAGCCGCATCCCAAACGAACCGCGCCCACCTCCAAGATGGAAAACTCCAGAATTTATCTTCTATTATGTGGTCGCTTTGTTTGTGATCCCTCTTATGGTATGGATACCTATCCACCTGAGTTCACGTATGTAGAATTTTGTTGCAGATGGTTGTCACTAATGCTAATGAATGTGATCAGCTTCACATCCGAATTATCCATATTATCGTCACAGATTATCACCAGGTTGGATGTTCGGACGCGAAGTTGTGAGTGTCATATCTTGTACTAGGCATGATGTCCTGGCCGTTTTCTGCCTCTGTTTCATGCACAAAATAATTCCCTGACTTTTATTCTCGCAGGATAACAGTGATACCCAGTATCGGTCATTTCGCAACAACATACTTTCACTCTCATTCCTTGTCCTGATCTTCATCACTCTCAAATACATATACACACGGTCTGCATTTCGCTCTGCCCTAAGTATACCCTCGGATAAGCTTTACCTGATTCCGTTTTTTCTTGTGTTCTCTGTTCTATACCTTACTGGTCTCCACGGGACGAGCGTCTTCAAGATTGTAGTTATCCTGACGGCCAACTACTGGATTGCTAAGACATCCAAAGGATCGCGCATGGGACCACTGCTTACATGGGTTTTTAACGTTTTAATCTTATTCGCTAATGAGACGCATGGCGGATATCGGTATGCCAGTTTCCACCCTTCATTAGAAGTTTTGGTTCGTTATTCTAGACGTCTATCATCAACAGTTTCTGACTTTTCACCCAGGACGCATTCCAAGGCATTTATCCGCGTTGGCACATAAGCTTCAATATCACTATGCTGAGATTGGTGTCATTCAATATGGATTACTATTGGGCCTATAATTCTCGTGGGGGAGAGGTGAGCAACTAGGTTCGATATCTGTCTCGATACTTACGCACTTCGAAGAGCTTGAGCTCTGCTTCTACCGAAAAGCAGAGAGCCAACACGCCACTGCCTTTAGAAGATTATACATATCGGAATTATATCACCTATGTCCTCTATCCTCCACTCTACATCGCTGGCCCTATTCTGACATTCAATAATTTCATGTGGCAGGTACATGTTTTTTTCTGTTTGATTTGCTTTCGTTTACATCATTTATGCAGTTGCGCCGCCCTATAGATATTCCCATACACGTCCAATGCCGCTACTTGGTTCGTTTCCTTGTTAGTCTCCTGACCATGGAGTCCATATTACACTACATGTATGTTGTGGCCATCAAAGATACGAAGACTTGGCAAGGCTATACACCACTGGAGCTAAGTATGATTGGCTTTTGGAATCTCATCGTCGTCTGGTTAAAAGTAAGTTTTTTTTGGATGTGTTTCATTTTCTGTTGATCATTTGAGTAGCTGCTTTTACCATGGAGGTTTTTTCGTCTCTGGTCTTTGGCCAGCGGTATCGACCCACCTGAAAACATGGTACGGTGCATGGTCAATAATTACTCTACTCTTGGATTTTGGCGAAGTTGGCACCGGTCTTACAATCTCTGGATCGTCCGGTTCGGCTGTTGTATACACGTGTGGGCTTCTTACTTACTGGAATACAGATACATCTACATTCCGCTCGGAGGTACAGAGAACGTTGCACTGACAACTGCGCTTATCTTCACATTTGTCGCACTCTGGCATGATCTCTCCTTTCGCTTGCTTGCGTGGGGATGGCTCGTCAGTTTTTTCATCTTACCTGAGCTCCTTGCGAGGTATCTTCTCCCTCACACAAAGGTTAGTCGAATACCCTCTTCGTGGCATTTTCACCTTCTACGTCTCATTTAACTCGCACGATCAGTACGGGCAATTTTCATGGTATCGCCATGTCTGCGCAATCGGAGGCGTACTCAACATGTTAATGATGGTTTCCGCAAACCTTGTTGGATTTGTGATTGGTACGGACGGGATAATGTATATGGCCAGCCAGATGGCGGGAACGTGGCAAGGTAGGGCGCCTTCTGTTCTTTGTCACCGCGTGGTATTGGACTATCTAATGCTCCATTAGGATTTTGTTTCTTGCTTGCAGCCAGTTGCATTATGTTCGTGGGAGTGCAGCTTATGTTTGAGTACCGGTGCGTTCTATCGCGGGAGCTCTTTGCGTCGTGATCACTCAAACTCAGTTCTCAGAGAAGAAGAGATGCGAAGAGGTGTTTACCGAAGGTGTTGATGATTTGCTTGAGGCCATTGATCGTCATTAGCGGTCTTAATTAGCGTCCGCGTTCTGTGCTGCACCTATAGGAAACGACGTCTCGTGCCTTCCTTTTGTCACCCTGATTCATTCAATGAGCTCGTTCAAGAACCCCGTTCGCGAGGATCAAGTGAAAGCCCATCGTGGCCGAAGAAGATCAGAAGCACTAAGAACACGCGAACAGAGACCACGCACACGGCGTACTGCGAACGACGACGACATTGTGTACAAATGTGGGTGTAAGCTCCGGCCTGTTAGTGACGAGGGGCTTTTGAAAGGTTCTAATACCTATCGACGCATCATGACCTTGAGTCGTTACAGCTAACCAATGGTGGACCCTGCGCTCAAAGCCTGAAGTAAGTTCCTACAGGCTCTCACGCCACAATAAGCAGAGGGAGTGCTTGAGCACGACACTCAATCGATCGGTTCGTCAAATTTCAAACGATCAGGCAGGAGCCTCGAACCTATATGTTAATTTGTTCAAAACATATCAACGCCGATACCAGTAGTAACGCTAATATTAACTGTGATGATGTCCATATGTCTGGAGAATGGTAATGCAACGAGATTACAGAAAGAAACGATGATCAAATGACTGTCTTGCCTAGAAAACGACGGTGATTAAACGAAAGGAATGAGCAATATATGTGAGTACACTAAACATGTTATAATAAAGAGAGGGAGAGCATTTGTTATTATGATCGCATGCCAAGACAACTCAATCGTGCGATATTCATTTCTGCTTCCATGTCTAATGATCGCTGCTTGGCCCGCTCGCGGAGAAGGCCCCACTTGACCCACCAATCGTCGGCTTCATCTTCGGCATCGTATCCCCAAAGTTCTTTGAGCTGCTCCCATTGGTCAGAAGCCTTGCCACCGCCAAAAACGCTTTCCCCTTGAGCAGTCTTGGCACGCATCTCCTGATCGCGTTGCTCCTGCTGAGGACCAGCTGGCATCATCTGGAAATACAGATTACATTGCTCCGTATGCACAACACTGGCACAGCGATCTTCCCGAAGATCTTGAAAAGCGTGTAAAAATGTCGATATTTGTTCCCTGTCTCGCAGGTGGGAGAAAAGTCTTGCAAATACAGCGGCGTCTTCCACAGCCATCGCGCCGCCCTGCAAGGATCCTGCCTGAAGGAAGTGTCAGCACAACAGGCCATCCCATGGTCAAAGTTATAACATACAGGAAGTGGATGTGCAGCCTCGCCTATAATTACCATGCGACCGTGCTCATCAACCCAATCCTTTATCGGTGGAACCATCTTGACCTGTACACGGGAAGGTGTGGCAGCCAATTTGGTCATCTTTAGGAGTCTGAGGTTTTCAATTAGCCAGAATAAACGATTTTCACTAGATTCGTTGTACCTCGGTTCGCATTCTCCAAGCTGCCGCCGCATCTCCTTTAAGTCGAGGCCTCCTCCCCAGCAATCATCATCGGATAGCCCTTTTTGCCTGGGAGGCACCCATAGATGTAGCGCAAACTCATCCTTACCCCCCTACTCAGGAACTGTTAGATTAAGCACGACACCTCACGAATGTTGACATACCATACGGAATGCCACAGCCGAGCGATTATTGCCTAGCCAAATAAACATGGTCTCCTGAACATTACATTAAAGCCAATTATGATCGTACAAGTGTGACTTACGACAGGTTGTTCAAAGAGAGGTGCCAATTCAGGATCGGCTCTCATGAGTGCTCCTGGGACAGTAGTACTATGGCAGTTAGACGACGAGTAAATTAACAAAGTCCAGGGCAAATCTTACTTGTAGAATAAAGATTGATATGGCACTGTGTCGAGAACATCATTACCGACGATTGCTTGTTGCACTATACTCGAGCGGCCATCGGCGCCGACAATCACGTCGGCCAGTAGTGTTTCCCCCGTGGACAACGTCACGCGGGGGCCATCGCCATTTACAGAGACAACTGTTGTGCCTGCCCGCACCTCAGCGCCCGCTGCTATAGCAGCATCGTACAAAACTTGTCGGAGACCGGCGTGCTGTATGAACAGATGAGATTAATTTGAAGCGAGGGCAAGAGATTACACGTACATGTAGGAAGAGGAAATCTCCTCCAGTTACTCGGAGAACCTCTTCTTCCCAATGATGGGTACCAATCAACTCGCCGGTTTCGTCTGTAGATATAGTCAGTTATAGAGTAGAGGTGATATGCTGATATATACGAACAAATCTCAATCTCCATGGCACTGGACGTTATGGATACTTGCCGAAGAGCGCGCTCGAGGCCCCAATGGAAGAGAACTTTCGAGACGTTTGGAGGCAACCGAATGCCTCCGTGCGACATCTGTCCAGTGGCACAATGAGAACGCTACGACGTCGATAGTTGTAGGATACTGACCTTCGAAATATCTGAATCGGAGTAATGTTCGAGAACAACAACACGATGGCCGACTCGTCTCAATGCTATCGCACATGAAAGACCTGCGATCCCGCCACCGACGACAAGAAAATTTATGGTCAGTTCTGCCTGGAGAGGTTGAGTCAAAATATGTGCCTAGCGTCAGATGGGATAGATATAACATACTTTTCCAGACATCTAGGCCAGCAAAGGTAAGAAAGTCGGCGAAAAAGTAAGGGCTACTCGGGAACTCGTCATATGCAATGGAGGCACATGAATATATAGTTTGAGAGTCTTCACCAGTGCCAAAAAGAGAAAAGCAGGAGAACTACCGAAGTACCTATTGCAACTGCCCTCGGCACGTGAACGGCGACTTGCACGGAACTTTCATAGGGTGGAAAATTCAATTTGGTGCATCCTCAGCAAACCTTCCACGTGGGTCCCTTTGGTAATTTTGATCCTACTTGAGCGCTCGTCGTGAGATGCCGGCATTAGCAGCTGGTTCTTGCAAACTTCGGGGGTTCTCAGGTAAGAAGTTTCTTACAATTGTGCATTTACAGTGGTTATACCTATAGGACTAACGAAGGCCTCAACTTATCTTTTCGTCGCTGGCGAACACGATGCATGATTACATAATCAACAAGTGGTAATTATTGGTTTATCCTGAAATATAGGACTTAGACGCCCAAGCGCTCAACGTTCAACAAGCGCTGCATTGAAACACAGTTCGTTTCAAGCCCTCTAAGTCTGGAAGCTTGAAGGTTCAAAGATCGTCTGTATAGAACGTCAAGCGACGACAGCTTCTTGGTCTACAAACCCCAACGGATCCGACAGTTCATCCGTGCGATGATCGTATGCTTCTTACCGACCATCAAATTTCTAATCTGTGAGGCACTGCACCTATAAGCGCGTATGCAGGTACAGGTCAAGCTTCAAGATCGTTTCGTGTTTGCCGCCGGGCTCTAAATCCGCGGACAGAGAGAGTTTGAGACGTCGACAGCGATCTCGACTTTGATATATATGTCAAGTCATAATTCTTATTGTTAAACGGTCGCATATACTGATACAAGCTACAGATAAATCGGCGCCTACTAATGGCGATAAAATAATGCCAAGCAATATAGGCTGTAAACTGGGAGAAATATACAAAGGGAATACACTGATCTCAGTTAGATTGTACGTCCGAACTGCCCTCAGATTGCTGTCAACTCAACCTCTCCAGTTGCAGTACTTAGCCTGCCTTGAACTACCCTTTGCGGGTAGATCTGATACGATTATACACTGCCGGTGTGACCTTGTTCAGCCACCGATCGCACCGCATCATGCTCCATTTGGATAGGCTGCCTGCATGATCTGCTTCTGGCCTGGAATTCAAATGATTATGGCTTTACGTTCATGTGTGAGACGGGAACCCCCAGCAAGGAAGTGAGTTCTTTCATTGGTGGGCTCTCCCCGACAGCATGTTCTTCAGGCTGTAAACCAATATCCCGAAACGAGCTCTCAAAATTTGGTTCTGGCCGACAACTCCAGCACTCCAGCCACTGGGTATGGGCTGGCTAATGATTTCTTCGCGTATGCTCGTGGAAGTGCTTCTATCCGCATCAGGCATCGTAGAGAGAAAGGTAATTATTTTAATCTGACAGCGATCTACTCAAATTTTACTGCCGTTAAACTTCACCTAGTACTAGTACAGAATGGAATGGTGGCCACATAATATACACCGCGGCACCGCACACGAACTGTCACCGTTATGACATAACGCCCGGCGTCCGCTGGCAAACTAGAGATCAAAATGCAAAATTCTCAACACGCGACGTACGAAAGGCCTATAAGGCCATCAGGGTACATGCTAACCAGTTTCTACGTAGCTTCTGATTTATCAATCCACGCAGACTACTTCAACGCCGTGACGTCAATACGACGTTCGCTTTTTTCAGCTGAAGGGTGCTCAGGGTATAGCAACACTAGCGTTACGGGGCCCATCTGCTTGGACAGGCGGCCCTTAAGGGTCAAGATCTGTCACTGCGTTTCCTCGTTGCCAAAGCATTCGCATCGACTCGCACCGTCTCTACATTTCTATCTGCTCACGTCAAGGTGTCAGAGTTGATGCTGTCTACAATGAAATGAGAGATACCAGGGGCTGCATCTGTGTGTATCCTACTTTTGCATCTACCTTGGACCCTTGATAACTCACCAGCCCTCCTAGTTCGTATTACAGATGAAGTGCCGGAAGCCGGACGCATGATTACCCAACAGGTTGATCTATCACGCACAGTGAATACTCGGATTGTATGGCAGATTCTCATTCGAGGGTAAAACCGATACACGCCGAACACCCAGTATTGCCATGTCGCGTCACTCAGATCGGATCCCATTGTCCAACTTGGTATTTGTTCTATAATCAGGATGAGGGGACTGATCGGGGCGGTGTTTTTTTCCAAGCCTGGTTTTGCACACGTTTGCCAACCGCAAGGTCGGCGCGTTACTTTGCAATTCATTTAGCAAGGGGTGATTACTACATTCATCCGATGAGGCTAGACGCTGTCTATACAGTCAGCAAGTAAACTCTGATGGGCGGTAATTGAATAGATGTTTGGGATACCAACATCCATTCCTGCAGATGTGAGTGATATAGGATGTACTTTTGCTGTGTCAAGCTCAATTTTCCGATTGCCTTCTTCAGTATTTTGTATTTTCCCACACATTGCTTTGGTATGGTGATATCCCGTTCTCATCTTGACGGGCACACCTTAGCACCCTGCTGTAATGGTCGGAAATACCCGGGCCTCCTGTATCATATCGTCATGGATTTGACACAGCGTGCCAAGTGAGAAAAGAGGGAAAAATCTGTCAAAATTTCAGCTTAGTCCTGCTTGGGTTGATGGTGCGAGCCTTACGTTGATGATCATTCGATTATATGACTGACAGGTGCGGTACGTGGTAACCCTGCACAATTTAGATTTTATCATTTTCTAGGGTGCCTCGCACGTCATGCTGCATTCACAGAGACATCTACTACTCGTAGATTGGAGCATATTATTAGATGTCCAATCCTTCCTGGTTGGTCGTCAAGGGTTTTCCATGACATGTCCGATAACTTGCAGGGACAGGTGACTCGAATTTCTGCGAGGTTTCTAGACCAAGCTGTCAATGGGTCTTGGACACGAGGCATGCTAGACAATATTTCCAACGACGGCGCATTAATGCTCATAATCATCTCCGTTGATCATAAGACGATTATCAGGCACCCATGCTTCTAGAGCCCGCTCAGATGTAAATTTAAACTGATTGAGTTATACTCAACATTTAGCACAGTCAATTTTTTTTAAAGTTTTAAAACAACTTCCCAAAAATTTGATTCCCTTAATCAACTGTAAAGCAAGGGTTTTCTGAGCTGAAGCTAATGGATTAGATTCTCGTTCCCGTAAGCTCTGTACTATCATAAAGATCACCATCGTACCAGGTCAGATAGTAAAGGCCGTTCTACCTCCGTTCAAAATATGTAAGGTGCCAAATTGCGTCACGCCCAGAACTTGATCGCCCCATGTACTTTGTTTATAACTTCCAATCATTGTACAATAATGTCGTCTTTGAACGATAAACTCGCCGCTGCCCTTTCATCCCGAGAAAAGAGGCGCATTCGCCGACGTCTCCCTGTCTCGGCCTCTCCAGTGCTTCCCTCTGCAGATTTTACATCTAACGACTATCTCTCTCTGGCTACATCATCGACGCTTCGCACGGCGTTCCAACGTGCTCTTTCCACTGCCCCTAAAATACTCGGATCAGGTGGTTCTCGGTTGCTTGTACCAACACCTGCTCATCTCGCCCTCGAAAATCGACTGGAAAGATTCTTCGGCGCTGAAAAAGCACTGCTATTCAACTCGGGGTTCGACGCAAATGTTGCATTCTTCTCCGCAATTCCTCAGCCTGGCGATGTAATTCTATACGATGAGCATATCCACGCATCTGTGCATGATGGGATGGGTGCTTCGCGAGTAGATCCCTCCAGCCTCATCAAATTTTCACACAATTCAGTCGCTGCGCTTAAGCGATTGTTACGAAAATTACTCCACGAGCGAGATGATCTGCGAGATGGGAGAGCAAGCGCATTCGTTGCGGTGGAAAGCCTATATAGCATGGATGGGACATTTGCCCCCTTACACGAAATCGTGCACTGTGTCGAAGAATTGCTGCCAAGGAATAATGGATATGTGATAGTGGACGAGGCACATGCAACAGGGATATATGGCCCGCAGGGTCGAGGGATGGTTGCTGCGCTAGGGCTTGAGGGACGCGTCCTGGCACGTTTGCATACGTTCGGGAAGGCGCTTGCGGGATCAGGAGGTGCGAGTTTTTGTCACTTGCATTGTTGCACAACATCCTGATCATCGATATAGCTGCGATACTAACTACCGAACTTATACGGGATTACCTCTTGAATTATGGCCGTCCACTGATATACACCACGACGCTCACGTATGCAAATATCATCGGCGTCGAGTGCGCCTTTGATATGCTGGAGAATGGAAGTGCAGAAGTGGTAAGCTGTATCCCGAAAGTTCGTAAACCTGTTATTAACATAGACTCAGCTCGCGCTGCATCTCCTAGATCTATCGCGGTACTTCTTGGAGCTTCTAAGACCCCACCTACAGTCAGCTCCACCCGAACTGCTCTGCTTGCCTGGCCATCTACGCACGGATGATCATAACGATTCCACAAATAGTCCATCAGATACATCAAATACATCCTTTCCTCCCCCGACACCCATCATTCCTCTCCTCACGCCTCATCCACATTCCCTTGCTGCACATCTGGCCTCCCTTCCACAACCACTGTTTACAAAAGCAATCACATGGCCCACAGTTCCTGTGGGAACATCCCGAGTAAGAGTATGTTTGCACGCAGGACACACTCGTGACGATGTAAGGAGACTAGTAGATGGTATTGTCGACTGGGTACAGGCATGGGTCGCAAGAGAAAAAGAAGTCGAAAGACAGTGGCTGAATGTGGCCGAAGGAGAGGGTGTAGGAGTATGGATGGAGTCGAAGTTGTAAGATGTTGTTTTTAGAGACATAACTTATGGTCGACTTGAAATGTAGCCATACACACCGCATCAAAATTCCTATCCTGCTCCTCCGTCTCCTCGCTTGTGATTCCTACGTTGTTCCTAAGCAATTCCTACGCGTGCCTTCTTGAGCCAGGGCCGCGCGAATGACTGCAAGTATATATACCATGCACTAGCCCGGTTTCGTGCAGCAAATGGGGACGTTGGGAGCAATCTGAGAATGCAGGCTCAAAGCGCACCACCAAAAATGGGAGCTGAAGAGCTCCTCGGAGTCACAAGGGTCACGATACCCCCAGACTGATTCAATCATGCAAAGCCTCTATCTCACGAGTACTTCGCGCAAGATAGTCGTCATATGAGTCATGATGGAATGCTGCATATCAACACAGAAATTGAGCAAGCCGCCCACATCTGCATCCACCATGCTTACCGGTATTTTTGAGTTTAGTGCGAAACCGCGCAATAACTTCTCGGTTGTGTGCGATTGCAGAGAGTTGCGTATGTTTGATGGTGCCTACATGATATGTTGGCAATTCCAGAATTTGTTTCAAGAACGGCAGACACCCACAAAAACACAATCCTACCTGAGACATGAACAACACGCGGAATGACCCTGACATCGTGGATGCTGGTGAGAAGCGTGACTGCACCCCATGCAATTCGATGTTGGTCTCGTGCAACGCGAATAATACAGAGGTTCGTGAGCGGTGAAAAGTACTTGACTGTAGTCTTTTAAGATGAAAAGCTGGAGTATTACGAAGGATGCACGCACCGTTCAACGACATCCCTACTGCTCCCCATCCAGTGTCGCCAAAGTTTGTCACAACACTGTCGCGAAGAGCGTTGTAGATCAACCTCCCGTCCAGAGGTCGCGTGCTTAGGGACTCTTTTTCAGCGGAAGCGTCCACCGTAGACGTGTCAACGAATTCGACAAGGAGCCAGCGATTCTTGTTTGATCAGATGAGTGAGCACGCTATATACCGTTGAAAACCAATTTTTTACCTTGAACCGAACCATGTCCTGCGCTGAAGTGCGAAAACTCCACAGTCAATATTTAATGAGGGTAGACTTCGAACTTGAAGGAAATGGAGACTGAAAACTGGAAGGTCCAGAATGTTATATCATATCACAAGTTTGGGTGTAAGTACTCCCGTCGGTCCGTTCACCTGATGATTATTACCATGCCGATTATGGCACTTAAGCGCCGATGATATCTACTAGCACGTCTTGAAACACTAGACGAGTCGCTCCCTACATCCCCCACTCCCTCGAATATGACTGTAGTCTCAAATGATCCCAATTTTTGGCCGATAATTAGTTCGAATATTTTTTTCACCTATTCAATGGGCGGGTTCGTCGTATCACCTGGTGATGTCTCGATTTAATATTGACTTGTCTGGCAGTTGCCGCCAGCGTCGCGGTGGTGTACGATTGGGGTGAGCAAGACAGTGTTCGAAAGCCGCTAATATTCTTATGATATATCCAGCACTAACCCTCGGACAAGAGGTAGGTTGGTGTTATTGCTCAGGGCTGAAGCAACCAACTCGCTAAGAATGATGTCATAGATTGAACTGATTTGGGTGAGTGATAGAGCTCGAGCCTCATATATCAGGTGAAATAATATGAGAATACTCAACAGAGGCAACGTTGGTCTATTATGACTATGATGTATCTGGTTGTTCGTACTACCTCATGCTATGCTATAGAAGTTGTGCTGACTCAAAATATTCTAGATACGCTATGTTGGAATAGTACCACATTCTGTGTATGTGTCGAGGCCAACAAATTGGCATTGTGCTAATAGCCCTCTCTCATAATCAGTGTCAGCGTCCTACGTATGTCTCATATGCGACGTGTTTGATTCTTCTGACCGGGGGCACACAGCAAATATGCCATCGGTCTCGCTGACAGATGCAGTGAGTATTCTGCAACCGTTTTATTCCTATCCAATGAATACACTCATGTGTAGGGGTGAGTGAGATCCTGAAAATTGAACTTGGCTCAATGTAATGACTCAATAGATGTGAGTCGGAGTGTTGGATCCTAGTACGTGATCACTAATTGGGTGTTTCAGGCATTGTTATGGACTATATAATAAATGGAACAAACATTATCGTGGCTGCCATGCTGGGCGGTGAGTTACACAGCCGCAATACCTCAGTGATATTGACTCGACTGAAACATGATGCAAGTCATCATGATTTCTCGGTTGCATGCCATGTATCAGAGATCCAGGATGATGCTTATCTTCATTGTTATTATTTTCTTGGCTGTCATTATTGCCTATGGAGTAATTGCGGCAATAGAACTCGAGCGCACCACAGCAGGTAGGCTTTACTTGAAGAACGACCCACACAGCTCATTGGGCGAACACCAGAGGAGCTGATACTCTCTGGCACATATATGTGCAAATATGGATTTGAGGAGGATATCCAGCCTCTGACCTCAATGGTTTGCATGCTTAATATCATCTGGGAGGTCCTTGCACTGTGTCTTGCAGTCTGGATTGCTGTGAAACAAATTCGTGACCTGCGACGACTCAACCGATCGACAGGATCGTCCATCGGGGACTGTTTCAGAGTGCTGATAGGATCTCATGTGCTTTATTTTGCGAGGTGAGCTGGTCGTGTGAATGTGGTTTCTTGTCTGCTCAAGTTCTGCACATGTTAGCTTTGCTATCGTCTCTTGCCTCCAGCTTGTTGTCATCTCTCCGGAGCTCAAGGTGTGCCCGCCTATCAACGAGTGCTGGTAACCACTGCTCATTTTCTGCAGAATTCGAATTCTATGGGAGCTCAGATACTCTTTGGTACTCTTCAAATTTTATATGACGTGCAGATGTTCGTGCTGGGACCACGCCTCATCCTTAGCGTTCGAGAATATTATGCTAAGCTCGTGGCCGACTCCGACGCAGAAACTAGCATGACTTCGATTGTCTTCCAGGAGCGTGTACATGTACTAACTAACAGTACTGTGCAGGGAAATGCTTGTTGAGTATTCTGCATGGGAATTTGTCGTGGTATTTATCTAACATATGGTATTTCGAAGTATATTTGAATGGTCTAGGCAAACCTATTTCTTGTTGGATCACTATTACTGGAACTCAGCGAACCGTTCATACTAAAATACAGCGTGAATCAGTATGAGTCGCCCAGACAGCTAATACCACGACTGAGTCGCACTGCAGTAACGTTTACCAGTGTAAATGCAAAACACGGTCCTTGCAAAGCTCTACTCCATCCTGCTAAGCATGACCATCAGAGTAAAGCACAAAACGAGATAGAGACATGCATACCTACATACACCCGTTGGCATCGATCACAATTGCCATTGGTCAAGCAAATGATCACTTGCATCACGTCAGATGATAATTTGCTGTCACAGGTACGTGTCTAAGCCCAGACAGCTGATAAACCAGAGATTACACCCAGTCGCGGAATACTTAATCATCTAGCTAAAGATAAAGAAGGAAGTCGAGGTAGTCGTGATTCACATGAGAAATCAAATAGAGTTGAAGTGCATTAGCAGGGTGCTGTGCATCAGTATGTGATGGGCTCTGCGCCGTGTGAAACATAAACTTACCACTCTCTTGGAATCGGATGAGATGTTCTGCATTCCAAAGTCTTCGCATAGACACGCGCTGTGAGCACATAACACCTCGCATCAAACAACTAATGATAATGCTCACCTGTTATAATTCAAGAAATCGGTGAGAGTAATGCGTCGATGTCAACTGTGCTGTACCGTTGATTAGATTCCATCCTATGCAGCGGAACCGCTCCCCGCTAAAGATGCAAGATGCCGCAGACATTCTCGTACAAAAGCGGTTGAGCATTTTTGGATTGGTGAGAGTATGGTGTGCGGCATTGAATTATACACAAATTGGCACCGGCACAAGAGTACAGGTTGGCAGTGAGTTTACAGCCTTAGGTAGATCGAATAAAGGGAAGACCGTCATTCCATCTATTATGATAAACCGTTAGTATTAAGGACCGCGAGTTCAGAGACAGCACACACCTGAAAGCTACCTCCCATGCTACCCATGGTTGATGCACCATTTTTATGAGTATGGCTCTGTGGATGTTGATGACTATAATGAACCTTGTTACTGATTATCTGCAAATTGAAAAAAAAACGCCAACCTCAAAGCTGCATCCTATGGATTGACTTTTTGACGTTGTAGGTGTAGGCTGGGGATGTCGATAACCCGAGTTTGGGGCGGCTTGAGCGAAGACGAGGGCATTCGCTCGCAGTCGAATCAATGTCCTTTGATTCTACGACACCTTTATTTTACACACACCAAAACATGTCATACCTAAAATTTCTGCCAAACGACATTTGTGGCGCATGGAACCACGTCGACCTCCAAGCCTTGTTTTGTGACAACTAAAACCAAACCAAGGTCGATAAGCTCAGAGTATTCACGGAGTATGAAAAATGATAATTTTGGTGCAATCTTGAATCCACCTTATGATCAGTAACAATAATGAGCGGGAGGGTGTGAACTTGCGACCTAGCAGGGTTTAGCCCAGTGGAGCCCAAGACATCTATTGCATTTGAATGGGCTATTGTAAGTGGTTCGATCGCGAAGGTAATGAGTGGTCCACCCAAATTGCATAGTCATCGAGTACAATGAACGTCACGTTGCATCCACATTCCTAAAAAGAAAATTTTAAGCCACAAGGGCCTGGGTATAAAATACAAGTCGCCGATGAATTCAAACCTCACACACTCCCATTCTTGTTCAATATGTCGTCTACATTGTTGGTAAGCACACTATCGTAAAATACAGCGAACTGCGACTTAGCAAGATCTATAGCGATTCTCGGAAATAGAAACTAAACCCTATGACGTTCAAGTTGTCCAGTTCTGGCGAGGCGAGGAAGAGCCCCGACGGCCCTATCCACTCCACTGGGCTATCTACGTCGAAACCAGTCCTGGCATCGGAAATACGTATCAGATCGCAGGAGACTCCCAAAGCTACGCCATCGATATCAGACTCGACCAACCTCACGAAAACCCGGAGGACTTGCGTGGAAGTTGTATAGTAGGAAGCGTGAGCAGGACGGAGCTCGACGCCATGGAGACACTCCTTACAAGAGTTGTCATCGTCCGTGATCTTCCCTACTGGAATAGCCATAATTGGGTGGAGGACGCGCTCGGGTATCTCAGGCGCTGCTGTTTTTTCAGCATCGTCGGGGAAATAAAGTTGTCCGGTCTTCAGGACAACATGTGTTGGCTGCTGGAGGATTGGCCTGGGATTGAGGATGCGGTAGAATTTGTCGGCGATACAAATCTCGCGTGCGTCCAGAACAACCGACATTTTCGGGACTCGCACCAAACCTTCTGGAGGTTGCATGAAATTTGGCGTTTGAAGTGCGCAGAGTCCGAAAGAGATAACGATGAGGAGAGCGACTGTGAATTAAATCTGTCTGATTTGTTCAATCTATAGATGGGCTGCATATTTTCAAGTTGTAATTCTGGACTACCATCAGCGTCGTGTCCCGAATGGTAGAAGTAGCGTAACCTTTGAGTACTGAGTTTATATATAGCTGACTTGCATCGTGCTGTCCAGATGGCTTTGTAGTGAAAATGTCGAGGAGGTGTAGGCACATATATAACGCCCCGTGATTACTTGCAATTGCTTGAATTCAATGAATTGCACTCAAATACACGCTTCATATTAGTCTAGCGACTTTCGGCAATTGCCGAAGGCGACGGGCTTTTGAACCTTCAATGTTGCCTGGGCAGACGGACACCCCGTATCTTTCGTACTATATGTTTTGTGTGCGCCTGAAAACACTGCTATTAAATGATTTATCGTGTCCAGACAGTCCAGTATCGTGTGCGTCTTGAACCTTCTGCCTCAAAGTGGCCTGTTTTTTCTCTGGACCATCAACATACCCAGCAGCACGTTTAGTGCCTTTACCGAACACAGCTGATGACCAACAGCAAGCAAGCCTCAATGCGCCTTCAACCACAGCGTAATTGGCCCTGCCAGCTCCCCCAGTCACTTACATCATGACTAAGTTTCCATCTCCTCTCCCCGACTGTCTATTTGGTGCGTCGATCAAACTGTGATTCGCTGTTCACAAACCGTTCATTTGCAGAGCACAGCGACCATTTCGTGCGTCTAGTAACGACAACACATCCAGCAACCATCAAAGCACCTTCTCTGAACATCCATCACATATTCGCTTCATCAGCAAGAACTCGCCGGTCCACTGATGATGTGGGCATATCCCACGATCCCTTCGACAAGTCATTTTCGATGCTCGTTTCTCCTTCACTACCGTCGAGGGCAGTTCCTGATTCATCGCCGTGATTGAGTGTGCCATGGGTGAGTATATCATAACTTTTATGTATTTAATATTCGATGGTTCTGCGCCAACACAGGATAGACCTACTATGGACACCCGAAGCCGTGACAGTGACTGCAACTGTCGAGCTCCCTCTCTCGAACAACATGTCTACGTCAAAGCCTGTGGAAGACGCCTAACAATATTGGGGATTTGAGGCGCTCGGGGCGCCGTGGAAAGGGTGGATATACGATACAGGAACGTTCGTGTGGCAATTTCTCTGGAACGCGGCAATTGCACCGTCTAGGCTGAGGATGTCCACGTGAAGACAGAGAATGGAATGCTTACTGTATGCTTCATCTGCATGTAACGACATGTGGCTACTTCGGATTTGCGTCATCAGCACCCTGTGAAGGTGGATTCTGAAGCAATGGTGTGTCTGTACGATAATAAATGCTCCACATGATCTTTTTTGACCCAAAGTACTTCAATTATGATGTGCAAATATGCCCGTAGAAGCGGAGGCCACACGGCTTATCTACGCTAGCGCCCGCAAGAAGATTTGCTAACAGTTATGACAGCAACGCAGTAGCTCTACTGAACAGATCTTGGGTTTGCACCAGACTGGCTGGAAAGGTTCGAAGGGCGCAGGTCAGGTACTAGGAGGAGTAATTCGAGAGGAGAAACCACACTTGATCTTGAGCTGCCTGCATATTTCGTATCCTCGATCTCATCTGACTCGCCGACATATATCCCAGGTTCTAGATCAGAAATAGTGAAAACAGCGGGGTTAAGAGATTATTTTCTCCACGGACTTTGGCTATGCATGTGCAAGGTGGAATTATTAAACTACGGTGCGACTTTCATAGCCTGCCCACGAAATTACTGAGCATGACGAAGGTCCGACAATGGTGTTATTAGCTCATCTGACAGATCTTGCTATGAACTCGTAACCTATATTAGCTACAGCTCAAGTCGGGCCAGAAGAACATCACCGAAATACAATGGCCATCGACAATCAGAAATCGGGGCTTCTTGCATGCGTAGGCTTCTTTTCTCCCATGTGCGACTTCTCTTTCTATCTAATATGGATGGCGTCTTGTATTTAACAGATATCAATCACACAGCATGGGTCAAGATGTGTCGGCCAGTGCAATACATTACCATCTCATCAAGGGCACGATCGGGTTGCCGAATATAGTGCGCTGCTGTGTTTCTTGTCTGGCATTGTGCTATGCGACAGAGTGCGACCTTGTTCATAAAAAGCAGTTTCTGGAGTTAGTAAGTCTCGAGCTTGGCCAGCGAGGCCAAGAGAGTGCTGATGCATGTTACGATCACATCATGCTTAGACCTGTGCTAGATTGATGGCCACATGGTTCCATACGGAACACCTCTACAATGGCGTTGGAAATAAGTTGGATCAAATATTCATCTCCAATATACAGATTTTGGCGATAAAAGAGCTGAACCGTAGCATGAACGCTATTGGTACAACCACCAACATTCCCCACCCCTCGAACATGACTGTAGTCTCAAATGATCCCAGTTAGTGGCCGATAATCAATTCAAACATCTGTAGTAGCTATTGGATAGGTTTGTCGCATCAAGATGTTTCGATCTAATATTGACTTACGTTTTCGCAGTTGCCACCGGCCTCGTGGTGGTATACGATTGGGGTGAGCAGGACAGTGTTCGAAAACCGCTGATATTCTCACGATATCTCCAGTTTTAACACTCGGACAAGAGGTATGTCGGTGTTATTGCCGGAGCAGCCATCTCACTAAGAATGTCGTAGATTGAACTAATCTGGGTGAGTAACAAGATCAGAAGAAAAACAGGAGGATATAATGGATTCGCGACAGAAGCAACGCTGGTCTTTCATGACTGTGCTGTATTTGGTTGTTCGTACCTCATGTTGTGCTATATCGTGGTGTGGTAAGTTGTGCTGACTCCCCAATGTTTTAGATACGCTATATTGGAATACCATATGCTATGTATGTGTCGAGGCCAACCACTTGGCACCGTACTAATATAACTCATCTCTGACAATTAGTGCCAATGTTCTGCGTATGTCTCATATGTGTCGTGTTCTATTTTTCTGACCGCCAGTACGCAGAACTTGTGCCATTTATCTCACTAACAGATGCGGTGAGTATTCCACGACCATGACATTACTATCCAATTAATACACTCATGTAGGGGTGAGTGAAATTCTGAACATCGAGCTTGGCTCAACATAACGACTCAATAGGTGTGAGTTGGAGTGTCTGATATTAGTACTGATGAGGGTGTTCACTAATGGGGTGTTTCAGGTAATATTTTGTACTACACAACGAATGGGACGACTGTGGTCTTAACTGTCATGTTGGACGGTGAGTTACCCAGCTGCAATATTTTTGTGATATTTCGACTCAAACAATAATGCAAGTCATCATGATTGCTCGATTGTATGCCATGTATCAGAGGTCTAGAATGATATTGATCTTTCTTATTATCATATTCCTGGTTGTTAACATCACCTCCGGAGTAATCATGACAATAGCACTCAAGGATACTGTAGAGGGTAAGCTTTACTCGTTAAATTGAAGAACACGGCTCATTGAACGAAAACCAGAGGAATGGATAATCTCTGGTACATATATGTGCGCTTATGAATCTGAGCGGGATACCCAGCTTCTGTTTTCAACGACTTGGATCCTCAGCACTGTTTGGGAGGTCCTCGCACTGTGTCTTTCAGTCTGGATCTCTGTAAAACACTTCCGTGACCTGCGACGACTCGGCCTATCTCGGACAGGGTCGACCATCGAGGACTGTTTCAGAGTACTGTTAAAATCTCACGTGCTCTATTTTGCAAGGTGAGTTTGTAATGTGAACACGGCCATCTTTTCTGCTCAAGTTCCGCACGTTTTAGCTTTTTTGGTATCCCCTGCCTCCAGCTTGCTTATCTCTCTCCAGAATTCATTGTGCGCCGAGCTGTCACTAACATTTGCGTGTAATCACTGCTCATTGTTTTTGTAGAATTCATCATCCATGGGAGCTCAGATACTCAGTGGTGCTGTTCAAATTTTATTGGGCGTGCAGATGTTTGTGCTGGGACCACGCCTCATCCTTAGTGTTCGAGAATATAACGCCAAACTTGTGGCCGACTCCGATGCAGAAACTAGCATGAATTCGATTGTTTTCCAGGAGAATATACATGTATCGACTAGCAGTACTGTGTAGGGATGAGAGATTTAGTCGAGGATCCGTCGTGATATTTATTTGAACCATGGTGTTTCGAAGCATAGTAAACTCATTTCTTGTTGTACTGGAACAAAGTAGTTATTCGCCCACTCTCACACAAAGTGGCAAGCCGAGATTATCCGGAACGTCTGGCAACCAACCCAGTCCTTGATGCAGATGCTCAAGTACAACGAGAATCGGCAGGAGCTGCCCAGACAGTCGAGTAGACAAATTGGAAGCTTTCGCAAGGTCAAAGAAAATCATATTAGACGCACATTAGTACAAGACCAGATGGACGACGACAGAGACACGAACAATGGCAGAACAATAAACTTTGTCGAGAGGATCTGCCCACCACCCAAAAATCACCGGTCCTGGACTGTATCGTTTACCTCTATGACATACCTTCGTCATGTCTGCGGTACGACCAAGAAGGGAAGGCAGAGGAAAGACGAGGAAGATATCGAAGGGAGAATAGAGGAGGGAGAGGAAGAAAGAGTAGAGGCATAGGAGGAGAGTGTGAATGAGCGGGAGAGGGAAGGGGACCGTGCTCGGAGGGATAGTGGGTAACTTGAGGGACTCGGAAGAGTGGAGGAGGATGAGGATCGGAGGAATTTGGAGGATGTACTAGTATGTCAAATCAGCATGGACGCCATCCGGATGCGAGCGCAATCTAGCTAGAGAACATCAACATCAAAAACACTCTCTATTGGCTATTCGTACTATACCGTCTTCCTTGTCTCATATACTATCTCCTAGGACAGCTCGCAGAGCACCGGGTCTCAACGGTTTCCGTTGTTTGTTGCGGTGTATATAAATATAGAGTCGACGTTGGAAAGCGATCATTGGATGGGTGACTGAAAGCCGTAAGCTGCAGATACATACTATGTGATTTTTCTGATTCGCCGACATCCATTAAAGTTTCAGCCAAACATACGCGATGGTGAAATTTTTACTTGAGTTATACGCGTATGAGGTGGTAACATCAAACTAGGGGTTCCAAGGGACTGTCACGGTGCATTCGCGGTCTCCAAGGTCCTTTCCTCAGCTTAGTCAGCATGTAAACTCGTAGCTAGCATCATCATCACAGTTTGGCCCTGCTCCAACGTTTTCGCACCGCAATACTTACTTCACCTGATCAAGGGTCTTGAGGCGGGATCAAATATTCATCTCCACTATGCTAACTTTGGCGATACAAGCGCTGAATGGTGGTATATCTAGCACTAATGCTATCGTTATACACCACTAACACTCCCCATTTGCTCACTTATCCCTCAAATATGACCGTAGTCTCAAATAATCGCAGTTGGTGGCTGTTCAACGATTTAAACCTTTTCCTCAGCTATTGGACAGGTTGGTCGCACGATTAAACTCGGCAGCATGTTGCAAGAGATGGAGCAAGATGGAGCAGAGATGTTACAAAGGTAATCGGCCTCCAGCAGGTGCAGCTGCGGCAGAGTAGCTGGTGGGCTTCATGTTTGCGCCCTGGGTCATCAATGATACTGTACAATCAGAAATCAGGGCTTCTTACGTGTTATAGGCTTATTTTCTCTCATGTGCGACTTCTCTTTCGATCTAGTATGGATGGTGGATCTACCAATGCTATACATCACTAGTCACCATCTCATCAAGCGCACGATCAGACGTACTGAATATACTGCGCTGCTGTCGGTGTCATGTGACAGAATGGACTGCGATTTCGTTGACACAAAGCAGTTTTGGGAGCTATTAGTAAGTCTTTAGCTTTGACCAGCGAGACCCTGATGCTTGTTACGATCAGCATCACGCTTAGACCTGTGTTGATGGCTACACGGTTCCATACGGAACACCTCAACGTCAATGGCCTTTCCCGGCGTCCGTGTACTAGTTGCGTGCATAATACTGGTTTGCAAATCAAACTCTACTTTGATTATCGAGGGCTTCCTCTTTTTGCTTGATTTCGCACTGCAATACTCGCTACTTCACCCGATCAAGAATCTTGAGGCGGGATCAAATATCCATCTTCCATCATGCTAAATTTGGCGATGCAAGGGCTGAACGTTGAACGGTGATATATCTAGCACGAACGTTATCGTCATACACCACTGACATTCCCCATCCGCTCACACTCATCCTCGAATATGACCGTAATCTCAAACAATCCTAGTTTGTGGCTGTTAAACAATTCAAACTTTTTCTTCAGCTATTGGACAAGTTGGTCGCTTGAAGATGTCTTGATATAATATTGACTTGCTGTTTTTCAGTTGCCACCAGCGTCGTGGTTGTATATGATTGGGGTGAGCAGGACAGTGTTCGAAACCCGGTGATATTCTCATGATATTTTCAGTTTTAACACTCGGACAAGAGGTATACATGTCGGTGTTATTGCCGGAGCAGCCATATCACTAAGAATGTCATAGATTGAACTAATTTGGGTGAGTAACAAGATCAGAAGAAAAACAGGAGAATACAATGAATTCGCGACAGAAGCAACGTTGGTCTTTCATGACTGTGCTGTATTTGATTGTTCGTATCTCATGATGATATATCGTGTTTGGTGAGTTGTGCTGATTGCTCAATGTTCTAGATACGCTATATGGGAATACCATATGCTATGTACGTGTCGAGGCCAACAACTTGGCACCGTGCTAACAGTTCACCTCTGACAATTAGTACCGATGTTCCGGGTATGTCTCATATACGTTGTGTCCGATTTTTCCTCACCGGCGGAACACAGAACCTGTGCCATTCGGCACGCTGACAGATGAAGTGAGTATTCCGCGACCATCTCATTACTATCTAATGAATACACTCATGTAGGGGTGAGTGAAATTCTGAATCGAACTTGGCTCAACGTAAATGGCTCAATAGGTGTGAGTCGGACTGTTTGATATTAGTACTTGCGAGGGTGTTTACTAATTGGGTATTTCAGGTAATAATATGAGCTACGCAATAAATGCGACAAATATGCTCGTATATGCTATGTTGGGTGGTGAGCTTCCCAGCCGCAATACCTCAGTGATATTGACTCGACTGAAACGCAATGCAAGTCATCATGATTGCTCGCTTACATGCAATGTATCAGAGTTCTAGAAAGATGCTCATCTTCCTGGTTACTATCTTCCTGGTTGTTAACATCGCCTCCGGAGTAATCATGGCAATATTGCTAACTGAGCAAACTTCATGGGGTGAGCTTTACTTGTTGACTTGGGGCACACAGCTCATTGGACAAAAATCCGAAGTGACACTATCATCCAACACGTATATATGTTACTACGAATATCAGGGGGACGTCGAGCTTCTGCCCTCAATGAATTGGATTATCTACATCATTTGGGAGGTCCTCACACTGTGTCTCTCGCTCTGGATTGCTGTAAAACACTTCCGTGACCTGCGACGACTCGAATCGACGACAGGATCGATCGTCGGGGACTGTTTCAGAGTGCTGATACAATATCACGTGCTTTATTTTGCAAGGTGAGCTTGTAATTCGAATGGGGCGATCTTTTCCGCTAAAGTTCCGCGCATGTTAGCTTTGTTTGTGTCTCTTGCCTCCAGTTTACTTATCTCTCTCCAGAGCTCCAGGTGCGCTGACCTGTTGCTGAAATCTGTGTGTAACCACTACTCATTCTTTCTGTAGAATTCAGATTCTATTCAAGCTCAGATAATCCCCGGTGCTCTTAAAATTTTATTGATCGTGCAGATGTTTGTGCTAGGACCACGCCTCATCCTTAGCGTTCGAGAATACAACGCCAAAGTTGTGACCGACTCCGATGCAGAGACTAGTATGAATTCGATTGTTTTCCAGGAGCGTATACATATATCGACTAGCAGTACTGTGTAGGGACAGACATACTTGCCGAGGAGGAGAAATTTGGTTGAAGATTCGTCGTGGTATTGATGTAACATATAGCGTTTTGAAGTATATTTAAAAAGTCGACCGTCTAGGCAAATCTATAGCTCTCGTTGCATTACTACTGGAACTCAGTGAACTACCCACCTACACTCATACCAAGTCACCAGCCGAAATTATTCGGAACGTCCAACAGCCAACCAAATCCTGAATGCCCGATACTGAAATACAATGAGAATTAGGACATATTACCCAGTCAGCAGATTCTACACGTTTGCAGAGTTCTGCTGCTTGAGCACACAGATGATGATGAAGTGACCGGGAATCCGAAGGAAGTCTAGATGGCTGATGCGTTCATGAGTCTGACATACATTTTCATCCATCCGGCCCACGGAGAATGAAAATGAAAGAATCGCGCGGATTCATGGCTCAGCTGTCACGAATGAGCCAAGGAGATGAGGTCTGCTCAGCTGGGACGGAGAATCAGAGAATCGGACCTTCAAGTCAGAAGGCTGTCATTATGGACGTTGCTATTGGCATGAACTAACGTACTATCGCTGAAATATATCAACGATACTGAATGTGTTCGGTTTTTAAAAAGAAACTGACGGCTTGAGTATATCACGAATGCTTATGGCAAGGACACCGAGCATAGTGAGTGTACCTGTTAAGTGTCGGTATGGACCACAAGATTCTGGCATGCATACACACAAAAGTCTGAGCAAATTTATATTGGAGCCTTTGCGACGATCTGTTTCCATCCTGCTAAGTAGTATGACCGTCGAAGTAAAGCACCAAACGGGATACTCATATACATAAAATACACCCGTTTGTATCAATCAGAGTTTCCCTAGAGCAAAGAGATAACCACTTGAAAGTATACACTTCACTTCAACAGGTCGTTACCTGCTCGCCCAGGTCGCACATGAGCCTGGACATCTGATATACTAGAATTACACACTTGGGGAAAGTAGCGCGAATCAGCTGTTTGATCACGAAGAACGAAGGAGGCGCAATCCATGGAAGCCCAGGTGGCTGATCAATTGATCACAGAAGCCTAGATGACTGATAAAGTAAGGGTTCTTCATTGCAACCGCCGCCTCCTTACCGTCTATCTGGGCTGTCCGTACAGATGAACTACGAGGGGAAAACAAGTGGGTCGCAGGGAGTCAGAGCATATCCTAGAGAAAATTTTGTAGAAATGCTTACCTCGAGCGTTGGAATACATGACAAATGGGCTGATCGTTCTTGAGTACAAGTATAGGGTCTGTAGACATGGACCAATGATTAAGCGAATCTTGCAACAGGAAAGGGCAGGAATGTTCAAGACTGGGGAGCGTATAGACGATAGATGCAAAGGACAGCACTACAAGCACCTCTTTGTGCGCAGGGAGGCTGGGCAAATAATCATTGCGTCGACTCCCCACAAAAAAAAAACAGAGAATGAACGTACGTACGTGACTCTAAGTCTGATGGTGCTGAGAGGAGGCCCAGGTACAAGATAAGGTGAAAGGAGAATGAAGGACCGAGAGTATAAGTACTTGCGATATGTGAAAGTGTAACGGTGCTATACTCCAGGACAGCGGACGCATGAGCACTGATGTCGATGGTCAGCCCAGCATATGTCATCTATAGTAGTGGGACAGGGTAAACAACTTACAGCTGGTAAAAACCAGACACCGTAAATAAGCCGTCTCCAACACCCGTACCAATTCTTTGGGGTACAAACTCCATATTGGAACGTGCAGATTAGCGTGGTTGCACATGGGCAGGCATTATCAGATTGGAAGTCTGTAGAGAAGACATCCCGGAATGAAATTGAGTTGTGGCATATAGCTATACCAGCGTACTGGCTAAAGTATGTGTAATACTTACATGCCAATTTGAACCTAATGCCAGACGAGGATGAGCTGAGAGGATTGGCGAGATGAGTTATATCGTGAGGCTGGGTTTGTAGATGGCAAAAGCAATCGTATTTAGAAACGAAGACAAGGTGAATGAATTGGAATATGTGAACATAGCGTTATGTATCCGTGAAGGGGTGGTCAATCAAGTTTTCAAGACGAAGTCCAATTGGATTCTCGGCAAATACCGAAGGTACCAGCTTGACACTTGTCCTTAGACCAACGCTACAACATGTAAATTTTGTAATTTGCCAATGACTTCTTTCCCCATCTGACGGATCTCACTCTTGCAGGAATAGAAGTTTACTGAAACACATTGCCATCGAGATGACCCTGTACAATCAGAAATCAGGCTTTTCTGTTTCAGTTTTCGGTCCGACTCGGAGTTTTCTAATGCTATGCCACAAAATGTCCCCATAAGAGTAATGCTTTTACTTGATCAAGGGTCTTGGGGCGGTATCAAATATCCATCACCATCATGCTGATCTCGGTGATACGAGGGCTGAGGCCTGAGGGCTGAGGGCTAAACGGTTGTATATGTAGCACGAACACTGTCGTTATACACCACTGACATTCCCCACTCGCTCAGCCATCCCTCGAACATGTCCTTCGTCTCAAATGATCCCAGTTGGTGGCCGCAAATCAATTTAAACATTTTTTCCAGCTATTGGACAGGTTTGTCGCGTCAAGATGTCTAGATCCAACGTTGACTTGCGGTTTTGCAGTCGCCGCCGGCGTCGTGGTAGTATATGATTGGGGTAAGCAGAACAGTGTTCGAAAACCACTGCTATTCTCATAATATTTCCAGCCCTGACACTTGAAAAAGAGGTAAGTCGATGCTATCGCCGAAGCAGCCGTCTCACTAAGAATGGTGTCATAGATTGAACTCATCTGGGTAAGTAACAAGATCGGAAGAAAAACAGGATAATACGATCAATTCGCGACAGAGACAACGCTGGTCTCTCATGACTGTGCTGTATTTGATTGTTCGTACCTCATGTTGTGCTTTGGCGTGGTGGGCAATTTGTGCTGACTCGAGAATGTTCTAGATACGCTATATTGGAATACTGTTTTCTGTGTATGTGTCGAGATCAACAACTCTGTACTGTGCTAATAGCTCATCAACATCTCTGACAATTAGTGCCAATGTTCTGCGTATGTCTCATATGCGTCGTGTTGCATTTTTCTGACCATCGGGACACAGAAACTATGCCATCGGTATCGCTGACAGATGCAGTAAGTATTCTGCCACCATCTCATTCCCACCCAATCAATGTGCTCAAATGTAGGGGTGAGTGAGATTCTAACAATTGAACTTGGCTCAACATAATGACTCGATAGGTGTAAGTCGGAGTCTTTGATCTAGTGCGAGGGTGTCCACTAATTGGAAGTTTTAGGCACTATCACGTACTACGCAGTGAATGGCACAAATGTGGCCTTGACTGCCATGTTGGGCGGTAAGTCACCTAGGTGCAATACCTCTATGATATTGACCTGACTGACCTATGATGCAAGTGATCATGATTGCTCGGTTGCATGCCATGTATCAGGGATCTAGAACTATGCTCATCTTCCTTGTTATTATATTTCTAGCTGTTCACATTACCTGCGCAGTGATCTCGGCAATAGACATCAAGGATGCTGTAGGGGGTAAGCTTCTCCTGTTGACTTGAAGAGTACGGCTCACTGGACAAATACCAGCGGAATTCATATTCTCTGGCACGTATATGTGTTATTATATATATAAAGGGAACGAGCAGCTTCTGTTTTCAATAATTTGGATACTCAACACTGTTTGGGAGGTCCTCGCACTGTGCCTTTCAGTTTGGGTTGCTGTGAAACACTTCTGTGACCTGCGACGACTCGGCTCATCGACAGGATCGACCATTGGGGACTGCTTCAGAGTGCTGGTACAATCTCACGTTCTTTATTTTGCAAGGTGAGCTTGTAATGTGAACGGGGTCATATTTTCTGCTCAAGTCCCACACATGTTAGCTTTGCCGGTGTCTCTTGCCTCCAGCTTGCTACTAATCTCTCTCCAGCAATTTCGGTGCGCTGACCTGTGGCTGACATCTGGGTGTAACAACTACTCATCATTTCTGTAGAATTCAGATTCTATTGCAGTTCAGATACTCAGTGGTGCTGTTCAAATTTTATCGGTTATGCAGATGTTTGTGCTGGGACCACGCCTCATTCTGAGCGTTAGAGACTACCACGCCAAACTCGTGGCATACTCCGACGCAGAAACTAGCATGAATTCAATTGTTTTCCAGGAGCATGTACATGTATCGACTAGCAGTACTGTGTAGGGAAATGCTTGCCGTGTGGGCGAAGAAATTTGATCGAGGATCCGTCGTGATATTTATTTGACATATAGTATATTTGAATCCGGACCTCTCGGTGTGCTGACTTGTTGCTATATCTACGTGTAACCGCTGCTCATGGTTTCTGTAGAATTCAAATTCTATTGGAGCTCAGATACTCTATGGTGCTCTTCAAATTTTCATGGAGAATACAGATGTTTGTGCTAGGACCACGCCTCATCCTTAGCATTCGAGAATATCACGCAAAAATTGTGGCCAACTCCAACGTAGAAACTAGCATGAATTCGATTGTCTTTGAAGAGCGTGTACATGTAACAACTAGCAGTACTGTGTAGGGAAATGCTTGCCGAGTGGTCTGCAGGGAGGCGAAATTGGTGGAGGATCTTTCGTGTTATTTGTGGTGTTTCGAACAAACACTGAATTCATCATGTCCAGTACCGTGTGCGTCCTCAGGCACCTGCCTCAAAACGGCGGTTAATTGAAAATTTTCTTCTCTGGACTGTCAGCATAACTAGCAGTGTTTTGGGTGCATTTATTTAACACAGCCGGTGACTAACATGCAATTTCCTTGCCAGGTCTCCCAGTCACCTACACCACTAATCCATCTCCTTGCCCCCGACTGTCTATTCGGTGTGTCGATCGAGCTGTGATTCATTGTTCACAAACCGTTTATTTGAAAAGCACAGCTGCCATTTCGTGCTTGTAACGACAACACATCCAACAACCATCAAGGCACCTTCTCTGAACATCCAATTCATATTCGCTTCATACAATGGATATCGACACAGGCCTATACCAACATTTTAAATTTAACAGATATCAATCACGCAGCACGAGTCAAGATATATCTGCCAGTGCAACGCATCGCCATTGCATCAAATGCACAATCTAATGCACCGAATATTGTGTACTGCTGTTTTTCTCGTCTGACCATACTATGCCATGCTACAGGATGCGACCTTGTCACAAGCAATCAGGGAAGCTGATAGCGAGCCTCGAGCTTGGCCAGCGAGGTTGAGAGAGCGCAGATGCCAGCCAGTGCTGCGATCACATCACGGCGCTTAGACCTGTGTTAGATCGATGGCTACATGATTTCATATGGGCATTGGAAACAAGTTGCCAACATCACCAACAACTGGAACATCCCTAGTGTACGAGCAGTCGCGTGCATAATACTGGTTTGCAATTCAAATTCAAATTTCATCATCGAGGGCTTCCACTTTTGACTTGATTTCACACTGTCTTACCCAATCCAGTGTCTGGAGACAGGATCAGATATCCATCACCATCATAATTTTGGCAATACAAGCGCTGAACGGTGGTATATCTAGCGTGAACACTATCTTTATACACCACCAACATTTCCGACTCACTCACACCCATCTTTCAAGTATGACCATAGTCTCGGATGACCCCAGCTGGTGGCCGACAATCAGTTCAGATATTTTCTTAAGTTATTGGATGAGTTCGTCGCACTATAATGTCTCGATCCAATATTGACTTGTGGTTTCGCAGTTGCCGGTGCCACCGTAGTGGTATACGATTGGGGTGAGTAGGACAGTGTTGGAAAACTGTTAATATTCTCATAATATTTCCAGTACTAACACTCAAACAAGAAGTAGGTCAGTGCTATTCCCGTAACAGCAAACTCGCTAAGAATCGTATCATAGATTGAACTGATATGGGTGAGTGACACAGTCCCGTATCAGAAGAAAAACAGGAGAATACAATGGATTCATTACAGAGGCAACATTGGTCTCTCATGACTTTACTGTATTTGGCTGTTCGTACTACCTCATGTTGTGGTTGGCAGGTTGTGCTGACTCCCCGATTTTTTAGATACGCTATATTGGAATACCATATTCTGCGTATGTGTCGAAGCCAACAAATTGGCACCGTGCTAATAGTTAATCTCTCACGATCAGTGTGTATATGCTGAGTACGTTTCGTATGCGCTATGTTCGATCCTTCTGACTTGCGGCACACAGTAAATGCTCCATTGGTCTCGCTGACAGATGCAGTAAGGATTCTGCTACCATCCCATTCCTATCTAATGAATACACTCATTTTGTAGGGGTGAGTGAGATTCCGACTGTTGAACTTGTCTCAACATAATGACTCAATAGGTGTGAGTCGGAGTGTTTGATATCAATACGGGGGTGTTCACTAATTGGGTGGTTCAGGCAATATTACGGACTACGCAATAGATGGGACAGGTGTGGTCATAACTGCCATGTTGGGCGGTGAGTTGCTCAGCTGGGATACCTTAGTGATATGGTCTTGACTGAAATCTGTTGCAAGTCATCATGATTGCTCGGTTGTATGCCATGTATCAGGGATCTAGAATGATGCTCATCTTCCTTGTTATTATCTTCCTGGCTGTTAACATCACCTGTGGAGTAATCATGGCAATAGTACTCAAGGATAGTGGAGGAGGTAGGCTTTACTCGTCGACTTGAAGAACACAGCTAATTACAACATCAGAGGAGCTGATACTCTCTGGCAAATACTACATTTGCGCCTCTGAATATGAAGGGGATGATCAGCTCCTGATTTCAATGTTTTGGATGCTCTACACTATTTGGGAGGTCCTCGCATTGTGTCTTTCAATCTGGGTTGCTGTAAAACAGTTTCGTGACCTGCGACGACTTGGCTTATCGACGGGATCGACCATTGGAGACTGTTTCAGAGTGCTGATAAAATCTCACGTACTTTATTTTGCAAGGTGAGCTTGTAATGTGAATGTGGCCATCTTTTCTGCTCAAGTTTCGCACATATCAGCTTTGTCTGTGTTTCTTGCCTTGAGTTTGTGGTTATCACTCCAGAGCTCTTGGTGCGCTGATTTGTCACTGACATCCGCGTGTAACCACTGCTCATGATCTCTGTAGACAAATTCTGTTGGAGCTCAGACACTCGGCGGTTTTCTTCAAATTTTATTGGTCATTGAGATGTTTTTGCTAGGACCACGCCTCATCCTTAGCGTTCGAGAATATAACGCGAAAATTGTGGCCGAATCCGACGCAGAAACTAGTATGGATTCGATTGTCTTCGAAGAGCACGTACACATATCAACTAGCAGTACTGTGTAGGGACATGGTACTCGCCAAGTGGTCTACGGGGAAGAGAAATTTGATGGAGAATCCATTGTGGTAATCATTTAACATACTGTAGTATTTCACTCAATTCGACACCACATGTGACATGTGACACAATCTACCATTTCGACACTTCGACATTTGAGTGTGTGACAAGTGACAGCACTGAATTTTCGACATATCAAGATTTCGACAGGCCAGACTGTGACTATTGGTTGAAACACTTTCTGAACTAACTGTGATACTCGGAGACAAACAGTTGAACGTTGAACGGCAAATACTAGTTATTAGATATATGGTACTTACCGTATACTTATTTGATTCCGCTACCGTGACAGCCATTTTGGCTTGACCGAACCCATTCGACAAACGCAGGTGTGACCCGTGACACGCTACAAATTTCGACCAGACAAGTCGGCGTGTGACACGTGACTGTCGAATCGAGTGAAATACTACAGTATACAGTAATATAGCGGCATTTGCGTCTGTAGCGGCATTTGCGTTTGCGTCGCACTACACTCCGCTGCAGGCCTTTTTCACCAAAGTTTTTGGTGGATCCCATAGGTTTCACACAGGACTATGTATTGGTAGCAGTGATAAGTACAAAATATTGTAGATCTTTGTGCGATGTTTTATTTTGTTCTCAAATTTTCACAATTTTAGGTCCCAACATGCAATGTGTTGAGATCCAACTCCGAAACTGATATAATATATGTATATAACCTCTATGCACAATACTATTGTATTCCGCAAGTGAGAAAACAAGTGAGTGGATTGCCAGAACAATGCCGGTTGAGGATGTCGCAAAAGTCTCTTATCAGCTCTGATAAGTGAGTATGATAGACTCCGCGATTGTTGATTATTAATATTTACGCTTCCATCTGTCACATCGATTAGTAATTTTGTAATGCACTTACCATTTTGAGTCGACGCAAATGACAGTGCGCAGGTGATAAGGGCTCAAATTTACAGAATGTTCATCGTGCAACAACGACTTATCCGATGTGCTTTAAAATTTGAGATGACGAAGGTTATGTATAATTAAGTTCACCACCCAACACGATTTTCGAACTGTTGTGTTGTTGTGTCGCAGGTGAGTGTATGAAATTTGCAAATGCAAATGCCGCTATATTACTGTAGTGTTTCGAAGTATATCTGAAAGGTCTACATCAGGAAATTCACACATTCCTTATTTGCCCTTGAATGGAACTTATTTACACTTAACTGCCTTAGTGAAATGGGATCTACTTATCCAAAATTTCAACTTGAATGTATTCAAAAAAACATTGTTGAGGTATATTAATATACATGGTCTATTATATTTCACACTTAAAAAATATAAGATATGCCAGGTGAATGATGCGAGAGAGAGCAAACAAATTTCGAGATAAGTGAGTTAAGCTGATTAAGGACATTAAGGAATGTGTGAATTTCCTGATGTAGGCAAACCTAAATGAATGTAGGATCACAAATATGAGTGGAACGGACTTCTTCGGTCATCAACTTACAGACAAACATCACTGTACCGTGAAAATTAGACCGTGAAATATGCACACCGATAATACTGGCTGTTGCAACTACCAATGAGGGTGGATGCCAGTGACTGGTGATATATTTATACATCGCACGCAGCATGGGGAAAATACGGTTCTGGAGAGTGGATATTCTAGGTATTATTGATGGAGACACGAGGTGTATCGGTGGTGGGATTACATTATGAACAACCATGCGTGATAAATAAATCGATACAGCCCCGCACTGAATGTAAGCACGATGGATGAATGAAGAATAGCCTGGAATAGATGCTGGGCTATATGGACAATGATACAAATTAGGTCAATGACACGAACGATTTTGTTAGCATTCCATTGATCTAAATCGAGCGAACATACATGTTTGATTTAAGACATGCCTGGCAGGCCAATAGTCTCCTCGGTGATGGCCCCTCTCCACAAGGAGATGACAGGTGTTGAGTGGGGAGTAGAGAAGAGGTGCGGAGCTTCAGGTATCAAGTGCACCTGGAGAGTATCAGTAAGGTGCCGATCACGATATTTTGCTATACATGCTTTGATGTAACACTGTGAGGTTAGTGAAGGTTAGTGGGGGCAAAAAGGCTTGGAGTATTTTCATGATGTACAAAGAAAGTCCATCTAGTGCTCAGCCCTTAGATGGCATACTGCCTTTTAGAGCTTCATGCGCATGTAAATTCTGGTCCCCCTGCCCCTGGTAGCCAATTACTTGCAGAGCACTTGCCACTGTGACAGTCTAGCAGACTAGTTTGAGCAGAGTAGTTGGTTCATTTGCTGACTCTCGGCAAACACCGAAGGTAGTAAACATCAGCTCATTACTATGTCGCCGACTTGGATGGACTCATGGAGGTTCCAACATATCTTTTGTACTATTCATATTCATCATGCATCATGTCTAGTATCATGTGTATCTTGAGCTCCCTGCCTCAACGCGGTCAATTTTTTCTCTGAACTATCATCATATCCAGCAACGTATTTGATACCTTGATGATGGAATACAGCTGGTGGCCAACGTTCAATTTCAGCAAGCAAGCCTCAACGTGCCTGCAACCACAGGGCCTCCCAGACACTTACACCACAACTAAGATTTTATCTCCTCACCCCCGACTGCTTGCTCGGTGCATCGATCGAGCTATTCATAAACCATTCATTCGAACAGCACAGCGGCCATTTCATGCCTACAATGACAACACATTCGGCAACCATCAAAGCACCCCCTCTGAACATCTATTACATATTCACAACATGTGTGCATATTCTAAGATCCCTTCGACAGGTCATTTTGGATGTTCATTTCCGTTTCTCCTCTACTACCGTCAAGGGCAATTAACAAAACTTTGACTCATCGCTGTGATTGTGTGTACCGCAGGTCAGTATATCAGAGCTTTCATGTGTTCAAAATTCGATGGTACTGACCTGCGCCAACACAGGAAGGATGTACACAGGAACTCTGGATCCAAGACAGTGACCTCGACAGTCAAGCTTCCCTTTCTCAAACAACAGTGTGTCCCCATGGGAAATGCCTGTGGATTTAAATCACTTAGAGAACTATGAAAAGGGCAGATACACGGTGCGTGAACGTTTATGTGGCAATTTTCCTAGGCTACAGTGATTCCATTGTCCAGGCTGACAACGTCCATGCGAAGATGGTGAATGGATTCAATGGAACACCTACTGTGCGCTTGATTGCGTGAAGATCCGATGCTATCTACATGTTACAGTATGTGAAAACTTTGGATTTGTATTGTTGGTATCGTGTGAAGGTGTAATAGGGATTCTGAGGCAACGGTGTGCCTGTACTATGACGAATACTCTACCTGACCATTTTGAATCTGTCCATGACGAGAATCAAAGGGCTGTTACACCTCGGGTTCGGCTAGCTGGTGAGGCCGAAGAGAGTGCACATGGTTGGTTGATTCGATCACATCATGCTCAGATTTGTGTTAGATCGATGACTACATGGTTTTGAAAGGAGCTCCTCGAAGGCCGCAAGCTTGCAGCAAAAACACTCCACAAATTGCATTGGAAATAAGTTGCCCACATCACCAACGACTAGAACTTTCCTGGTGTGCTCCAGTTTGGAAATCGAAATCTACTTTGATTATCGAGGGCTTCTTTTTGTTTCATTTTGCACTGCCATGCTTCACCTGATCAGGGTCTCGATGCGGGTTCAAATATACATCTCCATCATGCATAGTATCTCGGCTGTACAAGCGCTGGATGGTGGTATATCTAGCACGAACACTGTTATACACTATCAACATTTCCCACTCGCTTACATCCATCCCTCAGATATGACTGTAGTCTCAAATGATCCCAGTTGGTGGCCGACAATCAATTCAAATGTTATTTTCAGTTATTGGTTGTGTTCGTCGCATCATGATGTCTTGACTTAACATTGACTTGCAGTTTTGCAGTTGCTGCTGGTGTTGTGGTAGTATATGATTGGGGTGAGTAAGACAGTGTTTGAAAATCACTGATGTTCTTACGATATTTCCAGTACTAACGCTCAGACGAGAGGTAAGTCGGTGTTATTGTCGAAGCGGCAAACTCGCTAAAAATGGTGTCATAGATTGAACTGATTTGGGTGAGTGACAATAGTCCCTTATCAGAAGACTACAATGAATTCACAACAGAAACAACATTGGTCACTCATGACTGTGCTCTATTTGGGTGTTCGTACCTCATGTTGGCATATACCGTGGTTGGCAAGTTGTGCTGACTCCTCAATGTTCTAGATACGCTATATTGGGATACCATATTCTGTGTATGTGTTACGCACTCAAATGGATCTGTTATGCGGAGCCCTAAGAGGGGCGTCGTCCGCTAACGTTCGTGACATAACCGGAAGGGTCTGGTGTAGCGACTGAGACTGGCGACATCGAGTCGGCAGATATCAGAGACGCGCGTGTCACGTGACTTCTAAGACAGATGTCTTCAAAGTCACTGAAGTCTCAAAGTAAGGACAGTCTTGTCCGAACGATGAGAGTTGATCGAGGTAGACTTAAGCGCGATGAGCACTTAAGAAAAGATACTAGAGACTGAAGCTGAGGGAGCTTCAGAGAGAAGTATGTTCCAGGGAAGATTGAGTAGATTCAAGTTAGGGAATCTAGTACAGGGTGACCGACTACTTATACTAAGTGGAAAGGGTTAAGGGCAAGGCTACCGTACTGTAGGTAAGGGCAAAGGGGAAACGGAAAGGGTATAGGTACACTGGCAGCAGAGCCTGATTAGTGGTGAATGGTCGAATGTGGAAAGAGACCGAGAAACGTTGGAACGAGCCAACGGTAAGTGATACAATGCGTAGCACGCATGAGTCAGAGGAAAGATAAGGTGAGATAAGGAAAGCCACATTGGTGGCACGAGTCAGAACGAGTCATAGCCCGAAGGCACGTGCGCACGTTGGTACGATAGGAGGGAGACGAGGGACGGGAACGGTCCCGAGGATCCGGTCAACGGATAGTC